CAAGCTGGCAATGTGAAGGTTTACTGAATTAATACAGATTTCTCTTAAGTAGGTGACTGGCATGTGCTTCTAAAGCTTTCCAATACATAATTTGTTGTTGATAGTTTATACCTTATATTTTGGCCATATGATTCTAAAAGGAGTGTTAGAGCACATATCTCTATTTATACTAGTACGTGATTGGCGTTACGCTAAGTGCATGTCCTACATGTGATTCTTAAACAGAAAACGTGTATATCTCTTTCTTTAAACTCGTAAGTGATTTGCTATTAAACCTCTACAGTGCCAAAGCATAGTATAGTCACCAATTTATTCCCTACATGCTGCAAATTTTAGAAATCTTTCTTTAAACCCATAAGTGATTGTCGCTAAATGATGCTCCATTCTGAAAAGGTAAAGTCAGGTTAAAATGTTAAACACATAAGTGGCTGTCATTGAACTTCTATACTATAAATTAACTGACGCCAAAATGCTACCAACAAACGAGATAACTACGTCCACACATAAATGTTTGTTTTATAAGTGTTTCCAGGGGTTGAATTGTTTTCTAAACTCCAGTAAACTTCAAAATCAGGGGTTGAATCCACATGACCAAATATTAATTTCACTAGACCACAATTAACAATTTGGTTTCTTTTACAAATAATCTTTATCATTTGGTAGCAATAGCCTTTTGATTTCATCATCAAAATACATATATCAAAACGTTTCAGAAGTTTGCTGTACCACAGTAAAGGTTAATGTGGTTATTTACTTGACCACATATTCTCCCGTTTAGACTCCATGTGTGTTATAGGTTAGAAGAGTAGCTCGGCATTCTACATGTGTACTGGTAACTTAATGCATATGCTGAACAGGTTCCGCTTGCACCCTGACGGAATGGATCAGTGTTCATAATATCAGTCATCGGATCTAGTTTTAATATTACAGACCTTCCATCATAAAACTGGACTATGTCTCAGGACAAATAGTCCACTGAAGCACTTTCACTAATATAAAATATATAATCATTACCCTAGAAGTGATAATTTGGAGTTTGTTCGTATCCTTATGCTATTTGTTTTTATGGACACCTTGATCGAGTGAGTTTTCACTCAAAGAATTATACCCTACTCCAATAAAAACATAATGAAGTTTTACGAAGAAACGTTTCGTTTTCTTTCCCAAATGGTTTCACATTTATCCATGGTTATAAACGTCATGAGCTGACGTTGGTGGGAAGTACTATAGCATAGACACTGGTGTGGATAAGATGTAGGACATTATAAATCAATCAATATCATAGGGTAAACCATATTTGGAAATGATATATTCTCAGCATTTGACTTTAAAGGGACTATCGTCATAGTACATTCGCCCATATGCAGTACATTATAAAGGTGTCCTCCCATTTGTGAGAACTCCCAGTTGTGAGACACATTAATTAATGGTTCAGTGCACACAGGTGGTGCTTCCCCATCCCTACGATGAAAGTGGGAACAGCCCTGTTGCTGAAGAGTACCCGCAGGAGGCATAGTTCATTAATGAGTTAATCAACACAGAAGACATTGTTCGTTGAAGAGCATTTATTGTTTTCAATAGATACTGAAATACTGAAAAGATTATCGTGAACTGGTGATATATTCTACTTGTTGAAGGCCTGCCATAATGGTGATCGGAAAGAGCAGTCAAAGGTTAATAAATACATTTGGATTAATTATAGTTACAACAGTTATTGCTAGATATTTCAAACACGTAAATCTGAGTAGGTAAATTAATTTCTCTTTCAAATGATCACGAAGTTACCTACACAAAATGTTTATTTTTTAAAGCCATTTATCTGAGTAGGTTAATTACTTTATCTTTTAGAGTTACATTAAGTTACCTCCGCAAGATTCAGTTAAATAGCTAATCCCTAATTAGCTGGGGTTAATCCATTCTATCAGATAGGGGATTAGGTGTGTTTTCTTTCCTAATTACCTTCTCCACTGTCTCACAACTGGGGAGTCTCACAACTGGGAGTTCTCACAAATGGGAGTAGACCATTATAAATATTAGTAACCCATCTGCACTACTGATGACCTCCATCTGATTGCGGGTCGGGGTCCCGAAACGCGTAATCAACGCAGCTACGCCGCCAGTCACGTCAAATAACACAATGGCGTGAGTAAGATTATTCCTTATCCAAAGATGCCAATCTCGTCTTCCATTCTACTGCATCAGGTCACGAACATCTAGACCTATTTGTACTAACTCTTGCTAATACCAAAATGTCAAAGTTTCAGTCATCTCATTCAATTTTAAACTACTAACTCTGCAGTTAGTAACGCCAAATCCGTCGTTAAAGTCAGTGCCCATATTTCTATTTCCAAGCAGTAGGATTAAATTGATGTAGTCTGAGTGAGAAACACATTCAGAGGTCACGGAATGCATTCTAAATATAGAGTTGCCCTTAATTAGTGGATGATTAATAGTGTGTATCTAAGATCTCCCGTGACCTCAGAAGGTTATTACACTTGAAATTGACGTCATGTATAAAATATTTACCATTCCCACGTGGATGTTTTATAACGTGTTGTGCCGAGGTCGAAAATGTATTTTTGCTCTATTGAGCTAATCGAAGACACCATACAAAACAGATGTAACCAAGTTAAGTGCTAAGTTAATCATTGATCTTCTCAAATCAAATTGTGATTGCCCGACAGGGTTACGTCGACATGCTTCGTCCTATGGTGTAGACTAGGGCATTATGTTGTCGTGGTCGTCGGCGGGGAAATATCAGGTGCTGCTTCACATATCACAAGTGCATCAAAATAGTCTCTTTGAATCTATTTACTAAAAAAGACATTTTCTTTAAACTAACACACACACACACACGCACGCACGCACGCACACACGCACGCACGCACACACACACACACAGAGATAACTTTTTGGATCATTGAGTTATGTACTCGCTTGTCTTCATCTCAATTGGGTATCCTAATTTTCCTTGGAGTAACGAAATATATTGTACTCACCTCACTCAAACTCAATTGAGTATTTTGCCATTTCCCAATAATTCAAAATATAATAAAATATAAATGTTAGTGTTTGTGATTTACATTCGATCTGTAATATGGGAAATGATAAGAAAGACTACAAGTTGTCAAGTTCATGTCCTGAAATAGAACCTCTCAATATACTTCAGTTAATTTATCTATCCACCGGTGCAAGCTACGATTTGACATTTTTGTGTGTACGCATGTAAAATCACATTTATTGAGTATTTACAAAACTTTAAGCGTACTTGTACGCAATAAAATTGAGGAATTGAGTTTTCACATAAATATTTGCGTAATTTACGCAGATAGGCAGCTTATCTGTACCTCTGTACATACATACATGTATATATATATAATTAGGTTCAGCATCGTTCTACCATATTAATCAATGTTACATACTATTTTCCAAAAGGGCGCTGTTATAATTGCTTTAACTGTTTTACATGTTACTTTACTTTGTTTACTTTGATTTACATTTTCTCAATTGCTTCTTATTGATTTACTACTTCAGGACATGCGGCCAATGTCATTTCAACACATTGTCGCAAATGAAAAATGTTGTAATTCATTGTCCATGATCATTTTAAATGACTTAATTCCAACAACAGCTAAAAAATGTTTTAGATCGGAAACCTGTATTTGTCTTAGAATATATACTACCTGGGGGCGAGTGTGAACAAACCTACAGGTGAAGGTTCGGGGCCTACAACATAGACCCGTAACTTGTGGGTTATTCCATAAATCAAACTATTATCATCGGGATATTAACATTAACGTTTTATGTGTAACATCAAGCTATATGTGTACAATAATCGTTGATATAAATTTAGTTTAAACACCTCTACCAATCTAGCATCAACAATATCATTGTTACATTCTGACGTCACCACACTTTTACACTAAGAATTGCACCTCACTTCAGCCTTTCAATACACCCATATTTCGAAGACCATGGGATATCCGTATGGTAAAAAAACTATTTCCATATCAGGGAAAAACGGAACTGCTCTACAATTTTAACTATGTTTGCAAATGTTAATCTGGACCCCGATCCACAAAGAGTTCGTAACGTTACGACCCTTCGTAACAATATAGTTTGTCATAGGTGTACGAATGCCGTAGTGCTGCGAACGCTTCGTGGATCGGGGCCCAGAGCTTTATCTTACCATGTGAAGATCCTGGGTGCCGATCCACAAAACGTTCGTAGAGCTTCGACATTCGTAAACCTATGGTAAACTATAGAGTTACGACATTTCTTAACGTTACGAAGGTTTTGTGGATCGGGACCCAGTTCAGTTGTCAGTCGAAGGTTAATGAATGTGGCAAAACCTTCACTGAATCATCCAGAAATCCTCAATTGGAAACTGATGCATTTACTGTAAATCTTTTCAGACTCGTTTCTGGCCGAGGAGGCGGATATGAGAGAGCCTATCAATATCGGTTCTAAGACCATCATGAAGCTGCAGGAACTCCGAGTTAACCCACCGTACCAGTTGGCGGACCATAATGATAAATTGGGTGCCACAGTAATGCCCGTACATGTTGGTATCGTTCGAGAAGCCAAACATGTAAAATCAAAACAAAAAGACCTCGTTGTCCCGCAAATGGTCGACAAGATCTCTATTGTTAAACGTAATTCCATGTCACATGACGCTGGCGCTTCATCACGTGACACACCTGTCAGGTCAGAGGAGCCCCCTATATCGGACTACTGTAACCGTGACGGTATCTTGGCGGCATCACAGGAAGGCAAGTTTGTCGTTTTTACATAAAGTTCAGATACATGATAACTGGTTCAGTCAAATCCAGAGTTAAATATTGCATACACTTTACTCAGCTGCACCCATGAAGCATCGGGTTTGTGTGTTTGTCTGTCTGTTTGTTTGTTGTTTAAAGCCGCTCTCGCCAATATTCCAGCTATATGGTGGCGGTCTGTAAATAGTCGACTCTGGACCAGACAATCCAGTGACGAACATCATGAACATCGATCTCAGTAATTGGGATACCAGGTCAGCGATACTCGATCCCGTTAGTCACCCGTATCTTCACGGGTATGAGAGTGTTAAACATAAAGTGTTCGTTAAGCAGAATGACCAACTCGATTCCTGAACGTATCATCGCTCTGTACTATCAAATATAACTTATGACCACCTGGTATACGGTAGATAAAGTCCATGCACTAAAAGCGGAAGGTCGGTGCTTGATCCCCGGCTGAGACATCAAAAGACGTTGAAAGAACTTACTTCCCTGCCTGACGTTTGGCATTATGGGATACAACAAGGACCAGTACACAGTACTGTCCATGTCCATGTTTAACTGCGACGGAGACTAGCAATGGAAAGACCGAAATAGCCATAGAAACCACTGAATACCACTGAATTGTATGATTATTATATCAAAATTTATTTTTGCAGGAATAGCTCCACACGGATATAACCTTGTTTCTGTCCATGTGATCACTCGACACGGCGACCGATCTCCAATGTACACCTTCAACCGTCATACTAGCCCACGTCTTAGCTGTCAGTTTGACCCCCAGGAGGTGATGAAAGACGCCCAACTCGCCGCCTACGTCACAACGATGCGGGGCTGGGAGGGTCATCAACGGGAGGACAGTGGCTTCATGAGCTGGGCCCTCTACCCTGGCCGGAAGGTTTGTGACACCTCACAACTCAGTGCGGTCGGCGCGAAACAAATGCTGAATCTTGGGTACTTGATGCATGAACGTTACGTACAAAAATGGCGCCTTTTTGGACACAACTTTCGTGCAGAGCAAGTGTTACCTCGTAGCACGGAATATTCTCGAACATACCAGAGCGCCATTGCGTTCCTTTACGCCTTTCTGCCACGATTCAATCTGACAGATATGCATGTGAAGCGAGTTTCAAATCTGTTCTTCTGTTCCGAACAAACACTCGCAGCTCCGTGCACGTGTCCAGTGCTGAGGAGTCTTAAGAAGCAAGCGGACGCGCTGGCTACCTCCGCTGTGAGGAACAGTACAGGATATGACACTTTAGTGAACGCCTTGGCGAATATGTATGACATGCCAGTGAGCCGCCTTCCAAGGATGTGGGCAATGATGGATGTATTTCTCTCCCACACATGTAACTCCCTCCCTTTGCCTTGTAACAAACAGGGTCTGTGCATTAAACCAAGAATGGTATCGGAACTTTGGGGACATGTCACAAATTATACCAAGTATCTCATTACAGATGAAAGGTATCAGAAATATGCAAGTTTAGCTGTACATCCGCTTCTAACTGAAATTGTGGAACAAATGCAAGATGCTGCAAACGGTGTCACCAATACCAAATTTCATCTCTTATCTGGTCATGACGCGACCTTGGTACCACTATCTGTTGTTTTTGGCGCTGGCGGAGGAACATGGCCGCGTTACGCATCCAGATTTGTGCTGGAACTATATTCTCGGAAGGATACATCTGAACATTACATCCGGGTGCTTCATGATGGTAAAGACGTCACTCGTGAGGTTGCCTTTTGTCATGGGCATATCCATGATGGAATGTGCCCTTTGAAACGGTTCGCCGACTTTGTACTGCGAGACAATTTAAGACATTTTGATGAAAGTGATTATATTAATCTATGCTACAGCCCATCATAATCTGAACACATACCCCGACATGTAAACAGTATTTTATGGACGTTCATTTCAATGTATTACACAATGATGACGTAAACGCCCCTAGCATGCCGAGGATGGGATACATGACAGGTGAATGGTAAACACATGCTTGAAATAGAAGGATAGACATGTGCATCGCTGTAAACTAGTTATTAAATTAACCGAATGAGTGAATTGGGTTAACGCCACTTTTTAAACAGTGCTCCCAAGCTTAATAGGGGAGAAACAAACCCGAGCACAAATGTGCTGGTGACTAACCTAGAATCACCGGGATTCGAACCCACAATCGTAGTTTTCATCAGTGCCCAAGGGATACAACTTTGCACGTTACCCTCTTACGCTTATAAAATACGTATATGTAAGTAGAATACATACATAATACATATACGGTATACGAAGAGTGAGTTTGATACAGATTTGCACATTGTTTTGCAAGAACGTTATCAAGATATATCCTGGTATACGATGGGTATCTGTGACAACGTCGGGCGACTTAGAATACACCGTCACATTCCTTCAGCGGCATAAATATGTCTAGAGATCTCACTGTATTGTTCTAAACAATAGTAGTTCTAACATGCTAGTTGCTCACCTCTGCTCACCTCACGGACTGCTTGTCCAAGCTCTTGTCAGCACAGCTGAAGATGGTTGTTTTTGCAAGTGAGTGAGTGAGTTTAGTTTTATGCCGCACTCAGCAATATTCCAGCTATATAGCAGCGGTCTGTAAATAATCGAGTATGGACCAGAGAATCCAGTGATCAATAGCATGAGCATCGATCTACACAATTGGGATACGACATGTGTCAACCAAATCAGCGAGCCTGACCACCCCCATGACAAGTGTTTTTGCGCGTGGACATTTCGTCAGTGTGGAGTTATTTCAAAAGTAAAATGTAATATCTCAAAAGCATGTTTTCGGGAAAATGTTACATTTTGGCGCTCAGTGCAATCCTTTATACAGTAAACTACAACGAACAAAAAGGGACCATTAAATTCAGGTTGTAATATCAAAGTATAAATGGCTGGGGCAGAAAATGCAGTTCGTTACATCCGTTAGTTCGTTATACGCGTGTTTCTTATAAAATTGGTTCAAAGTATGTTTCCAGGATACCCGTTTCATCGTTCATTCTTTATGCAATAGCCATATAACATTGACTCTGTACGCAGGTGCGAACATCGTTGGTACAATATTTAAACATAATATCGCATTTTAAAATGATACTAAGATCATATTGGTAGAAGAATCTTATGATGATTGTGCACCATATAAAAATAATCACAAGCGTTGCTTGAGAGTCATCGTATTACCATTGATTACAACTATTAAACGTACTCTATCAAAGGTCTACATTAAGGTATACTATTCCAAAACAAGCTCTGAACCCACACCGAACATCATCTCGCCTTACTGACACTTGTCGCAATTCATGGTCATTATCATTCCATCAGATGTATTCCTTATTTAATTTGTATATTCCCTAGTCTTTATAGTTACTTTTGCATGAAGATAATAAAAGTTACTTAAGAACACATCTTGGTATTTAATTTGTTGTTATTGTGAGTTTTTTGGAATGTTCACACTCTCAAACTCGAGTTTGACAACATGTGACACTTGTTACATCCGAGTCAAACACGACATCATCTGAAAGCCGTGTCTTGTTTGTATCATTGTTGCCACCATCAAACATGTCTATTGCATAGCGGTTTATCGTCACAATTACGTAAAATATTCAGCCGTATCACCACCGCCATGTCCTGCGTGTGTGTGTGAGTGAGTGAGTGAGTGAGTGAGTGAGTGTGTGTGTGTGTGTGTGTGTACGTACGTATGTCTGTACGAGGGGGGATATGCATGTTTTGGGGGTGTTGGGATGTTTTCCACCATGGTCGACATGTAATATACTGACGAAAACAACTTGCCGAAGAATGTTTATTTTTGAGAAACAGTGTTAGCAGGTTTACAAAACGTACAGTTGTGCGTATAATTTTTAACATGTTAAACATTAACTAATCCATGTTCAAGTTCCCATTCTCCGCTCCACACGTGCTTGTATTTTGACGCTAATTTGAACATTGTTGCAAAAGCAGATTAATATGTGAGATTTAATCAATGGAAACACACGGCCAACATTCATATATCATTTATAGATGACATCCTATCGGCAGTTTCTATCAATTAAAGCCCTCTAATCAGAATATTTGATCTCATATAATTTTAATTTTACCGATTTTATCAACATTTTGTTAATTAACCTCTATTTTTAATCAACCATTTGCACGACACTTATGATAGACAAAGGAAGTACGTTAAAAAATTCATTGTAGCATGTTCAGGGAGACAGTATCTACAGAGTAAAGAATTATAGAGTTCTTCATTGATCACAGTCTGGCTCTGGTTCTCGATCGGGCCCAGGGGCGATTCGACGTGACTTTCTTCTGACCGGTGATTTGCCCCTGATAAGCGAAGATGAACTGCCTGGTCTTTCTTCGTAATCTTCCACCGGTGTAAGTGGCCGGTCCGTGGTGAAGCCTGGACGAGTCGACTGATGTCGAAAGTGGGCAAAGCGGACGTTTGCCTCCCCGAGACGTGGACCACCGTTCAGGTTTTTCGCCTGGAGAAAAGAACAGTCGAGGGTATACTGAAAACCATATGTCCGTATAGTCTATAGGTCTAGAAATTGGGTGTTTCAATTCTGTGTTCATCCTCCTTGTTGTAACTGGTCTTTCCATACCAAATACGTTCCAAACCATTGTCTCATAAGCTGTAAGACATGGACTCACTTTTGTACCGAACTGTGTAAAGTAACGCTCAAGTTGTAAAATTCTAAAATAATTAAATTCGTATGTTTAAAAAAACGCACTGTAACTACTTACGGCTTGATGTTCGTGAAGATCGGGCACAGATCGGGGCGATCGGTCAGACCTCATCGGGGTTGTTGGATCATCTTGTCGGCGACTGGAAATGAGCACGCAGGACGCTCCAGACTGCTCACGGGACTGTGAACAGTTCGATTAGAAATTAATTACGTGATAATACATCCGAAGAGCACATATCTACAATTCCAGGTCTATGCTTCCATCGCTCCTTCCTCAAATGGCGACATCGACTTAGATGTTTTGAAATATCATAAGTTTCCAACTTGTGTCCTGTTGGAAAGTTGCGTTGTGACGATATATATTATAAAGTCAGTTTGAAAATTACCCAAGGGTAACGGGACTGTGGAACATTTCGATTTGAAACAGTTCATAGGTACAACGCAATGTCTAAGTAACATCGCTCCCTGCAGAAATGGCGACGTTCATTTATATATTTGAAATATCTAAAAGTTAAACTAAACTTGTGTACTGTTGGAAAGTTGCGTTTTGAGGTAAGGACTATAAATTACGGTGTCCTGACTTACAATTACAATTCAAATTCAAATTATGCTGTGAACGTTGATGTGACATTGGCACTTACCTTTTGGCTTTTCCCACCTTCACTAAAGTCCTGGAAGAAATAATGGCTTCTTTTATGACAAAAAAGGGGACAAACAATATTCTTCCCTATTTATAACTGATATCAGATAAAACAGGTAACTTGTGTCATATTAGGAGCTGGCTGAATAACAATCGAGCCATGAATAGTCAAGGCAGTGGATAAGAGTCTATGCATGAGATCAGGGTGGCGCGTATTATCCAGGCAGTAACAATGCTGCATCAACTCTCGACATCCGGGGTTGTACAATTATATATTCCACTTACTTTACATCAGGGGAATGGGAAGTCTATATAAACAGAAATTGTAGAAATAATTACTACTGCCAGACAGTTAATTGCCTATCCACAACAATGGCTGCTGACTCTCTCTTATCATGTCCATGTTGGACAGCAGCATAGTTCAACTATGTGACTTGAAGCCCACGCTCAGTTCCATGCATGGACATGTACTCGACGCCCATTTTGTTTTTGCTCCCGATGAATTCTTACTGGAATGTTGATACCTTGGTGTTAAGCCCACAGTTAAATCACTGTGTACATCTGACTATACTTACATCCCTGAAGCCTGCATTGACAAAAGTTGTTCTGGATCCTTCCGTCTTACATAATGTCCAGGACCGGTGAAATCGTCTGTAAAATAAGATGAAAGTACTCTTGAAGGGCGAGTTAGTGATCGCCTTCACTAAAATGGGACTTCTCTTGCTTGTCGGTGCAGTGTTACAGCTCATAATGAAAATGTCCACGGTCACGTTGGTTTTTCAAACAGAAAGAAAAGCGTATTATTTCAGACATTCATATAAGAAAAAAAACAATAACCAGTGTTAACATAAGAAACTGATACATACAAGTTGAAAATTAAAATGTGTCAATGTTAATTCGTTTACATTTGATGGTGTTTATTTTGAGTTTTGTTAGGATTGAATAATAACTGGTCGAATTGTTTGGGAAGATAGATGTAGACGGAATAACATGTTGTATTAAGAATCGTAACTGTTCCCTCAGACATATGTCATGTGACCCCTTCCACCATTCAGACTTACTCATGCTGTTCACAATGTTTCAAAATGCAATCTTAGTATGATGAGGTTTGACTGAAGATCTTGAGGTTGGTTGCAAAGTATATTATATAATTTTCTCCGAAGACCAAATATTTCAACAAAGGTGCTGGAGATACTGTGTCCCAAACACACGCCCAGCAGACACATTGTCATCATCATTTACGGAAACCTTGCTAGAAAGTTGTTCCGTTAAGGTGGAATTCTAATGCATCTTTTAATATTTCGAAGCCATGCAAGGAAAGGTGACAACACCTCCAATAACACAATAAACTGAATACATGCAAGAAAAGATAATCAAAAGTTTCAATGGCGTAATAAACTAATTACATGTAAGAAAAGGTCATCAAAACCTCCATTGGCGTAATAAACTCAATACATGCAAGAACACGTAAACCGTTACCATGCCAACTAACGACCATTATCTGATCAACTACGAAAAGCAAGCAATGTACCGCATTTTCATGTCATACCCTCCTGGATATCACCTAGTCAAATGTTCTTGCACTTGCTTGCCCATACATTTTACCACGGTATAATCATGCAACAATACCTTGCTTATCGGCAAATGTTCTCCTTATTATACAAGAGCTACTTGGTTCATGACACAGCTGGTGGATACGTTTACAGTAACACATACAAAGTCAAAAATACATAATTATCTGTATGGTGAGAAAAAGTATAATGAATGGAAAGAAAACAGGAGGCCAACTGACAACCACCAAGTTGGAACAGAAATGAGGTGTACTTGAGACATGTTTTTATTACTGTGTGTCCACTTTATGTAAAATATCTCTTGCGATTGGGTGAAAACAAACGTAGTCCGAAACGTTCGTCTGAAAGAGTTACTTCCCCTTTAATATGGATCTCTAATGCTGAAATTTGAACACCGCATAACTACCATTTGTTATTCAAGTCCCTCTGTAAAGTCGAAGTTCAGGTGTTTGCAAAGAAAACTGAATAAGTATAGGGGAACTGCTATCAACAAATAATAAAAAAAGAATTTCACAGGTTCAATATAACATTTTTCTTTTTCCACTTCTCCTGAGCTCGTAACCACGGATAAAATATGTATTTGCAACAATTTGAAACAGAGTCAATCGTTATGTATAAATTGGAGTGTGGATCTTTTCATATTCAACCTGATATTTGACTGACGTACCCATGCGCACATGCGAGATACCTACCTTCGTTTGAGCATGCACAGATACCAAGCCAGCTCGGATAAGATGCTTAACAATATCACTGCCAACACCACCAGCGGGACCATCCATGCCTGCCACCCATCACAGTTCGGATTTTCTTTTGCACATGCGCAGTAGTATCTGTTGACATCGTTGTAGCAGACGTACGGCCAGGAACATGGGGAACTGCCACACTCGTTGACGTCATCCTCGCAGTGCATGCCGGTCCAGCCAGGTGCGCACGCACACTCGTAGTAAAGGTCAAAACCTTCAGCGCGGCGGTAGTTGGTGCAGTTGTACAGGCTTTCATCTTTGCCTGGAATTATGTGAGGATGTATGAAGTGAATGAACGATTCACGTTGTAGACATTGCAGAGATATTCATAATGTGATCCATAGCGCTAGTTGGATGGGGTGAGTGAGTGAGTTTGGTTTTACACCGCTTTTAACAATATCCCAGCAATACCACCGCGGGGGACACCAGAAATGGGCCGGGGAAAGCGATTCCGGGTCTCTGGCGTGACGAGAGAACCCCTTAACCACTAGGCTTCTCCGCCGCTGTAGGGAGTTATTGACGTCGATCCATTTTAAATTTGTGCTTATTTGTTACTTTTTTCTGAATGTATATCTGTCATACATTTGTCATGTTGGTAATCAAACCAAGTACAAAACGTGTTTTAAAATCAGAAACGTCAAGATGATTATCATGAAAAAAAATATTGAAATGAAAAAATAGTGAATGAGCTCCAGTTTCAAATCCCTTTTCAGCAACACAGTCTAGGATTGAACCAAGGTCGTTGGTGTCACGAGTCAATGCTTTAACCATTGGGCTACAAGTTACTTAAGTTCCGAATCGCTGGCGGACAAAGACATGGCATGGCTTACTTCTGCATGTTCCTCCATTCTTGCATGGCCTCTCCATCACAGTTGGTTTGATCGTGATGACGTCAGAGTATGCCCCTGCCTGGTCCTGGGCGTAAACCCGAACCTCATCGTAACCATAGTAACCAGGGTCAGGTTGGTACTGAAAGGTTCTGTAGACCCAGTTGAGGGAGTCGGAACGGTGGGGGAGGTTGAGCTTCTCACAGGGGATGCCGCTCTGAAATCAATGTATTATATGCACATTAATACATTATTACATGAGTCATGAGTTTACTTGAAATCTGTTACATCTATACACATGGAAAAATGTATCGCAACACCCATATTTTTCATAGAATGTATCGCAACACCCATATTTTTCATAGTATCAGTACATTACCATTAACCATAGAAAAGGAACCTTTCCAAAAACTCATTTTGTAGTGCTAAAATGCATGGTAGAATTGCGTGTAGAGTTGCCTGGGATCGAACCGCAGACATGCGCGTGTACGGACAGACGCCCTACACCACGGCAGTGGTCACATAACACATCCACATAGATCGAGTTTTTCTCATATGGAATAAGCAAACAAGGCGGAAGCCACGATAACCAACAGGTACGTTAGGAGTACGAATAATTTATTAGGACAAAATTCATGATGAATATTTTTGCAATTTGGGTCAATCTCTTTATTTGTCTGCAGCATATGTCTACGTGTACCTAAATTACAAAGGTCATATAAATCATTCTCGAATGCAATTTGGCTCTGAACTGACCGTGTTGTATGAACAGGGATCCTTGGTCTTCACGTCACTGACAGTGAGATTCCCGCTAGTCGACAGTGTGTAATAGATGGTCATGTTGTCGTCAACGTCAACGTCGTACGCCCCAAACTCCCATATGTACGTGGTGGGGTTGCTGTCATTGACGCGTGCCTGCTCCAACAGAATCTGAAAAAGCATAGACACTGTCGTGAACCAAACGTTCCACGATTATGCCTAAAACCCAATATTGCCATGAGATATGTCCCATCCTGGCATCAAGTCACAGCGCCTTTGTCAGATACATGTTTGGTTTTAGAAACTGACCATATGACATCTCTAGACAGCCATTCAAACACCTACATCCCTTTGAGTTAAACATTTCACAGACCAATATCGTTACGTTGAACCTATGACAAACTGAATGTTGATACCAGCCTGTGAAACAAACGGTTCTTAAAGCACGTCAAATACAAACCTGCTCGGAATTATCTTTGCTGAAACACCTCTTTCACGCGTGACTCTAGTTTCCTAGTTGCTGCTCCTTTTGACTAAGACAGCTTTTTATAAGGTAAAGACGATGAGAAATGTAACCTTTTCTCAGTATTCCATATACATGCATCACGACAAGGGACTTCAGCGATGGGCTTCACACACTATACCCATATGGGGACTGGAACTTGACGAGAGAACCCAGTGCTAACTAGCGTGTAACTAGTGCTGTACGATCACCTCCTTGACGTGATCATGGTAGGAAAATAGGCTGTGTATTAACGTCGCTAAAGCAACGTGTTGAAATGCGACCTACCTGAACCGGATGTGCTGGATCTGCATGGAGGAAGCTGACGCCATCACTGAAGACGAAGGCGCTGGGGGCGTCGTTGACGGGGGTGACGATGATACTGATGTTTACTGCCGTTTCGGCCGGTGGTATCTCAGCTTGGGGCACCTCATACAGAATTACGGGAACATCAATTGTTCCATGGTAGTTGGAAGCTGGAGTGTAAGTCATTCTGAAAATATGTCAGAGAATAACAAGTGTCTATTATCTGACGAACAAGATTCCACTGGGCATGAAAGACAAAATAGCGATGACATGATACATGGATTGATCGCTCAGAATCAGTGATGACACCTGGTATTTGCGAAGAGGGTTTGCATGTCCAAAATTACCAGTAGCCATTCTGTTGACCTGAAGTAGATGTTAGTGAAACACATTAGCGTCTATATGTGTGGGATTACATGCACCCCATAATGCACCCAGTTTATCTTTTGATAAGCATGTACCAAGTTAACAGTAGACATTATGTTGACCAGAAGTACATGTTAGTGAAATACATTCATGTCTATGTGTATGGGATTACACGTTATGTTAGGCCAGTGAGTGATACTGACAGACCTGTACTTAGATAATATATCTGTTTCCAAATATGTCACATGAACAAATTCCTCCCACAGCAACGTCTCTTACACCACATGGCATGTTGTACAGCTGTAAGTATTCATTATGCGGCAACTCACAATCCAGCCTCGGATAGAGTCAGTTCCAGATCACCCACAACGAAGTCGTCACGCATCTTGTACTTGACCACGTCTCCATTAGCGTCTGTGGTTGTCATCTGGTATATCATGGTACCTGGAAGATTAACGGAGGATGCTCATATTCTTGTGATCCGGTAAGAGTTTAACGCCTCTATAAAGTTCCAGTTACGTGACCGCCTCCGTGGTGTAGTGGTTAGAGCGTCCGCCCGGAGAGCGGAAGGTCGTGGGCTCGATCCCCGATCGCGTCATACCAAAATACGTTAAAATATGGTACTTGCTGGTCCCTGTCTGGCGCTTGGCATTAATGGGTACAACAAGGACTGGTCTGCTCGGAGTCAGTATAATGTGTCTGAGTGGGGTATTCATGCTTCACTGCGACATGGCATCTCAGTGGGCTAGCACTGTAAAACCAGATTCAGTCTGGGCTAGTACAAGCAGCCGCACATACACATACAAACGCATGCACGTCGTCATATGAGCGAAATATTCTCAAGCACGACGTTAAAACCCAATTTCACCTCACCCCACCCCCAGTAACGTTCATCCCACTGTACGTGAACATCAAGGCTACGTGCATATCAAGGCATGTGTCAGTGCGATGTCTGTGTGATCACAACGTGACCAGTTCCCAACATGGAACCAACTAGCACATGTGTGATGCTGGCAAGTCGCGGATAACGCAAGGGGCTTATACTGCAATTTAAACTCATCGAGTCCGTGTAGTAAAGTTCGCATCCCTATTTACAGCTGGACCCGGTGCCTTGCATCATTTGTCCACCCTTGCTTATAGAGAAGGAACTTAGTTCTAGAGAATTAACAAGCTTCATATCCCGGTATTCCTGTAATACAACCTGAAAGACACATACCCTGATCTTCCTTTTTCACAAGCTAAGAGACATACCTAGGTTTTCCTGTATAACAAACTACCACTGTCAGACATATGCTCTGGTCTTCCTGCACGACAGGAGACACAAGCTAGGAAACATATAAGCTGGTCTTAATGTATTACAAACTAACAGACATATTCCCTTGTCCTCCTCCGTGACAAGAGACACAAGCTGAGAAACACATACCCCGGTCTTCCTGTATGACAACAGACACAAACTAAGAGACAGATACCCTGGTCTTCCTGTATGACAACAGGCACAAACTAAGAGACAGATACCCTGGTCTTCCTGCATGACAAGAGACACAAACTAAGAGACAGATACCCTGGTCTTCCTGTATGACAACAGACACAAACTAAGAGACAGATACCCTGGTCTTCCTGCATGACAACAGACACAAACTAAGAGACAGATACCCTGGTCTTCCTGTATGACAAGAGACACAAACTAAGAGACAGATACCCTAGTCTTCCTGCATGACAAGAGACACCATCTAAGAGACAGATACCATGGTCTTCCTGTTTGACAAGAGACACAAACTAAGAGACAAATACCCTAGTCTTCCTGCATGGCAAGAGACACAAACTAAGAGATATACCCTAGTCTTCCTGCATGACAAGAGACACAAACTAAGGACAGATCTTCCTTCCTGCATGACAAGAGACACAAACTAAGAGACACATAGTCTTCCTGTATGACAAGAGACACCATCTAAGAGACAGATACCATGGTTTTCCTGCATGACAACTGACACCACCTAAGAGACAGATACCCTAGTCTTCCTGCATGACAAGAGACACAAACTAAGAGACAGATATCCTAGGCTTCCTGCATGACAAGAGACACAAACTAAGAGACAGATACCCTGGTCTTCCTGCATGACAACAGACACAAACTAAGAGACAGATACCCTGGTCTTCCTGCATGACAAGAGACACAAACTAGAGACAGATACCCTGGTCTTCCTGTATGACAAGAGACACAAACTAAGAGACAGATACCCTAGTCTTCCTGCATGACAAGAGACACCATCTAAGAGACAGATACCATGGTCTTCCTGTTTGACAAGAGACACAAACTAAGAGACAAATACCCTAGTCTTCCTGCATGGCAAGAGACACAAACTAAGAGACAGATACCCTAGTCTTCCTGCATGACAAGAGACACAAACTAAGAGACAGATACCCTGGTCTTCCTGCATGACAAGAGACACAAACTAAGAGACACATACCCTAGTCTTCCTGTATGACAAGAGACACCATCTAAGAGACAGATACCATGGTTTTCCTGCATGACAAGAGACACCATCTAAGAGACAGATACCCTAGTCTTCCTGCATGACAAGAGACACAAACTAAGAGACAGATACCCTAGTCTTCCTGCATGACAAGAGACACAAACTAAGAGACAGATACCCTGGTCTTCCTGCATGACAAGAGACACAAATTAAGAGACAGATAACATGGTCTTCCTGCATGACAAGAGACACAAACTAAGAGACAGATAACATGGTCTTCCTGCATGACAAGAGACACCATCTAAGAGACACATACCCTGGTCTTCCTGCATGACAAGAGACACAAACTAAGAGACAGATACCCTAGTCTTCCTGCATGACAAGAGACACCGTCTAAGAGACACATACCCTGGTCTTCCTGCATGACAAGAGACGTAGTGCTGGTGAGCTGAGGGGGTGAGTTAGGTATCTGTGTCAGAGCTGAAGTCAGCAGGAACTGGGTCTGGTGTCTGAAGTACGTGTCTGACACAGAACGCCGACGTCTGGAACTGCTGCCTCGTGTTGACCTTGTGTTACACACCTAAACACAACACATCAGACACAATCCCAACAGATACTGACTGATATGCACAAATTAAACATTGTGAAGACAAAAAGGTTGTATGTGCCGGACATGATCAACCTGTACAACGTCAGTTCATGTTACTGGTGAAAATACAGCAAAATAACGTCAGATCCCGACAGAAATGTTTTCATTTAAGAAAATATCAGGGTTCATTATGATACGTGTTAAAATACTGTATACCACCCACCTTGACCGTGACCTGAGAGGTGGCCGGGTCTCTGACCTCCGTGTCTGTTTCATGTTGACAGGTCTTGTTGCTCTGTTGCCACTGTCTGGCATCTGTATCATACAAACATCATTAAACAGAGGCGATCTCCACTGTTATGATTCGCGCTCATGCTTCGTCCAAAATTGAACTCTCCGTAAAAACAATTTTCACTTGCTTTATTTCAGAACAAGCATGTACAGGTCCATTTATTGTTTATAAATAAATGCAGTCATACCAGTTAATGTCGAAGGAACATTTACTTGTTGTTAGCATAGGTCATACTCAGGATGAATCCGAGATTAAACGGATCCTGGATCCAGTAAGACCACAAAGCGACCGATTGTAAGTGAATATTGTCACTAAAAACTGACATCTTAACGAATGACAAAAAAGAGAGTTATATTCACAAACAGCAGATTCTTTCACCCCTGAGGGCCACACCTCTGCAGATCGGAATGCAAGCACTGGATCATCCATGACACAAGTTTAACATGATGGTAATGATTGAGTGAATGACACAAGGAATGGATGGCATCGTCTGTTCTGGACAAAACCTCTAGACTAACTATTTCATGACAGAACAGGTAGAACATTACCAGTGTTCCAGTGAAGCAGCATCAACGTTGTATTGGTCACCGTGGGATCATAGGTGAAGGTCACTTTCACCGGTCCTGGCATGGGAAGATTACCAATGCTGGTCAGAGAGAACGAGAGGTCGGTTTCCTGGTAGTTGAGCCTCTTTCTGAGGATTCTGTCCGTGAAGGCATCTTCTGTGGTTGACGTAAAGGGGTCAGTGATGTATGGGACGAACTCCACCGAGGCGTCAGACTTGTATTCCGTCTCTAGATCAAGCTTTGTGAGCTCAGTGACCACGATGCTCTGGCCGGCCTGTAGTCCTGGATCACAGACAAGGAAGAAGAAACATTAAAGATGGTGAAACACACATCGTACATCATTGTGTGTTGATTCAGTAAGCAATGATACAGTGTTATCGTTGTGGACTGAAAATATGCAAAACGACAAAGCAGATCAAGCACACAAGGCACATATGTGACCTAATTTTGTCGGTCCCTACAAGAAACATGAGTAAACGTTGACCTCTTCCACCAATATTCCTATGTACGAGGAACAGAGAGTCCGTGAGAACAGTTCTACGTCGCTCTGAACGTAATGAAGCAAAGATGACAATATCCTGTTATTTTGTACACTAACCACCTGGTGTTGATACAGTTACTCCTGAAAGATCCCTTTTTCTTCTGGCACCACCACCAACACCTACAGTAAAGGCAGAACCATTTGACGACGTCGCCATCGTGGACTTGTCTGTCTCCACTATGGTAGAGCCCAGCAACTTGGTGGTACACAGTTGAGCCTCATTACACATCTTCATGAAGATGAACATCTCTGTGCCTGGAGCCATGGTGAAGGCTGACTTGTCTGTGGTACCGTGGACGGAGGCGTTGTAGTCTGACTTGTACTGACTCAGCATGTAGATGTTGTGGCCGTTTAGTTTGAGGTATCCATCTTCTATTGTAACCGTCCCCGACGTGTTGTAGCCGACCCAGGTGCAGGGGAAGATGTCCCTGATGCTGGTCTCGGAGCTCCCCACACAGAAATCTGAAGATAGAACCAACATGCCTTATCCGTTTTGCAAAATAGTTTGTGGTTAGTATTGCCCTGTAGTAGATGAGTGGGTATGTACTGAAAGTTTCCAAATTTAACAATATTCCAACTATGTGAGTGGGAAAACAGGATGAGCCCTACGGAGAGCATCTATATGAGCCCATGTAAAGGTAACATCAACGAATGATATTAGCATTGTTTACAGGTGACGATGACGTCCAAACAAATCTTTTAGAAATCAGTATTTGCATTGAGTCACTACCAGTTTATTAACAATTCAGGTGTTTTATTATCAATTCCTCTTTAATCAAGGCCAATAATATCATAACAATTATTTGTTACAAATTTATATTACATATGGTAGACAACACTTTCCCTTCTTATTAGCCCACATAATATGGTAAATGTTATCTCAATGACATCACTTCAATGACATCACTTAAGGGTCCTATTCCTTCATCTGGTGAGCCACCGGTCGCCTTAATGGCCATTTTACGATCCCTGACAAGGATACATGTGCTAGTATGTAATTTCACCTCGTGACCCCAGTACGCATGGAAAGCACGGGTGTGTAAATTATTTAATCTTAATTGTATTAAAACGCGAGCATTTCTTTGAGGTGGTTTGCCTCATGAACTGGCATATAACAACTTTGTAAAATCTAAGTAGAATGACAATGCTCGTTCATAAGACATGGTATTTTCGTTTCTTCGATTACCATATCGCCTGATACTTTCATCTTCAGAGACTGTCCACGTAGCGCCCACGGTGTTTTTGTCTGTGGTTTTCATGGAGTTTGGCGGCACCACTGTATCTCCAAGAGATTCAGCACCCACTATGGTCGTTTTGACGTCATCGACAATGGGAGGCTCGAGAAGAACGGTCACACCTAAGTCACATATACCACTCATTTAATTATTCATTAAGATTGGAATCAGATTCTCCTGACAATTTTTTCAAATACATTCCATTTGTATCCAATTGACACATGTCAAAAGTTTTAAACAGCAAACACAGTGTTTAAGGAGCGCCTGTAGAAAATCACTTTATTCTTTGGTGTATTTAAGCAGTAACCTGCAGTAATAATTTAGTGTTTGAAAAGTAGGTACGTCACGTAGAAATACATGTATGTCAATACTCTAACGTCTGATATATAAGGGTACACACCTCTGGGGTCAGCGTATGTTGTGACCAGCCCACCCCCGTTGGTACATCTGACGGTCACGTAGTACGTCTTGTTGTGTTCCAGAAGGCCTCCAAGTCCGGAGTTCACAGATCCAGGATACTCCCTAGTTGATACAAATGTCTGCAACTCCTCTCCCCCTGGCGCTGTGCCTATCGCCCACTCGTAGTTCTGAAATATTTACCCAGCTCATATAGATAAAATGTGTATTTTTCTCCTGAATGTTGTTAATATTCCAGCGATATCACGGCGCTGGGCAGAACGGAACGGAACGACATCGAATCCGGGTTCTTGCGGTTCAACCTTGTTGTTAAGAATACGCCAATTTTCACTGATTTTCATCATTTACTGAACTCATGACAATAATCTTTTCAACGTTACAAATTTGTTTTACATTAGTTCATGTGTACACAGTACCTTTAAACTGAATGGAATATTTTGCAAAATCTAGTTTAGAACAGTTACCTGAAGTAAGTGGCCACATTTACACTCGTGAGTCATCTTTTGATGGGTAGTATATTAACCAAAAGATTTCACCTGTGAATATGATTTCAGATACATTACCACAATTTCGCTCTCGTTGTCGTTGCACTTCAATATAGCCTTAATAGTGTCGTTGGATCCCTGGTACGTCACAGGGGGTGAAGTTGCCCTGAGTGACGTCGATGTACAGCATGACGTCGGTGTCAAACAGTGGTGGTGACGTGTCGATGTTGAAGCCGTCAGATGACGATACCGCCTCTGTTCCAGACCCGAGGACAGCTTTCACTGGAACACGCCATGCTGGTGAAATCAGACTGGTGGGGTGGTGGGGGTATTCTTTCATTAGAACAGTATATTTGTCTGTTTATCTGTTTAAAAATTGTAACTAATATGAGGTACTATCATGTAATTAGTATGAGGTACTATCCATTATAGAAAATGTTTCATTGTTTAAATGTACTGTCATCAATGTCCATAGAGTAGAATTGTAATTTGGAAACATCTCTTTGCTCAATGACTTTGCTCAGTGGCATAAAATGTTCTTTGTGGGATGCGATCAAATAATTACCGACAATGTTCAGTTCAACTGTTATTATATGTGTCAGTCCTTTTAAGCAGTTATCTCCCTTGCTCATGCTATTCCGGTGTTTCCGCGAACTGTCTCTACTGTTTGCCTTTTTTCCAACTTCTTAGTTTCAAAAAGCACATGTTTGCGGGAGTGTTTAGATTAGCCTTAAAATAAAATAATTATTTTAGAAAAAATGCAATTCGTCATGATTAACGTCACAGTGTGTGTGCATGCACTTTTGACTTTACTCATTGTATTGCAGTCGCATCGTTCGAGGCGAGGAAGCCCTTTCGGTTGTGCCCAGATGTAGAGAAGGGAGTTGGGGGTTGGTTTATGTACCTCAACTCTGTATATAGTTTCCCTTTATTTTTACGTTAGTTATTGTTTGTTATTAGGTGGATTATTTTGTGTAAAACTATTATATACGAGCTGTTCATTCAAACTGGGTTAATGCAAGTGCTATATATAATTGGTACAGTTGACTTTGTATGTAAAAGATGCTTTTTTCTATGTTAATGTTTATATTGTACTTTCATCCATTGTGCTTATCTAAAATACTTTTACTTTATTTATTACACAGAGAGATAACATGCATAATAACTGATACTTTCAGACACATGTTTAATATGGGATGAAAATGTCCAAGTTTCATCTGTGACAGGCCATCCATGATGTTACGATGTATATTGAATGTTTTTGTTTCATTGTTTAGGTGTACCGTTTTTAATATTCATAAAATACACGGACTCAGCCTAGAGAAGGGCTCTGTTCTGCTTTCACATTTCGTCCATCTCCAAAGGTCAGGTGTCCTTTGGTAAAATGAAACCTGTTGGCCTTTGTAATTGTTGCTTTTTTGCTGTCTATAAATGATCATCCAAAGGTGTACAAACGTCGGCTATGTTTCTTGTTGAAGGAAACAGCAATATCTAGTTACAACAAAGCTGTCATTTTGTAAATATTCATCCTTCTATGAGACAGAACAATACGGGGACCGTTGCCACCCAACACATGAGAGGCAGTGCAATACATACACGGACGATTTCTCTTTCCCCCGTAACGAGTGTCGTTCTCTCACCTGTGAGGTAGTACAATACAGGGACTACTTCTCCCTCCACAACTGTTGTTTCTGTAAGGTTAAGGTCGTTGAGGGTGATCTTGACCTGGTCTGTTGATGAGCTGTCACATGATGCGTCACAAGTGTACATGTCACAGGGAGTCAGGCAGGGAATACACGGTGTATGTACCTAGCAACACATAGAACACGTCAGGGTTAGCTGACGTAACGTCACAGGGCGTCAGACACGGGATACGCGGTGTATGTACCTATCAACACATAAAACACGTCACTGTAAACTGACGTAACCTCACAGGGTGTCAGACAGTGGATACACGGTGTATGTACCTAGCAACACGTAGAACACGTCACAGTAAACTGACGTAACGTCACAGGGGGTCATACAGGGGATACACTCTGTATTTACCTAGCAGCACATAGAACACGTCATAGTAAGCTGACGTAACGTCACATGGCGTCATACGGGGAAAACATGGTGTATGTACCTAGCAACACGTAGAACACGTCACAGTAAGGTGGCGTAACGTCACAGGGCGCCATACAGGGGATACACGGTGTATGTACCTAGCAACACATAGAACACTTCACAGCAAGCTGATCTAACGTCACGGACAGTCTTGGGGGTGATGCACGGCGTATAGTCATAGCAACACATAGAACACGTCACAGTTAGCAGGGTTAACATAACAGGTAGTCATAGACATAGAGCTGGTACACAGGGATACAGCACACGTTACAGTAAGTTGATGTAGGGAGCCACATCTCACCTCCTGGTACGGCACGACATCAGAGAGACCGGAAGCTGACCCGATTCCAGCCTCATACCGAACGATAACGTTGTTACCTCCTTGGAAAGGGTTGCCATAGCGACACAGCTTCTCCTTTTCGGCTGGCATCACTAGGTCACGGAATGAAGCCGTAGCACTCCAAACCTTTAGATGCCCTTCCGAATCTCGTTCAGTTTCAGGAATATAGTTCTTGTGATTCCAGACTCCCAGGAAGAGTCTGGTGTTGGGAGAGAGACGTGGTATTCCACACTGCTCCGTCATCAGATCGTCGTCCATGAAGACTGACATGCACCAGGTAACCTGCGATATTTAAATTATTGTATAACCTGTTTATCACATGATAAGATGGTAAATAAACTTGCGTATGTCTCGCATTCGGTCAAAGTAGCCTTATAATCAGCGGAATCTGCATTTGTAGACAACAGCGGTAATTCAAAATGGACATATCGCTTATGTTAGTTTCAGCAATATCAGTAAATGCACTTTGGTGTCAGGGGATAGTCTGTTCTTTCGGTCAGTTGATTGCCTAGGTGCCACCGAACGATACAACTGTAACGATGTCGTGAGTCTATTTTATGTCACCTTAGTGCTAAGATCGCTTGGTGGAACTACACGCTGTTCGCACTCAGATATATGTTTCCGACGTCGTACATTAGTTGCTAAATTCAAATGCTAACAACTAGAATGCAACAGAGATACCTGAAAACTTTTCCTCATACTATCATAACATGAAAGTGTTTCAAGTTGAAAATCACCTCTGATCCCCTCGCTTCGTCCCTCTGTGTCGTGAACTTGACCATGTACTGATGGTAATCTCTGGAAGGGTCTAGTAGGAGGTCTCTCACTGCTGCTACAGGCTCGTTGAGGTTATCCCCGTAACTGCACCATGACACCAACTTAGGTGCTGCACCTGCACAATATGGAAGAACAGTATGAATAATTCTATGGCCGATTTTGTATCACATGACACCTTCATCTATCGTCATATCACCAGACAAAAGGGAAACACTATGTATCATGATAAATGTATTGTCGTACTGGCAACCGACCTTCACCTTCACGGTTATTTTGCTGACCATATCTACAGCAGCAACATTTTTCATAATGATGATGACGAAAGCAATTTCCACGAACCTGCAAATAACTGTACTCCACAGGATTTCCTGGGATGAAGATTAGGATTCCCGATTTCAGTCTTGTCGGTGATGGAGCCTGTCTCTTGCAGCTTCTTCTTTTCATCCTCCGTCAGCTTCTTCACCTCGTAGCCAGGATCATCCTGATCCACAGACCTCTTGCTGATGTTCTTGTAGTACCTCTCTGCTTGTAGGTAGGATTCACAGTTGCAGGTGCAAGACTGTAAGAGATATAGTATTAAAACTGGCATCTGAAATCATAGGTGAGCAAGTTCGGTTGAACGCAGCTTTGAAGAATATTTCAGTTGTACCATATCCTGTTCACGTCATGTGGGAAGAACGTGTAGTGAGACCAGCCAGTATAGGTGTGGTGGTGATAAAGCTAGAGTTACAGTCATGTAGAATCTTGGATTCAAACCCAATAATAGGTTTCTTACAGACTGTCGGGACACAAATGGTCCTTTTCGCATTACTTTCTAATTATAAGAATCATATTGCCCAATCGAGCTGCAGGATGGCTCTGTGAGTGAGTGAGGCCCTGAAGCATCGTGCTAGCCACATTACAATTTGGATAACGAGTCAGTGATTTCTTCGCGGTCTGACGTACCGTTAGACTTGATACACTCATCACAATTGTAAACCCAATTACATACTGCATTCACAGGTTCCACCCTGCAACAGGCACAAATAGACTCGGTCCAGTCCGGTGATGGTGTGTAGTCGTAGTCCAGGATGTAGTCATCTGGGCCGTCCCAGAACAGGACACTGGTGACCGCTTGACCATCACCTGCTGCAGCTCTTATAAATAGCTGCAACACGAGTAGTAAGTGGATATACATAAGTAGTAATTCAAGAGATACATGTGTAGAAATCATGCGTAGTCTTGGTGACAGGATCTATTAAACAGTGTATTCTTTAATACCTTATACTCCCCGCTATAAAGAAGGTCAGCATCTCTGAAGTAGGTTCCAGAATACATGAAGTCAGTCTTGGTATCTCTGGACAGTTTGATGTCCACTTTGCCGGACTCCGGCTGGACGTTGGCTGATCTGTAGGTCAAGGTCAAGCTGCGGTTGTTGCTGTCATGGTTACTGTCAGACTCCAGGTACATCCACTCCGAGTCATCAAATCTGATTTGTCTGACAGGACACGGAGACACGTCGGGCACAGGGTGGTGCAGGAAGGTGCCTACAGAGAAAATATGTACATAAAACTTCGAATTCAAATCATATCTCAATTCACGACATGCATTGATAACACATGCGAGTTAATATTTTTATGCTACAGCCAGCATTAGCGCAACTAGCCATTTTACACAATGTGTTCAATTGACTTTCATTTCACATATATATTTATTAAATAATAAAATATATTTAACGGAGTTGATAATAATAGTAAATATAGCCGAAGTATGATACACTTAGATACAGTTGATTTCCTCTTCTTCGGACTGCTCAGAACCTGGAGACTTATTGACTGCAAAGTCTATCAATTACAATCATTGCATTAGGCTATCCTTGAACCTAAAAATACCACACGGTGCAATGTTTTAAATAGGGATGTATCGTATTCACCATGTCCGTTCAACGTTATTACATAACACTTGTTGTTTTAACTTTATCGTGATATGCAGGTAGAATGCAATCATGTATCTCAACAAAACCTAAATGAATGGATTACCTGTAACGGTGGTGGCAGAGCCGCTCCAGCTGATGTCGTTGGTGAAGTCGTGTCCGTCGATGACAATGCCCGGGGAGGGGATGGAGTTGTCATACACGACTGGTGGAGAGTCTAATGTCGACTTGAGTCCAGCAAAGTTCTCCACCACAAGACGCACAAAGTAAGGAGCATTGCCCTGGGAAAGAAACGTCGCAGTAACTTTGGTATGTGACCGTAGCCTTTGCTATAAGTCAAGATACCTACAACGCATGATATATTTCCGTTCAGCCTAGTACGTTCAAAATACCGACCTGCATACTAATGTCCATGAATCTATAGGACGTGTAGTTGACATCAATCTCTATGGATTCTACGACAGTTTCTTCCTCCGAGTCTTCGTTACAGGAGGCTCTCTTCAGCAGGGCTGCGTGGTAGCATCGGATGCCCGAGTCTTCATCACTGAAGCCTGTCCAGTAGGTCTGAAGACTCTCACTGCTGACCGAGTAACTCAGTTTCTGACAAGCGGAACAGTAAATTAGACACCCATTGTAGTTTCGTGATTCTTGCTGAAGATCCGTCAATAACTTTTCTGTTTCACGCAGGATACTAAACCCATTTCCTTAACCATTGATAGGATAGCTCTATTATCATTCCCAAAAAGACACTAGTACACTCTTGTGATTTTGAAAGGGTGTTTTTTATTCACGAAAAAAAATAAACAATGAAGTCTCTTTAAATTTTGAGACTTTTTGCTTCTTTTGAAAGTATAATTCTAAACGAGACTTATGTATAAGAAAAAAAACGATCACATTTTCCAGTATAACTGTAGACGCATACACACACATGCCAGACGAACCGGTCCTAGGTATGTGTCAGAATGTTGCCATGTTTAAAATACTCAGATACGTTTCAACTTCGTGGAGTCCACCTTATTTGGTAACAGCGGTTATGTAACTTTGTTGACATGAAGCAGTAACGGTTGTAAATTCGCACTTAAAAGAACCCACGAATCTGTTGGTAGATGACCGTATATGGCACATGAATACGTGCAAACGCCTAGTTGCGGGTACAGCAACGAACGTGCAGTAAACTTGGACAAAGTACTGTGACTATGTGTGTCCCAGTCCACCCAGCTGTGAATGGGTACATCGTAAGGATGTAAAAGCCTAACTTGGTGCGCCTTGTGGCGGCAAGAGTAGTATGGTCCCCAGGGAGTTGAGATTGACATCCAATGATCGAGGGGAAAATACCAGCGCCTTGAGCATACACTATTGGGTGGATATGTGCGCTATATAAATATCCAATAATAACAATAAATGAACATATAGCAATCCTAATATCAACCCATCACTAAAAATAATGGACAATATATCAACACAAACTGCTCATTGGTTGACTCGTATGTCTTGTTAGCAAGACATTGTTTCGACACTATACGGCACTGTTTTATTAGGAGGCGTGGACTTGGCAGGAGGATTATAATGTTTCCCCTGTCACCTACCATGTCATAGTAGGGCCCTGTTCTGATCTTGCCTTTGACTGGAGGTGTTATGTCGACGTGGAACATGTGACTTGTCACGTTGCACTCTCCGGCCTTGTCTGCACCTGGTATATGAAGCACCAGCAAAATGACAGCTCGCTTTTTAAATGGTATCGACACAAAAGGGATGTTGCCACAGAAGGGATATGCAGCACAAGGGTATGGTGTCATATAAGGGTTTTATCATGAAATGAAGAATTCGCTACACAAAAAGAGTAGGAGTACTGCAACTTAAAGGATGTTGTCACATACGGAATATTGCCACATACGGGATATTGTCACATAACGTTTTTTTCCACATACTGCCACATAAGGGTTGTTGCCACATACAGGATATTGCCATACAACGTTTGTTGCCACATAAGGTTTGTTGCCACATACAGGATATTGGCATAAAAGGTTTGTTGCCACATAAGGTTTGTTGCCACACACGGGATATTGCCACATAAGGGTTGTCGCCATATGCAGGATATTGCCATAAAAGGTTTGTTGCCACATAAGGGTTGTTGCCATACACGGAAAATTGCCACATAAGGTTTGTTGCCACACACGGGATATTGTCTAATAACGTTTGTTGCCACATACAGGATATTGCCATAAAAGGACTGTTGCCACATAAGGGTTGTTGTCACATACAGGATATTGCCATAAAAGGTTTGTTGACACATAAGGTTTGTTGCCACACACGGGATATTGCCACGTACGGTTTGTTGCTATATACGGGTATTCCCATAACAGGTTGTTATCAGATTCTCTCTAAATAGAAACTTGGAGAGGATGGTGATGGTGAAAGGTGTTAAATGTGTCTAAATGTCATGCATTTCCCTTTTTCGTCAACTTACCAATGACCCAAGCATAGTAGATTCCATTGTGGTCCAGAGACAGATTTTCAAACTTCATGAAAGTGTCCTTCCCCACATTTTGGAGGTCCACAACGTTGAAGATGCCTCGTCGCTCGTCGTCACTGATGGAGCCTCTTTCAGTCTGAAACATATAACAAAACATCAGCGTCTATTGACGAATCTGAAATCTGCCATTAGGCACAAAGTGGATACTAGATACATAGTACTGATTTGTAAAGGCAATCTCTACTCACAAACTGCCCACATGTGTAGTTGTTCGCGTCTGTGCTGCTTGAGATACCGACGTAGTACATCATCATGCCGATCTTGGATTCGAACCCGTCCCAAGGTACATCTACATAAGTGTCAGTGTTGACAAATTCTTTCATGTCGATGATACCCACTGAAACGTAAAGTCATGTATCGATATTGTATAAACTTTATATAGCAGCAACAAACTGGAGAACAATAACCCATATACACTCATACACCGTTGTGGGGACTCTGATGTCTCGAACTTACGGTTGTATCGTAGAATATTAGTAGGACTAGGACCCTTCGTCCTCGACACAGTGTTGTTTGACTGTATGGTGTCCGAAAATAGCTCAGATTTTGCTTGGGGGTATGTGATCTTTGAAAACGTCCTCATCAATATTTTATACAGACTAGCAAGAAGGGAGAAGATACACTCATACACCGTTGTGTGGACTCTGATACACTCATACACCGTTGTGTGGATTCTGATACACTTATACACCGTTTTATAGACTCTGATACACGCATACACCGTTGTGTGGACTCTGGTGTGTCAAACTCACGGTTGACTCGTAAAATATTTCTAGGGCTCTTCGACCTCGACACTGTCTTATGAAATAGGGGTCTTAAAGGGACAATGTTTGATATTATCAGGTCAATGTATTCAAATGTAAAGTCTTGTGTTCGATGTGATGATGCTTTCAGTGACTATTTTGATTGTCCTGCTGGTGTACGACAAGGCTGTGTTCTAAGCCCCATACTTTTCTCATTCTTTATTAACGAACTATATTTTGACGTTATACAATCTGGCAGACATGGCATCAATTTATTTCCTGATCTTGTTGAACTTTTATTTTATTCTTCGCACGACGATGTGATCCTTATGTCAAGTACTGTCAGAGACAAATTGATACACTTTCATCTTATGCAGGTAACTGGCGAGTTAATCTTGAAAAGACCAAACTTGTTGTTTTTCGTAAGGGTGGTCCAACGGCAGCTACAGAAAAGTGGTACTTTAAATGTGAACGTATGACTGTTGTAAACGAACATAAATATCTAGGGATACTGTTTACACATACACTAAATCTGAATACATCCATTATTAATTTGGCAATTAGAGGGAAAAGGGCCCTACTTCAGTTGCTCTCTGTTATACCAAAGTTGGGGGTTGTTGGTCCCAATATATTTTTCAAATTGTTTGATTCCCAGATACAGCCTATTCTTCTTTATGGGTCTGAAATGTGGGGCAATAAGGAATTTTATGCCATTGAAAAGGTTCACCTTCTTGCATGTAAAAGGTTTTTAAATGTTGTGATGTCTACCCCTAATAATATGGTGTACGGTGAATGTGGGAGATTTCCTTTGTACATAATTTCTTACTCTCACTGTTTAAAGTACTGGTGTAAAGTAATAAATATGCTAGAACATCGCCTGCCCCAAAAACCCTACAATATGATTGTTAATCTTGATAATATTGGTAAAAATACTTGGGCAACCCTTATTCGTAATCTTTTGTTTAGATAGGGCTTTGGATTTGTTTGGCTATCCCAAACCATGGGGGACGTTAATACATTTATCAAACTCTTTCGTACCAGGGCTATCTATATCTTTAAACAAGACTGGCATTCATCTTTATATGAAAGTTCAAGATATGATTGTTATCGTGAGTTTAAATCTTTACTTGTAGCTGAGTCGTATCTATACAACTTACGTAGCAAAAAGCTTCGTTATGTTTTCATACGCCTGAGACTTGGCCTAAATGATTTATATATCAATCAAGGAAGATATTCATCTATTATAAAATCGCAAAGGTTCTGTCCATTTTGTAATACTGTAGAGAATGAATTACACTTTCTATTTCTTTGTCCTGCATATAATGATTTAAGGCAACTGTATTTTCCACAATGGCTACAATCAAATATTAATGCTACAAAACTGTATTTAATACTTTCATGTAAAGCATCCCTATTACAATATAAGGTAGCTCTATTTATTTATCACGCGCTTATATTGAGAAGAGATTCAATGTAACATGTGTGTCGCATGTTGTATATGTTGTACATATCATATATATTTCTTTTGTATATCGGCCTCTGGCCTTCATGCAGTAAACTGATTGATTGACAAAATGTTGTTTGACTGTATGGTGTCCGAAAGCAACTAATATTTTGACTTGGGGTATGTGATCTTTCTGATTAATATCTTACACAGTGTAAGCAAGAAGGTGCCTATGCAAGTGCTCAATTTCTTTCGTTATGTCTGAGTTTGAAGACATATTACTACACATGGGTCAACAAATGCCGAAAATGTAAAGGTCTCACCAGAGACGCCTCCATCAAAGCCAACAGAGAAGCCATTGGACGTGACATCAGTATTGGACCCGGAAAGGCTGTGTGCTCTGACCGTGAAGTAATATATTGCCGTGACTGGGGTGAGGTCAAGGTCGTAGAAGGTCACAGTTTTGTTAAGGCCAACGTTGACAAAAGGCACGACGTTGTCACGTGTTTTGGGGAAACGGCGGTTGGTTCCAAGGGCCACCTCATAGAAAGCGACTTCTTGGCTGGAAGATTTCTCTTTCTCCTCTTCAGGAACATTATCTGGAATGGCGAAAACATCGTTGATTACGAAAAGACATTAAAATAATTTCTTGTTGTATTTGTATCATGCAACTTTTCTGCTATAACCTGCATCTGTACTTTTTTCAAATATATATTCTTTTGACGTTCCCTTTTCAGTGGCCTCTGTGGCGTCCTTAATTCAGGGCAGACCGACTCTCCAAATAGTCACCTTTTACGACATACGACATATTACCAATGTTTTGTCTCACCTGCTTTTATTCCAGCTGATACCTCGTCAGCGTTGCCATCGCTACCAAACTTGTCCCAGTTGGCGTTGACTTTACTTCTAGTTCGGAGGAACTCAAGGTCAAATCCCACGACATCTCCATCATTAACCTGTCCAGGCACAAGGGGGTCATCCTCGATGGTGATGCCGTTCGATCTGATGGTGTAGGTGAAGTCCATGGCGTTGGTCACACGTAGGTACTGATAGTAGCGTTCCATGTTTTGCATGGCCAGTTGGTCGTTGACGCCATGAGTTCTTCCTGGAAATGCAAGACAACTGATGAGATCCTACTAAACCAAGTTTAAAGCAAACATAAATGTCTACGATTCCGCACCACACCACACTGATATAACGTCTCATTAACAAAGTTCGGTCACATTGCAGACTAATGTCCGTCTCGTCATCGATTGAATATATTAAAACACAAGGCCTCCAGAACACATCTGATTAATGTCAGCTGACGTTATAACTCCCACCTTCAGTGTCGAAGTATTCCTGCACCCTCAGCCCGTCAGCCCTTTGTATTGCCCACTCGTACTTGACCACCGGACACGGGTCACCTGGCACGTCCCACTTGGCCCCCATACGGGACAGACTTGTCTGGAAATCACTGAAGAGAGATACAAGGTCAAATACTCTATTGTATGAAATGGATGACATTTCATGACAATGGGTGATTTTTCAATTAACCTTGACATTTTGGTATCTTGGTCCAGATGCTAATGCATGGAACGCTGTACTATGTTCACAATCAGTACTCACAGATCACCATCATGGCTTTCACCATCCCAGATTCCAATATGAGTGAGTGGTTCCAAGCCTTGACTGAGGTAGGACATGTAGATACCGTTAGACGTCGATATTGTGCTGAGACCAGCTCCATTGGTAGCTTTCACCGTCACAAATATCTGTTATTTGAAATTCATTATAAGACCTCTATGTTGCACTTGTAAGTAAAAAATAAATTCATTTCAACTGTAATCCCATGAATCCTAATAATGGCTGACATAACGTTGAACTTTAGAAGCAGTTTGTAAAGCAAAGGTAGACAACTCAACTATAAACGGAAGTGTTACATTCATTTAATGGTACACGCACATTTCAATATGAATTTTCGGCAATTAGATATACACTCATTCGCCGATACAAGGATCAGAGCCAGTTAAGATCAATATAATGTAGAAGGAAAATAAATAGAGATGCAAAACGTTCAGTATTGTATGTACACGTCCATTATTATGTTAGTTATTGTACAACAATCCAAGAATTTTAATCCTAATCCAAGAGTTTTCTCACCTGTCTCACTCCCTTCAGGATCAAGCCTGTGACCGACAGGTATCTCTTTGTGACGTCATCAGTCTCAAAAAAAACCCTCAGCTGTCCCCCTCCAGGTGAAGTGCCAACAGCTATCTCGTACCTGAAGAAGCCAAAACATTGAAATCAGAAGAAATATTTGGACGTCCGAGAAGATATTGCTCATGTACTTTGATACAGACTTGAGATACAGAAAGTGCTACATCTTCAGTTACCCTGCCACATGGCAAACAGTTTTCAGCAGTAAAAGCCCCATGCTTATATTTAAGTACACTGAATATCTAAAATACCGTGAAAATCCAAATCACGCATTTCTTTACTTACTTGACAATGTCTGTTTCTTCATCGTTGAAGGTCTGCCAGGCCACGTTGACAGTAGACAGAGACTCCTGACACACAGCGTCTATAGCCAGGCAGTCTGTGGAGACAGTTGTATAGGATGTACACTTGTAACACATGGCATTACTGATGGTGTGAATAGAATGCATACTCTTCGGCTACAGAACAAAATCCATGGCTTAACCAGACTAGACGATACTGAATGGAATCTAACCAGTTTACATCCACTGTCTAATATGTTCATATGACGAGGTTATTGTTCTAAAACAGGTGATCAACTTCCTTTCAGTTGAAAAAGAATCGTTCAGGAAATGAACGATGGTCGGACAACGACTGCCGTGACTTTATCAGCTTAGGCAAGTCCTTTATGATCATTCTTTTTTTCATTGTCATACAATTTAATTCTTTTGACATGTTACATACATTGTATGTTAATTCTTTAAATACCGTAGAATACGGAAACTAACCTTTGCCTATACTAGTATTGGTAAAACCTATTCCTATACATGCTGGTCCGTCATGCCACAATATATATAACTTAGAACACACAGCAAAAACACAATGTTGGTGCACACCTTCCTCTGTGTCACACTTGTAGGTGTTCAATTTATCGGTGATGATCTCGTCGGTGATGTTGATGATGTAGGCAGACTTCAACTCCACCACAGTGCCCGGTGCTGGTGGTGTGGTGTCCACGTTGATGGCACTGGAGATGCTTGATGACGTCATCCCTACTTGGTTGATGGCCTTGACCTTGGCATAGTATTTCTGACCGTGGGATACCTTATCAGCTAAGCCTAAGGATGAAAACGTCATTAATAAATTACCAGACGCTAAGTTTTCCATGGGATTACCTTACAAATCGTATGTAAGACCATCCTTTTTCACAATGTCCAACATTAGCCACGAATGGTACCCATAATTTCAAGATGAATGGTATCATAACCTATCATTTAATACCGTGTTTTACACAAAGATAAAGTTATATTTTCTACCTGAAACCACATATTTTGCAGCATGTCCCGGCAGTTTTACAGGTGCGATGATGTCCTCCAGCCCCTCGTGGGAGCCAACAACAAACTCAAACTCTACAACCTGACTCTCGGCGTCGTAGAACCCTGTCCATGTGCACTCCACTGCAGACCTCGGCTGTGAACATATATCCAAACAATATGAACTACTTGGTACAATCTCAGCTGGACAGGATATGGAACCATATAACAGAGACAGTGGAACATTAACTCCTCACTAACACATTATATATATCCTCATTAATTAACACAATATACACGTTCAATGTAAAGACTGTCAAATCAAGTCCAACCCATTGTGAATAATGAAACTGTAAAATGTGCATTGTTCTTAGGGAAATGACGATTGGTGTGAGTGAGCCAATCTTTAGAAATGCACTCGGCCTGTTAATGGAGTCTGGGCAAACTGTTGACCCAAAGCATGGACGATGATCAAACATTCAGCAAAGACACTGAGTTTGACTGATTGATCCCTTTAAAAGGAGGGTTTCATGACAAGGGTAGGTCACACTAGCCCAGTTCCAACTCAACGTCTCCAAGAGTGTCCAGCCTTATCAAGATCTTTTTAGAGCATTGAGATCCAATGGGAACACACCAAGAAATGAGAATGACCTAAGAAAGTAAGAAAGCATGTGGTATAGGATCTGATCCAGATCTCTCACAATGGATTGACTTGTACCTCATACCTGAATAAAGCTTGGACATGTCAGTGTTCCCTTTGTTGGAGATGAGATGTCAACCACAAGATAGGGGGAGATCATGCTTGAGGACAATCCAAGTTCATTTTCAGCTGTCAGAGTCAGAATATTGGATTTTCCTGAAACATTTATTTGGTACAATTATTCTCATATATCGAATTCACGTCTGCTCTGCACTGTACAGATAAACACGAAACACAACGTTTAACATAAACTGGGCACGAGTTGTTTTTGTTATTGATCAACGTTTTTTCGAAACAAGGAGGCATTGGAATCTTAATTGATGTGAGGATTGTTTCATTGTTTGCAGTTTCTCATGCATTTGTGTGAGGCCGCAAATATTAATTCATACTGCGTTAGCAGTAACAACATACGATCAATACCTTTTTATCTATTCTTAAAATGATTAACAGCCTCTACCCCCTCAGATATTGTTTATGTAATAATAATGTTCTGAACCCTGTCAGTTCTCACCATCAGTTGTAGGTTTGATGCCAGTGGGTAGCGCCCCCTCGCCGGTCAGCAGGATGTCCACCTCCGTCCTGGGCTGGACATCCTCCCCGTGAGGGTAAGTCCCCACAGAGTAGTACATCTTCTTGACTGGACTCTCACTGTCTGCAACCTTCCAGGAAGAGGAGATGGAGTCCACCTCAGCCAGGTACAGTGTCGTGGTGGAGGTCAGTCTGCTCTGGTTGCTCTCAGAGCCATAGCTGAGTTGGAACAACAATACAGCTTAGTTGAAATACATAGCGATGGAAGGGCCACTTTTCCTGGCTGTTTCAAGTAGTGAGCGAAACCTGACCAATGATTAGCGCCTGAGGAGACCACATTGCATTGCGGGCAACATGAACAATGCTTAGTTGACGTACATAGCTTCTGAGACCACATTCCTGTTTTTTTTCTGTGAGTGAAAGGTTAATCATGTGTGAAGACATTGTTCTGATGGTTCTCAGAAGCATCTCTGCGAATAATGATAAACATTGCTTTTTTAACGGACGTGATGTTTCAGGTGCTTGTTTTTCCTATCGACAAGAGAAATACACAGTAAACCAAATTATGATTTGTAGACATTGATGTTTACCTTTCCATGTGGATGTTAGGAGGAGTGATATCAACAGTAAATCCATCTGACGTGGATTCCAGGATGTTGCCACCGTTGGTGATGCCGCGAACTGTGGTGTAGTACGTCGTGCCGGGTGACAGCGGGAGGACAGTCTGGCCAAAACCCATGCTGGCGATACCTGGACAAAATGTCGTAATATGTAACATGTAATTCTTGAATAAAAGTCGAAAATCACATGATGTACATAGAGAGAATATCACCCATGTGTCTAATGATATCAATTATATCAACACGAGTTGATAAAGTTACAAATATCCGAGTCTTGCCGAGGATATTTGTACTTTTTACAACGAGTGTTGATATATTTGATATCAGAAGACACAAGGGTGAGATTCTATATATAATCAAACATCACTCTTCATAAATTTTCAATGTAAAATGTACATATATGAACACGTCACTGCCATTAGACTTGCAGTGCAGCGATTTCTTAGCATTGTGAGATCATCAAGTTCATGACGTCATAGCATTCTCAGGGTATTATACTAAATCTACTGTCAAATCGATATCTGCTAGGAGATATCGTTTGATCTCACCCATGCAATATATCCAGTGAAACACAGTTTTGGATGATAAATATTATGTTTCCTACCAGCTGTTATCATGCCGATGGTAAAATGCTTTTGAGGCGTCGAAGAATGTCAGTAAGGAAGAATTTTCAATGTTTGGAAAATAATTTAAAAATGAGAATGTGTGAGCTGAAATGTTCAACCCACCATTTCCAGGAACCTTGGTCTCTGCTTCTTCGTGCATAAGACCCGCCATGATGAACGGTTGCACCTCCTCGCCACCAGGTGTCGTCCCTACCGCCCAGTGATAGTACGTCACACCGTGCTCGTGGCTCTCAAACCCGGCAAACTGTACTGTCACAACTCCCGTGTCTTTCTGGTAGTCCATGTCGCTACCGATGTCCATGAAGTCAATTCTCTCGGTGGAGTCGGCGCCGTCGATGACAATACCTTTTGCACAAAGATTTATTCAGTGTTCATATCTGATATGATGCAAAAGATGTCCTAAAGATAAGTGTTATTGTTTGACTGATTGATGGTGAAGCCGATGACTTTCACGACGACGATGATGCTGATGACAAACATACACAAATGACGATACATACCCGCTTTGTCCTGGTCAACGACCCGGATGGGGTTTGACGTTATGACGTCACCGGTCAGATCAGCTCCATTGCTCGCCTTTACAGACACATAGTAAACAGGGGTGATCGTGTCAGGGTCGGTCACAGTCAAGGTCAACCCGTCCATGTATTTGTCTCTGTCAGAACCAAAGTCCTTCCAGTTAAGGATATCAGTTCCACCTGAAAAACAGTTTAATGTATCCAATCAAATATGTGATTGCTCTATTTGGTGTAAGATGAGTTGAGATAAAATGGAATTACATCACAGTACACTTGTAGAGCGACGTGCAAACACGAGCGTGTGCAAGTACAGGTCCGGTTTCATAGTGCAATGACCCCATGCAACGGGGGACGGTGGGGTAAACCAGTGGTTAAAGCTTTTGCACGTCACACCGAAGACCTGGGTTCTATTCCACACATGGGTACCGACTCCAGTCCGTGTGGGGTAACAACAAATACCAACTCAACCTATTTTGGTATGACGTGACTGGGGATTCAAACCACAGACCTCCTACTCCCCTAGCACAGTATATATAAACTACACAGCCGGTGTTTTGTTTTTGGGTGAGTGAATGAGTTTGGTTTTACGACACTTTTAGTATTATTCCAGCAATATCACAGCGGCGGTCACCTTAAATGGGCTTCACACATTGTACTCATGTGGGGATTAGAACCTGGGTCTTTGGCGTGACGAGCGAACGCTTAACCATTAGGCTACCCAACCGCGCCTGGTTTATTTTTAATATCTCTGGTTCAATTAAGAATCTTTGATATTGACTTTAGTAGAAATGAAATTAATATCCTGAGAATACAAACCTTTAGTGGTTCCAACTGCGACCATGTACGACTTGATGCCACTCTCATGGTCCATAGCAAACCAGGTGGCCTTGATACCGCTTGGATCAGACTGGATAACGTGACGGTCAATCAACTCTTCTTCACTGCCAGAGAAAATGCCAACGTAGACCCATTTCATCTGTAACGAACAAGAATGGATGGTGAAACTCTTCTGTGTTCGGTGATACAGATAAAGAACAGACATATTTTCGTAACAGCCGGGGACGGTGGGGTAGTCTAGTCGTTTAAGCGTTCGCTCGTCACGCCGAAGACTCGGGTTCGATTCCCCACATGGATACAATGTGTGAAGCCAATTTCTGGTGTTCCCCGTTGTGATATTGCTGGAATATTGCTAAAAGTGGCGTAAAACCAAACTCACTCACTTAGTCGATCCAGAACTACCACAGATTCGTAAGCCTATGATAAACTATAGAGTTACGACAGGTCGTAACACTGCGAAAGGTTTGTGGATCCGGACCCAGTATCTCGTAAGAGCCAAGTCAAAGGTGTCATTATGGACGACGGCAGTGTATTTTTCACATGATCTGAACTGGTGTACTTCACACAACCACTCATCCATTTAAAAGTCTGGACTGTGTTAATTTAATCAGTTTAATCTTTCTGCATAATACTCGATTTCACTCATATGTAAATGTACTAAAAACACATTCAAATTGCGTAAAGCACTGTAATCGGCGTCTTCTATAATTTTAAGAAAAGAAACTATACAGTATATACATATGTTTTACCTGAGGTGGAGTATTATCAACAAGGACGCCGTTTGTGTCGTAGGTGGCTACGGCCCCGGCTCTGTTGACGGCCCCGACTCTCACACTGTACTGTGCGCCCGGCCGGAGACTCAAGCCTGACTGACTAAGGCTGGTGATGCTGGGGTCGCTGGAGGTCTCCCAACCTTCTGAATCTGTTCCCGTTAGGTAATATATAGTAACACATCATCCTGTGGTGTACAGGTGTACATGTACGACTCAACCTTTCATGTGAATAAAGATATCTTTTAAAATAGTCCAGGATTTATCTCCAGTCTAAACATTACCATATAATGATCCTCATGCTTGGGGTCAACCATTGTCCCAGTCGAAATTACATATGCTTCCATAAGGTCTGGTCTGGAATGACATCGTGATGTAAATATTGATAAACATATTCTGAGCATGTGACATCCTTTGCAAGACTGTTGAGTATAATCTATAAAAATAGATCGTGTCCTGTTCATAAAAAAATATTACTAACCTGGGTATATCTGATGTTTTGGCCCATGGTAAAGCGTGATGTAAATATTGATAAACATATTCTGAGCATGTGACTTCCTTTGCAAGGCTGTTGAGTATAATCTATAAAAATAGATCGTGTCCTGTTCATAAAAAATATTACTAACCTGGGTATATCTGATGTTTTGACCCATGGTAAAGCTCATACACCTGGTATTTGTAATGATCCAACCCAGACTCGGGGTCTTGAAACTGAAAGTTGGCTTCAACAGTAGTGCTGGATGTCTGCAAGTAGATATCACAAATCTAAAGGAGATCCATTGAAGATAAAGCTTTGAGTGCATCATGATCATGTTTCAAACTAAATGAGACGACAATTAACACTGAATGAATGACACCAGGTGTTCTAAAAATGACAATGAAATTACGAAACATTTCTACAGTTTCTATTTATCATCGTTAAAAATGTCACTGATCCTAAAATAGTCATTCAGGAACTTCGGCGACAACAGCGGCTATAACGGTATTTTAGAGACAATAGAGACAACACATGACATCCAAGGCACTGGGCTTATCATCAACCTGGATCCCCGTATCTTTGATATGTTCGTGTCAGTTGTAGATCCAGATCATACCACAGTTCTCAAGCATAATGAAGGATGAAAACATCTTCAACACCAACTGATCTAAAACTTTAAATGTTTGTTTCATGCATGTACGTTATATGGTTCACCTGGACCTCCGCTTCTTTGGTCTGTACAAATCCAACACATACATTGAACCATTGGTGTTAAACATAATCAAAAACGTGACACCTAGAAGGCCCACTTAAATAGACAGAAACTTGTTGAAAGAATGGACGACCCACGCTTTGTCATCACAGGTGGTATCACGCCACAGCCTCACCTGGAAGTCCGTGTCTTTGTTCTGTTCACGCCCATCACCTAGGAACACCATCCTGGGCGGAGTGAGATCCACCACAAACCCATCTGTTGTCTGTTCTACAGTACCCAGGGCGTTGTTGATGGTCTCCAGTTTCGTCTTGACAATGTCCTGATGGTTCAGGTGGAAGTTGTGCCACTCGATCTGTCTGACGTCTTTGCCCAGAGTGTTCCAGTTTCTTAATACCTCAAATTCTGACGACAGCCCTCTGGAATTCACATTTTTCAATTGAGAGAAGTTTAAGAATATGTCACTATGTAACTCGGCTGAAGAAAATGAAATTCTTTTTGATTTTTATGCCAACATTATGCTGATTAAAGATAACAGTATATCCCAAATATTTATCTGTTAAAATATCCTTCAACTGCCTTTGTTTCCATTCTACCCTCCAAAAATGAAAAATTTAATACGCAATCAATCGCTTTATAAAAAACATGCTGTTGTCCGTAGAAGCAACCGCTTATCTGAACTGTAATTTGTTTTGCAAAACGTCTGTAACATGTGCTGTATGCATACTTGTATTACTTGTATATGGGCCTGAGGCCTTAAGTACAATAAACATCTCTGACTTGACTTTGACAGAATTCGCGTTGTATTCATAATCATAATCCCATAATTTCGCAAAATTGATTTTCCACTCTTACAGGTACGCTGCTTGTATGAATGCCTACCCCATCACTCTTCTAATTCTGCCCCGATTTGGAATAATGTAATTCAGTGTTAATCCTGTATACATGTATACGTGGCAGTTAAAAATGCATTGCTTGAGTTAGTGTATCATTTACTATTGCATCTGCTTCCTCAGTGAAATGATCCCTCCGACTTACTTTGCTCTTAGTATCTGTACAGCAAACTCTCTTATGTCGGACTCGGGGTCACTATGGTTCCTCCACTGGGTTCCAACTGTGGCAACGTGGGTACTGAACTCAACGTCGACAAAGCTGTGCCGTATACCGTCAACAACGTCACCCGGCACAGGGGCAGTCAGATCCACGATCACTGGAAAAGGGTCAGTATTCCAGTGATGTCACAGGGTGTTAGTTGAATGGGCATTTGTATAGACACGGGGGTAGGGAGTGGTGGTGGTAGCCCTGGTACCCATGTTTTAGATATGTATCTCTGTGATGAAGTTTATAGTGCTAATAATCCAGGGATCCTTAATTTGGGCCTACCTAAACGTATGATTCGAACCCCTGCTGGGCAATCCAGGTATGGACACAATTCTTGTCATGTGAGAAACCTTACTCACACAGAGTCATCCTTGTCACACTTAGTGACCATGGGGCGGTGGGTTAGCCTAGTGGTTAAAGCGTCCGCTCGTCACGCCAAAGGTGAGGGTTCGATTCCCCACATGGGTACAATGTGTGAAGCCCATTTCTGGTGTCCCTTGCCGTGATATTGCTGGAATATTGCGGCGTAAAACCATATACATTTATGACATATCTGGATATTTAGGGCTAATTCTATTAGCGATGAACACTGGTATGAACATGAGAGAACTCCTGATAATTGTCGTCTATGACCAATATACACACAAATTATCTTTTCCTGCCTAGTGAACTATGAACGTAACACATTGTCAAATAAAACCTGTGTATTTTCATGATGCAACCTTTACACTCTCCCTCTCTCCATGTAAGCATCCATATAATTACATTTGCCACACATCATTACCTCCATCTGACATTGCCGAGACGTTCAGCTGTTTGTGGCCAGCATTGAATGCTGTGGTGTAGAATCTGTAGGCCTTGCCGTGTTCGAGCCTCTGGTTAGAGCTAAGCTGGACACAGGTATCGTGTGTCTTATGGTCAAGACTGACCAGCTCGGAGATTGTTGTGTTTGTGTCATCAAGAACCGACACCTCGTAGTGGGAAATACCCGACTCAGGATCATAGAACCCAAACCAGTTTGCGCAGATCTGTAATACAAAGATGGGTTCTATATACCAGACTCGGGGACAGAGAACCCAAACCAGTTCGCACTGGAATATGGAATATATAGATCAAGTCTACTTTGAGGCGAAAAGCCAAACTCAAGCTTACAGAACCCATTAGAGACGGAATACAAGACTCGGGGACAGAGACTCCAAACTAGCTGATACAGATCTGGCACATAGATATCAAAACTCATTATAGATGGAATATATGTCGTTTGGGTAAAGACATGGACATTAGTGGAACTTTAAAGGTCATTGCAGGATGTATATCCAGTTAAATTGAATACGTAAAGAGTGCTATCAAATATTTACACAGAACGCTTCAGGTGAAATATACTGAGTCAAAAGAGAAACTTCACAAAATGTAATTTGAAAAATAATGAATAATTTTTCTCTGATGATACATCTATGTATCCGAAATTGGATCCCTATCTTTCGACTCTAGAAAAACGTTAGCAAAACCCACTCAAACCCATCCATTCGTCGTGCAAATGACGTTAGCGCCAAATCAGGTTTTGCACGTGCAGTCGATCACGTGATCTTCGCATCGAAGTTTTCTTCATGTGCACGTGTTTGCATTGGCCTCAAGGATTGAAAAAACACTTTTAAACCACAGTTCTAACGGTACTTGAAATGCCACGATTGTCAAATGTGCAACGTGAACGTGCCGTTGGCATGTTGCAAGCGGGAAGATCAGTTATTGACGTCGCAAGAGCAATGGGAGGCAGCCGTCGTACTGTGTATGACTTGCGAGGTCGTCTACAACAAACTGTCACCACTTCTGATCGCCCAAGGTCGGGTCGTCCACGTGTGACGTCACGAGCAGAAGACCGTCAAATCGTCCTACGTCACCTACGTGACAGATTTCTGCCGGCTACACGAACCAGGGCGGAGATGTTTAGAGGTCGACTGTCCTCACAGACCATTCGAAATCGGTTGCGGGCTGCCAATCTCCATTCTCGACGTCCATATCGTGGGCCAATATTGACGCCGTTTCATCAACGTCAACGTCTGCTGTGGGACCAACGTCACCCACGATGGACCCAGAGAGACTGGAATCGAGTCGTCTTTGGCGATGAATCCAGATTTACCCTCAGATTCGCGGACGGCAGGCATAGAGTCTGGAGACGACGTCGTGAACGGTATGCCCAATGTTGTGTACAGGAAGTTGACAGATTCGGGGGCGGAAGTTGCATGGTGTGGGGTGCTTTCTGTGGGAACAACCGTTCCCGACTTCTGGTCATCCGTGGAAACCTCACAGCTGCTGCTTACAGCGACCAGGTGCTCACCCCTGAACTCGTTCCTTTCATGGCGACTCATGGCCCAGGTCTACAGTTCCAGCATGATAATGCTCGGCCGCATACCGCGATGTTGACACGAAATTTCCTTCAAAACACTGGAATCAACGTCATTGACTGGCCATCGAGGTCCCCTGACCTTAATCCAATAGAGCACGTTTGGAGAAGGCTTCGTGGTCTTAGTAACCAACCTCAGAATTTGCAGGAACTTGGCGCTGCCTTGCAAGAGCAATGGCGCAGAATCCCCAACCACCTGTTCACAAGCATCAGGCAGTCGATGAGGAGACGGTGTTTGGCAGTGGTGAATGCGCGGGGCGGCCATACACGATAGTGAACTGAGAAATTTCGCATTGTTATTCTTGAGACTTGACATTCTGTATACCCATGTTTTTGAACGGCGGTGTAGCCTAATGGAACTGATTATGACACTGTCAGTGTATCGAGTACATCACACAGATCTCAGCAATAATTAATAACAATTTAACCATCTTACCATCTCTTGTTCTTTTATAGTGCCCTGAAGAAAGAATGTGAAGTTTCTTTTTTGACTCAGTATGTAGATACATATCTACCTTATCAGCATCCTTGGTAAAGCTGAGGTCATGTCTGAAGAAGGGTCCGTCATACACAATGCCTGGTTCAGGAGGAGATGTGTCAACTATGATCGGATGGTCGGACACTCCCACTTTCATCAAATCAGCTGAAACACAAAACCAATAGCTGATACTTTGTGTAATATGCAAAATAATCCATGTGTTCATAACCCGTGAGGTCTCAAGATGATACTTATCGTCAGCAACCTATCCTTGGAATACGAGGTGACAGGAGACGATGAGGATGTCATAGTCGGAGACCTGGTGGGCTCTACTGATTGTGGACTTAAACAATGTACGCAGCGTAGGATCTTATGCAAGTAAGTATTGTTTCTGCAATGAAATGAACATCCTTTATGCCAACCAACGTTCCAATGAGCAATATCTTATTTTAGACAAATCTTCAGTTATATTTCTATCATCACGATATACAGTATCAGTCCTGGATGATGGCTTAAATCCAGACAGCAACTATATATTGTATCTAAACCTAGCCATTGATGTCACCCTAATTGTTACAAACCTGATACAATTACTGACCATTGTTAATTACCTGGACTTTAATCCACCCGGTATCTGGAACTGGTGGGCGATGTCGCCATCAATGTTCCAAACTTCTCAGTGATAACTCACCATTGTTGATTACCCGGACTTTAATCCAGACAGGAGTTCCACCCAGGATCTGGAACTGGCGGGCGATGTTGCCATCAATGTTCCAAACTTCTAAGTTATAACTCACCATTGTTGATTACCCGGACTTTAATCCAGACAGGAGTTCCACCCGGTATCTGGAACTGGCGGGCGATGTCGCCATCAATGTTCCCAAACTTCTCAGTTATAACTCACCATTGTTGATTACCTGGACTTTAATCCAGACAGGAGATCCACCCGGTATCTGGAACTGGCGGATGATGTCGCCATCAATGTTCCAAACTTCTAAGTTATAACTCACCATTGTTGATTACCCGGACTTTAATCCAGACAGGAGCTCCACTCGGTATCTGGAGCTGGCGGGCGATGTCGCCATCAATGTTCCAAACTTCTAAGTTATAACTCACCATTGTTGATTACCCGGACTTTAATCCAGACAGGAGTTCCACCCGGTATCTGGAACTGGCGGGCGATGTCGCCATCAATGTTCCAAACTTCTAAGTTATAACTCACCATTGTTGATTACCCGGACTTTAATCCAGACAGGAGTTCCACCCGGTATCTGGAACTGGCGGGCGATGTCGCCATCAATGTTCCAAACTTCTAAGTTATAACTCACCATTGTTGATTACCGGGACTTTAATCCAGACAGGAGTTCCACCCGGTATCTGGAGCTGGCGGATGATGTCGCCATCAATGTTCCAAACTTCTAAGTTATAACTCACCATTGTTGATTACCCGGACTTTAATCCAGACAGGAGATCCACCCGGTATCTGGAACTGGCGGGTGATGTCGCCATCATTGTGGGAGGACCTCTGCCAGTCCATGTGATGACAGTCAATTGTGGTCTGTCCAAGACACAAGTCTGCTTCTCTGATGTCTGAATGTGGGTCACTGTGAGGAGTAATAGTCATTAGCAGATATCTAAATGAAAGTTGTCCTAATTTGATCGGAGTTAAGTTCAATACAAATTTTAAAGACAGACGACATTTCAAATATACAAATATATTCGTCAACACAATGTTACCTGGCGTTGTACTGCGCATTAATGAAGAATGTGTCTTCGTTGTAGGAGACGTTATAGATTTCATACAGGAGTGGTGGTGAGTTGTCCACCACGAGCGGCGTGGTGTGGCAGATTGTTGTCACAAGTGGACCTCCATACTCAACCTTGTTCAAGGCCCTCAGTGTGATGTAGTATTTCCCATCTGAAACAAGACAAAGATGTAACTGAATGAGTGTTCCTGAGTTTTCCATAGTGGCCGATCTAAGCCCTAACATATATCATTACGAAGTAAGATTGTGTTTCATACTGTCCTGAACAGTAGTTGTATAGCGGGGGCCTCTACATAATCAATTCCAGCTTTTGCTTTCAGACAACAACAAGTTCGACACATCAAACGTCGATACAAAGTTGTTTTACGGTATTTAGGTTATTGAATGGTCTTATGTTAAAAAGTTTTATGTTTCTGTTTTACCAGCGAGAGGGTCGTATGGAGCCGGTATGGGGGAGATGAGTCCAGTGTGGGTCCACTCTGATTCGTCAAACAGGTGCCTGTGAGGGTCATGATGGGGGTGAATCAGCTCCTCACAGATCTGTGTCCCTGCGGTCAGGGAGTAGCCCAGTATGCCCGTTTCTTTGTCCATGATGCCGTCCCAGTTAGCTGGAACAAGGGTGCAAACAGAAAATCCTCATGATGGTTTAAAAATGATGGTTTGAGGATGATATCAAGAATGAACATGTTAAAAATGAATTACCACACATCAAACGTGTACAAAATCGCAAACCAAAAACGTCCAACTACGTTTAGTAATGTCTACAAAGAGGTCTTTGTTTTACATAAGAGAACATTTAGGACAGTAAACGAAAGATTACAATTATTCCAGAGTCAATACCAAATTTAATCAGATATATCTGACCTCGAAACAAATAACCTCTTTCACCAACCTGATACGTATCTGTTTGCTCTGGTGTATAGGAGATCAGTAAGGGGTTCGTCCCCATTGAAAACGGTTTTTGATCCAGTGCCATCATGAATTATTCTGAAAATGAAACGGTTACCTTGAGAATAAGATTTTAAGTCAACACAACTTTACATAACCATGTGGCCTGAGATTTGAGAATGCTGTGATATTCACTTTTTCTCCGGGAAGTCATGAAATATCAGTGAAATATAACCTTTGTGGTCAGACCTCTCACCTGTGGTTTTTTAACTGACTGTTGACACCTCGACATCTGACTTCCCAGTCTGGTCTGTCATCTGGAACCACAGTCTCACACGAGGTCACCTCCAGGACATCGAGACTCACATTAGCCAGTGGACCTGAATAATGAGTTCAGATAAAGACGGGCATTTGTAAAACCGTAGCACAGCATCTGATTCAGATGTGTTATTATCCCAGTAAACTTGAAGTACAGAACATGGATGGACGTACAGCAAGGGTATAACAGGGTCGCATGAGCAATGCTTAATGCATGGTAATAGTCACTCAGTCAGATATGTCCCTAAAAAAACTATCATAGCTTTTTACAGGCCAAAGTTGGTTGGTTGGTTGGTTGGTTATTTAACTCAGCAATATTCCAGCAATATGGCGGCGGTCTGTAAATAATTGAGTCTGGACCAGACAAACCAGTGATTCACAGCATGAGCATAAATCTACACACCTGGGATACGGTAACACGTGTCAACCAAGTCAGCGAGCCTGATCCACCGATCTCATTAGTCGCCTCTTAATGAGTGAGGAGTTAAGTTTGACGCCAGAAATCTCAGCAATATTCTAGCTATATAGCGGCGATCTGTACATAATCGAGTCTGGACCAGACAATCAAGTGATCAACAGCTTGAGCATCGAACTTAGCAATTGGGATACGATGACATGTGCCAACCACGTCAGCAAACCTGACCACCCGATCCCGTTTGTCACCACTTATGACAAGCATGGGTTACTGAAGATCAGCTCTAACCCGAATCTTCAAGGGTTTCCAGGCCAAGGACACAATAATACAACAAATTGTGGTTAAAGTGAAATCCTACCTGGTTCAGGAGGTGTTAAATCAACCACGACCCCCTTGCTATGGAGGATGGAATCAAACTGGAGGTTGTTGATAAGGTGAAGGTTGAAGTAGTACATGACCCCGTGACGTAGAGACAAATCCTTGTAGATGAACTCGTGGGCAAGACCAACTCCAAGCCTCTCATAGTGAGAATACTGATCAGACTACAAGGATAAAGAATGATGTGCGGTTAGTGTACATCATACATGTTTCAAAATATTTCTTGAAAAAAATACTTGAAGATACTCAAGGTAATATTTCGCTTAAGAAATGACCTTCCCTTATACGCTGAGAAAACCATTCCTGATAGTTTGATATCGAATCAGTATTTTAACTATAGAATATATTAGAGACTCATGCTTTCCTGGTATTTGTTTGTCTCGGCTCGCACAAGGTAGCAAAATATACAGTTGGGGCATTATCTCGGAATTATGTCTTGTTTCGTGTCCTGTCTATTAGGTTCAAGTCAGGATTGTGTTCAAGAAGCTGAACGACGGGTACACAAATTACAGAAAAGGTCGTTATCGTGGATTACCATTGCCGGTATGTGTTTTGCCCACAAAAAGAATTACAGAGCTCCACATGAGATAGCTGCTGACAAGCGAAACTGGCAACATGTTGTGATATGAAGGGGTGAGGTTCAAAAGTGGTCAGGAGGGCAAGTTCAAGCCACTTTTACCAACCGATTACAATACACATCCGTGTTTGCAAGTCATATAGTGATACACGGCCTAACATATGGATGGAAAATTACAATCTCGGAAATGAATGAAGTTACATTATGAAAAAAAATTATGTTTCACTTATATTAACGGCAAAAAGTAACTGTGCAAAACATGAAATTGCATAAAACAAAATAATTTAATGTAGTTATGGATATAAATTAGTAAGAGATTCAGTACAAAAGTTTGCTTGATATAGAACGTCAGTGCAAAAGTATATCCATTGTTCACTATCCTCAGAAACCGATTCCTTGTGATGTAAGGGGAACAAGAGCTGTGAAACTTTTATGAGAGGCAATAGGTGAAATACCGGACTTCTATACAATTTTTGGGAAAGACAAAGGGAAGAAGTAGGCATCCCCATGTGCACGAGAGTGTTCCATAAACTGTCGATCTGTTTCTTTTTGTAAAATAATCAGAGGTTCTGTTCGCCTAGGCAAAATCAAATGAACTGAAATTGATCAAGTGTAAGTTAAACTTCCTGAGTATCGATATTCAGTCTGTTCTATGTCACTGCTTCACCCAACTAAACTAAAAATCAGTGACAGTGAAACCGTTTCTTCTGTATCATTATCCCGTTATATAAAAACGGAAATGCACAAAATCCTGACAATTATAGGGGTATTTCTCTGACTAGTATTCTAGGTAAAACTTTTACATCTATAATCAACAGTAGGTTAACACAGTGGTCGAATATGAGAGATTTAATACCGGAACCTCAAGCTGGATTTAGAAAGGACTACTCAACATTTGATCATATATTTACCTTGTATGCTATTATTGAGAGATATTTATCCTTTAGCAAGCGAAAGTTGTATGTAGCTTTTGTAGATTTCAAAAAGGCGTTTGATTCTGTAGATAGAGGTAGAATGTGGAAATGCTTAAGAAATATAGGTTTGAGAGGTAAAATGTATGGTATCATAAGATCGATGTATTCCAATGTAAAGTCATGTGTCCGCTGTGGCTATGGTGTAAGTGACTTTTTCGATTGTCCTGTCGGTCTGCGTCAAGGATGTATTTTAAGTCCTTTACTTTTCTCCTTTTTCATTAACGAATTATATTTAGATATCATAAAGTCTGGTAAACATCGCATCCAACTCTCTCCCGATGTAATAGAACTTTTTATGTTATTATTTGCTGATGATGTCATTCTTATGTCCAGCTCTGTAATTGGTCTTCAAAATCAAATAGATATACTCTCAGCGTATACAGATAAATGGCAGTTGAGTGTGAATCTAGATAAAACAAACATCGTTATATTCCGAAGAGGTGGTCCTTTGTCGGCTAGAGAGAAATGGTTTTTTAAAGATAAACGTATGAATGTTGTGAATGATTATAAATACCTTGGCATATTGTTTACCCATACGCTGAATCTGAATAAGTCCGTACTTAACCTGGCGAGGAGAGCAAAGAAAGCTCTTTTACAACTTCACTCTGTTGTTCCTATGCTCGGTCTTGTTCCACCGACTATTTACTTCAAATTATTTGACTCTCAGATACAACCGATTTTACTGTATGGATCTGAAATGTGGGGTTTTAAAGAGTATTATACCATAGAAAAATTCATTTGCTTGCCTGTAAAAGTTTCTAAATGTTGGTTTGTCAACACCAAATGTTATGGTTTATGGTGAATGTGGGAGGTTCCCATTGTACATATCATCTTATTGTCGTTGTTTAAAATATTGGTGTAAAATAATTAATATGCCTGAACATCGTTTACCTAAAAAAGCTTTCAATATGCTTTTACATCTTGATTATCTTGGAAAGAATAACTGGACATCTCATATTCGCACCTTACTATTTAGATATGGTTTTGGTTGTATTTGGTTATCACAGACAGTTGGCAATGCAAATATGTTTATTAAACAGTTTCGTATGCGGGCTATTGATATGTTTAAGCAGGAATGGCATTCAACTATTAATGAAAGTTCTAGATACGATTCATATCGTCAGTTTAAGTCGTTGCTTGAGCCAGAGTGTTATCTTGCTCACCTTCAATACAGAAATATTCGCAATGCTTTTATACGGTTTAGATTAGGCCTTAATGATTTATTAATTAACCGTGGAAGATATGTTTCTATGGAAAAAACCCAAAGATTATGTCCATTCTGTTTTATTATTGAAGACGAATTCCATTTTATGTTTATTTGTCCTGTATATGAAAATCTAAGAAATAAGTATCTACCGCAACTGTCTTTATCTCAAATCAACGTTAATCTATTGTCTTCCTTACTTTCCAGCAAAGAACCTCCAAAACAACACAAAGTTGCTCTATTTATCTACAATGCATTTTTGTTAAGAAAAGAATTGATAAGTTAGAAAATTGATTATATATGCCATTGTTAAGATGTATCTCTTTTGTATATGGGCCTATGGCCTTTCATACAATAAAATATTGAATTGAATTGAATTGATACAGTTCCGTGTATAATGACGCAGAGTGATAACAAACTACCCCCAAGGCTGTAAGACGAGGGATGACTGATATTTCCAATTTTCCTTTTCGTGGAGCAATATTTAAAAAACTTCAACCTTTGGTGTCTGCTCAATAACAACATGCTATCTTTCCGAAGATTTCGAAGAACGTCATTCAGCTCATCCTCAAAGGTTTTGTGATCACGATTGCAGCATTCAGATGTGAAGGCAAAGCTTTCACACAGTTTCACTGCAGACACGTAATTGACTTATCCGTGACCAGAAAACGATATTCATTCCCTGTTTTGATTTGTTCCTTTTTTATTAATGGATAGGGGTCAATTGTCGTATAAAGAATATAAAATACACTCATGATGATAATAGCATAGACACATGCAAGTGTTTTCCTAGATACATGCCTAATCTATACTTACAATGAAGATTTTATGGTCGTGTCCTTCAATGCCTTCTAACAGTTCACAATGTCCACTAGGCCCGTAGTCATAGTTGACGCTCATACATTTGGTGTCCGGGAACTTCATACACTCCTTCACACACGACCCGGCGTGGTTCATCCTGGAGAACTCGGCAAACACTGGGCCAATCAGCCGACCATCCTTGAGACCCGTGAAATGTTTCAACGCTTCATGGCCATACTGATCAGATGAAGCTGTAAGCAGTAACAACAATCATCTTTCACATGTCCAACCTGTTATAGTGAGTGAGTGAGTTAATACTTAACGTCACATCGGCAATATTTCAGCCATATCGTGACGAGAACATTTGATATTGAATTGAAACACATGTACATTATATAAACCTGTCGACGAAGGACTCCAACCTGTTATATACGATCCTATGTTGTTTGAAAATGTGTACACTTTTTTGGATATGGTCTCTGGTAACAAGACGAAATGCCTTATTTCCTGCCTGTGAACAAACAGCGTGAGTGAGTGAGTATGGTTTTACGCCGCTTGCAGCAATATTCAAGCAATATCACGGCCGGGGAACACCAGCTAAGGGCTTCACACATTGTACCCATGTGGGGAATCGAACCCGTGTTTTCAGCGTGACGAGCGGACGCTTTAACCACTGCGCTACCCCTCCGCCTGAACAAACATTCAACCATTTCTGGTGTAGAGTGAACTGTATACTACGAATGATAATGCACTTCGAAAACGTATAAAGAATTATTTTCTTATATAAGTATTGCAAAAACTGACCATATTCTTGATTATTTGTCACTCATCTTCAATTCCACATTTTATGTTTACCCCTTACTTTGTTTAGCTATGTTTAATCATAACAATTCATTAGCAATTCATTTTATGTTTGATTATTTAGTCATCTTCTATGGGTATAAGGCTCTTGTTTTGTTATACACAGTAGATCAGGTTTACTGGCGATCGTATGATATATCATATTTGCCGTACGGTCATAGCCTGCTGTGTGCCTTCCTCTGAGATTGACCGAGTTGTAGGCTATTATTTCATCTGCGTAGATTCCCCTTCCCAGACCGACACCCACAGAGGATTTAACCAGACCGGAATCTTCATACACCACCACGTTCCCTCTCAGCTCAGCTGGGTTACTGGTTGAACTAAAGTCCGCTGTCAATCTGCCGCCAGGGGGCGTGACGTCATAGGTGGGGATGGCGCAAGTCACGGTGGATCTCGCGCCTGCGCTGTTCTCTCCATACACCGTGAAGTAAACGGGGACACCGTAGCCATTCTTGGAAAATCGCTTAAATGGATAATGTCATAAATTTAGATTACATAGAGTTCTGAAATATCTACTTGTCAATATAGATATTAATCAAGATGATTCTACTAAAATGGTAACGTGCATGCACGTGTGTGGTTTCCTGTGCTCGTCAGCATATTCCGGTTTTATAACACTGTACACGCCAACTGAGCTACAATAATAAAAACAATTATATATGGACACCAAGTTCTGACACAATATTTCAACTACAACAAAACCCCGCAATGCTGTAACGAGGGGTGGTACACACCTTTAGCGATTTTTGGTATGACTCTACTATGGACTCGGCCTTCCGTACTGTAGAAAGACACACTGTCCACTAGACCAATGACGCGGTCTGTCAACACAATCGACAGATACTTAAAATTATATATTTCTCATTCTTGTCTCTGTGAGAAATGTAACAATGGCGAGTGCTATCTGCTCCATTCAAGAGACATACAAATCTCTATATAAAATAATTATTGTAAAGGAAGTACAGTCATCAAAATCAACAATGACATCTGTCGTCAACATATTCGATGTGCGTGATTTTTCGCATTTGCAATACCAATTATGATGGTGATGACAGACTTATAATAATAGCCATGTGATTAATCAGTATGATTGCCTCAGAAAACGGGGGTTGGTGGATGCAGGGGATGGTGTGTGTGTGTGTGCGTCTGCGTGCGTGCGCGCGCGCGCGTGTGTGGTGCGTGTGTGGGGTGGTGGTGGTGGTGGTGTGTGTGTGTGTGTGTGTGTGTGTGTGTGTGTTTGTCAGGAAGGTTGATTCACTATAAAAGTACTGAAAAAAACGTGACATGAGTGGTGTTGTGACAAGGTCTGATTTACTTTTGTTCAACATAAGTGTGCCTGAGGCAAGTGATTTTGTGCCTGTGGCTTAATCACTTTCGACAATTACAAAAGTAGGTTTGGTGCTCTTCAGGAAAGAGAACTTAAATGAACAAAGTAACCATTCATGCGCATGGGATGATGACAGAGGCATTCTCCTACGTCGGCTCCATACCTGAGTGATAATTGTTGATGGTCCACCAAGGGTGGATTTTCTCAGCACATCACTGAGACCAGGTTTGGTCCCAGCCTCCACAAAGATCTGGACCTGACTCCGGTCATCCTGGGCAGCTATGGCTATCTCTACAGCCGGTTCTGTGTAGTCTCTATTGGGAAGTTGTCTCACTAAGCAGCTCCGCGATGTGGACACTGCTCTCTTCTTTCGGCCAGGACTTCCCTGATGGAAATACATGGATGTGCATCAGTTTTTTCCTCTGACTCTCTACTATTACATTTCTGAACTGACAAACCAGGAACCCGTTTAATAAGTCGATGTTAGTGCTATGGTAACTCCTATAATTTAACATACACTTACCACCGCCGTAGGGTTACGTTCGCTTTGTGAAACGATGTTCTGCCCTTTGCTGGACTGATGAATCATGATAGAAAAGGCTTGTAAATACAGAAGCAAATGTTTGTTTATTGTTTAAAACCGCACTCAGCAATATTCCTGCTTTATGGCGTCAGTCTGTAAATGATCGAGTCTTGTCCTGACAATCCAGTGATCAACAGCATGAGCATCGAATATACTTGTTAACCAAGTCGGCGAGTTTGACAACCTGATACTGTCAGCCGCCCTTTACAAGCATGGCTGAGATCAATTCTAACCCGGATCTTCATGGGTAACATAAACAAATGAAAAATGTAGCATTTGTACTTTACTTTGAAAATGTTCTTAAACGTACCGTATTGTCCACGTAGTTGAGGAACTGTGGTGGAGACTTGTCCTCCTCCTTCTTGCTTGTGTCTATCAGTCTTTTCCTTATCACTGGAGTAGCATATCGCCAGATAACTGCCTGGTACAATATCTTCTTGATCGTGACGAACAAGAGATTGACCTCCAGGGTAACTAGTCCCCGCAGGGTCAACTCCAGAGGAACCAGCTCTATGTCCATCTTCAGACTAGAGAGGATCGCAAATGAGGCATATGATTCATGATTCCTTGAGGGCATTTTAATATTGCAACAGTTTTCCAGTAATATTCAGGTAAATGTTACTACATTGAAATAACATTGCAGTTGCATGAGAACATATGTTCATGGCACAATGCTCATATTATCTGGATGAGCAGAGGCATACTTCCATAAAGGTTTCTGGCCAAAGGCGGCACCACATGGTTAGGAACAATGCCCTTCAAATTCTTTGGGGTCAATCTGACAAACACTAAAGTAACACGCATTCTCAAACAGTACGCAACTTAATCACATACCTATTTAGTATCTAGGCTGTATAGAATGATATAATATAAATCACCATGTGGTATGCGCATGTGTATGGTTTGAGACACGTTAACTAATTTATGTAGAATACTTACCTTAAATCAAGTGGGAACTTATAGAACCCTATTTCAGCCCTGGACGGGAACGCAACGTTCATGAGGTAACCATCAAATCTCAGCTTGCCATACAGTATCAATCCGATGCCAAGTTCTCCGTAAACATGGGCACTTCCATAGGGTACTACTTCACCGAACACCGTCATGCCAAGGATCTTAGCTCCGACAACTATTCCAATTCCAAAAGAAGCTCCGGCTCCAAACTCTGAAGATTGAAGAGGCTGAATGCAGTGGATGACGTGGTATACGCCCATACATCATGGAGCGGAGTGGAGTGGAGCGGAGCAGAGCGGAGCGGAGCGGTGCAGTGCGGAGCGGAGGGGAGTGGAGTGGAGCGGAGTGGTGTGGAGCGGTGTGGACCGGAGTGGAGCGGAGAGGAGTGGAGTGGAGCGGAGTAGAGAGGAGCGGAGCGGAGTGGAGAGGAGTAGAGTGGAGTGGAGTGGAGTGGAGAGGAGAGGAGTGGTGTGGTGTGGTGTGGTGTGGAGTGGAGTGGAGTGGAGTGGAGCGGAGAGGAGTGGAGTGGAGTGGAGTGGAGGGGAATGCAGTGGAGTGGTATGGTACTAACAAATGTAAAACAATTTCTCAAGCGTAAATGTGTCAGTGAGGTTGAAAACAATACTCAGTTTATCAGCTTGGAAAAAAAGAAAGCCCACAAAAAGAAAGACAAAATTCTGTAGACATACATCTTCTCTCTTGCAACTAACGTGAGGATCAGTATCATCACTTGCGTGATAATGATGTTAGTATCTACACCGAAAGGTCACATGATCAGTCGCATAGTAACCGTTTACCAATCTACACCGAAAGAGCACATACATTAAAAATGAAATTGTATACCCATTCAAATACCTTCCTAGTTCCATCCTAGGAGCTCCATGCCATTAAAAGGCACTGAATGAACAGATATGGTAAAGTATTCTAGGATCATAATCTGAGCAAATATATGGGATTAGAACCAATTATCAGCGGATCAGTGGGACGTAGTCCTCAATGACAAGTTTCCTTTGACTCTCTATGTCGTTCTATCGTATACTTGGAAAAGTACCTTGACCAAGAGTGAGTGAGTTAAGATTTAAATTCACATCGGCAATATTTCAGCCATATCGTGACTAACCTTGGCCAAGAGCGTGAACTAAGCCATATTTCATCTCATGAGCTTCACATATTGTACCCGTGTGAGGAATCATGTCTTCATTGAGACGACCTTATGCTTTGGCCTAAAAGCTGATGCCATTGCTCCTTGAAAGGAAAAAAATGCATGCATACTACATGTGGCATGTGACAGTGACAGTGAAAGTGACAACAATTACAGCCTGGATGTAGAAACGTTTGAAACACTACTCTGACATTCCTTTCAATCCAGAGTCAATCGTGTTTAGGGTTTTCTAAACCCATACTCACCAAAGGTCATGGGTAAGATTCCTCCAATCAGGAAGTCATGCTTGAATTTGAAGAAAGTGAGGCTTGTTCTGGGTATACTGAAATCTCCTTGAAGGGTAATGTCAAAAGAACTAAATGCGTTGGTTCCATCGCCGTTGATGATGGCATTGATGATATCTGAATACTGAAATCGGAGAGATGACATAAATATCAACGGCTTTAGGAGAGCTGACGACGTCAGGGAGAATTTCATTTGCTTGTTGTTTAACGCCGCACTACGAATTTTCTCAGTTATATAACGGCGGTGATATATATTACTGCACGACAGACGCTGAATCCAAAATGACAGTAAGAAAGTGGAAGTCGCAGTGGACGAGTTGGAGACCGCTGCCTTTTGTGTTGGCGATTAGGGCCCTGATTCTAAGAGTGAGGGTTCGAATCCGGGATGGTACTAAAATCTGTACTTTATTGAGAATGTGTATTCCAAAATAAAACATATGCTACAGCAGGCACTAGTATTTAGATGGTAAATATTGATATTTCTCTCGGCACATTTAGCACTTGTCTACATTTATATAATTTCTATATCTGTATCACGATAAATGTCATCTGATCAAATAAGTAGAGAAAAAGAAGAAGTGTACGTCTTGAACATGATCTTAACCAAATTGACCTTGACCTTTAAAACATATTTTGCGTGTTCTAAGCTCGCAGAAAGGTAACCATGCCCCCCCCCAAAACAGTGACATCACTAATGTTTTACAAAAAAATGTTTGGTAATCTTTTTCAATTTCATGACCTTGACCTTTCATATTCTGAGTCAAATTAATTCCTCAAAGCCACCAGTGGAAGTTCATGCAAGAACAATCATCGATGATTATAACTGTTGCGATTATTTAAAAGCAAAATCACTGGCAATTTGAACAAATACTGCTAATAATGTTGGGGCTACCATACATATATGAAGATGATTTCATTCTTTTATCTTACACCTGGAACATGGAATGTGATATATAACATTAATTATGGATAACTAAATATCAGCATAACTAAAACGTTACCAGGGCAAGAGCCAGATCTCTCAATTGTCTCGTCAGTCGAAGAGCAAGTTCAGGGTCGATGTTCTTGGCATCAAACATGGCTATGATCTCCCCAATACTCATGTTGGCTAGCTTAGCACCAAGCAGCTCCAGTCCTTTCCCAGTCAGACCTTTCCCAACAGTGTAGGCCTGGTCCCCGCGACCCGGGATGTCGGTGACCTGACCAAGGATCTTCATGATCTTCTCGCCTAGGTGAACCAAGAACAATAAAAACGTGTACTGAACCACGAGACTCTTAACCAGCAAGCTCACCGACAAGCTCTGCTTGCCAAGCTGGAGGAATGAAGCAGCTAGTTCTGCGTGTGATGTGTCCGGGACTCTGATAGCTGCTGCGTGCAGCAATATTCTGGACATGTCACTCGGGGTACAGACGTAATAGGTTTCACGAATTGGAATTTATTCAACTAAATGGTTTTGAATGACTCGGATGTATTATTGCTACAGCGTTGTTTAAACGTTCAAAGTCCAAGTAAGCTTTAACCTTTATAGACAACATGTGAAAGACATTTCAAAATTTAATGTATATCAATGACAGAAATTATATCCTAAGCAGTTCCGATGTTCCCGTGTTCTTCAGCTGACTTTCAAGCGTTAGTGGCGGGTGCCACCGGTCAGGCAGGATATGCACACATTTCCCCCTGATATCGTCACTTTTTGAGAGTGAGGCATTAAAACAAACATGCCCTAATCTAAACTGCATCTGGCAAGGATTTAATGTCATCATTTTCGTTGGTTTTATTTTTGTTTCCTTAAAAAAGTGCAAAAAACGTTAACGTAAAGATACGTTTGATTTTTAGACATATTCCTTTAACTATTGACCTTTTGCATAAAGGTACTTGCAAAGCCATTTCAGATTTGTACAAGTTCGTAAATCTATCAACGGACATTCATCTACGCGTTCATGTGTACAATATATACTTTCAAGTATAAACATGTGGCCTGTAATTAGACATTGAACTGCAATCCAATCGGAGAAAGAAATGTTGATTTAGCAAAGCGCATTCACACCTACAAAAGATATAGTTTATTGTCATGGCATAGATTACCAATGTGCTACTCTGATGTTGCCAAAGAAAAAACAACAATAATTTAGACAATATATATATATAAGCTCTTATTCAAAGCATGTATAGTTCAAATTTGAAGATATTTCGGTTTTAAAACACATTCGTTGTAATCTTATATATGATAGAGTGCATACGAAACTAATCGCACAAAACATACAAAACATATATGCCTTAAATACTCTGAACTCAACAATTCTATGCTTATTTCGTGACACTAAACCCTCTCACCTCCTTCCATGCCGAGCACCACGTTCCCTCTGCCGACCTCCCCGGAGTACAGAATGGTTCCTGGGTTGGCCATACCCATCTTTCTGATGGCGCTCTTAGTGTTGGTGGCTGTGCCATCATCATCCGTGCGAGTGAACATCAGTGAGTTGTCCCTCTTCTGAAGGTAGAGAACTTGTATTGCAATAAAGCTCTTATTCAAAAGATGTATTTTTCAAATTTGAAGATATTTCGGTTTTAAAACACATTCGTTGTAAAGCAGAAAATCATGTCGGCATATGAAACATCGATGAATTGAGGACAGTGATCTTCAAAACACCAGAGCCGAGGATAACATTCATATATCATTGAGAGCATACTCAATTCATCGCCAGATCTCCATAAAGACAATTCATGTTAGTGGCAAAACACAAATGCTACAAAATAGTATCCTACTGCTTCAGTCTTCAGTCTTTCAAAAAGATCCTTGATTTCTTCATTTGTAAAGTTCTGGTTCATAGCATTATTAAGGATCCGTTTGGCATCTCCTGTATGTATTCTGAAAAGGAAGAATGCCACAGCAATTCAAATTAGTTACATCTTCAACATTCGTTATGAGAAATAAACGAAACTATTTTCCAGAAATTGTGTTTATCAATTAGCATATTAAAGAATACATGGGTTATGAAAACAGAGGCAAAATGAATCGCTCTGTGTCCTCAGCAAAGTATTATGCAACACTCACAGGTCTAAAGGACTTCTTCTTTTCCTTCTTCGTCCAACAGGTGAACAAGAAGACGGCATCTGGAACACCTTTTCATCTAGGAGTTTGTAGTAGTAGCACTTGTTGATGAGGTCGTGTACGTTCATGACACAGAGCTTGACGTGGAAGGACACTTCATAGGAGGATGCAGTTTTGCTGATGACGTAGCTCACGGTGATGGCGTTGCCAACTAACACAGTGTGGTTCTTGTCTAGCGGAACAGCAAAAGGACATTACGACAAAAACGTACTGTTAGTCATTATTGTACATTTTGAAATTTACTCATTTTGGGGTTGGGCCTAGGACAGTTGCCACCGACAAACTGCCACCTAGGACAATTGCCACCTAGGACAATTTACCAACTTTTATTGAGTTTGACATAACAAATAAAAACATATCCTTCCATATAACCAGCTTTCACCAGGTTTTAAGAAGGTGTTCGATACAGTATCTACAAAAGATGTCTTGAATATTGTTTAAGCTAGATTTGGTAATCATTCATTGGATAAATATAATGACATATGAAACAACATTCTGTGTAACCTAACATGGTAAACTCTCTGAGGCAAGGAGATCCTCTGTCACCGTACCTCTATATTTTTGTCGCCGAAATACTTGGTTGTATGATTAGAAGTAATAAGAACATAAAAGGTATTGTTACTGACAATAATGTCAGTGTAAATTAAATCAATATGCAGATGATACTGAATTATTTCTTGATGGGAGTGAACAAAGCTTAAAGGCTGCTCGTGATGAAATTGATGCTTTTTATAAAATGAGAGGACTTCTAAGATTCTTAGAAATATACCACTATACACTCCAGAAATATCCCAGTTTCTAATTCACTCATAACTGAATGTCATTTGAATTTATTGAAATCATGCAAAGGCTCTATAATTTTGTATGACTCATTGATTTCTAATGAAGATTTACCTAAAGTGTGTCTTAAATGGCAAGCATCTTTTGCTTATGTTCCTTTTGATTGGAATAGATTTTTTATGACTTACAGAAATAGTGTGAAAGATGTCAAACTACTTGATTTCCAACACAAGTTTTTACTTGGTATTATCTATACTAAAAAAGAACTACTTGTTGACAATTTAGTTTGCTGTTTTATGTAATGAGCTGAATTAGAGTGTTTATCGTGTTTATTGGGAATGTAGAGAAATACACACATTCTTGAATGAATTTGAAGTTTGGATGAATAATCATATTGAGAACACAATTAACATAACAAAATACCATGTTTGGTTTGGAACATTATACACTGACAGATACTGAATCATATTATCTTAGCTGCCAAACATAATAAACAACATGCTCCAAAACTTCAAAGGGTTTTGGTTAATTTGAAAGAAATTTCCAATATTGAAACATTCAATGCAATAAAAAATGATAGCCTTCATAATCATGGCAATAAATGGCTATCTATATTCCCAGCTAAACAATAAATTTATGTGTGTCAACAGCAGTTTAATTTACTAAAATCACTACTAAATTGGATTTAATGCTGAACCAAAGGATGAAACCTGTAGATTTGAACTGTTTTTCTAGCAAAGTCTATGTACTCACATTATCAAAACATTCATCTCAACATGCTATATTTCAGACAGCAACACCCAAGCTTTAATAAGTTGTTTTTCTAAACACTTGATCTTCTTATCACTTTAATCATATGTTTTCATCAAAGTCAAAACTTCATCAAAGTCAACATTTCGTCAAAGTAAAAATTTCATCAAAGTGAAAATTACTTTAAGGTGAAAAGTTAATCAAAGTCAGAATATGTATACATACCAAGAAAACACTGACTTTTCATCATCTAAATGTGTGTTTATTGACACCCTGCATTCATTTTCTCAAATATAATCACATAAAACTTCTGGGTGGCAATTGTCCTGACTATAATAGTAAAAATAACCGGGTAGCAATTGTACTAGGTGGCAGTGGTCCGGGTGGCAATTGTCCTTTCTTTTGGGGTGCTGGATTAAAACACTAAACACATACAAGAAGTAGAATCCTTGAAACTTGGCCTCTGCAACTTGAAATGAAACTAAAGTCTATAGATATGTTTTACTTAATTATGAGAGCAGCATTCATCAATATACAACTTCAGCCTAGCGACTGTAGGTGTGGTGTGAGTTACAGAGTTGAAAATGTGAAGAAAAAATATTTTCATGAATGCACTTTGTTTTAAGTATACCTACCCCAGGTACCCGAGTTACTTCGCAGTTACTCACAATATTCCACAACCTGAAGCTTCTTTGTCCACTCTTTGTTCTCTATATGATACACAAGCTGGTCATTGCAGTGGTCAACCTCGATGCCCGCAGTGATGGAGTAGATGCCGAGGTACTTCAGGTCGACGTCCACACAACACGTAATGCCTGTGCAGTTGTCAGTCAGGCGGCAGGTGCTCGAGATAGCCGTGGGGAGGGATGCCGGGCAAGCTGGGGTTATGAATACAAGCAGCACTCAGAAGACATCATTATAATAAAATTTGCGAAAACTATTAATTTAATACAAACATGCCTGCTGGTTATTTGATATTCCACGATCACGTATAGGAAACATTAAAAAAAATGATTAAATACATACTTTTCAAGACTTTGTTTGGGCTTACCGGAAGTTTGTAGAGCACATTTTTCAGACTTCCAGAAATCAAAGGAGACTCCTGTAACGTAGAGAAAACAATGTTTACATTTACACCTTTGTCTCTAGAAATATGGTCACACACTAGCACTCACGCACACACGCACAGTATACATACACAAAACATGCTGTATCTGCCAGTATAAAGCCAGTGCTAAGTTTGTCTAAAATCCTGGTCAACCTTGGGCATTGGTATGAAAGATCATGTGGTAATCCACAAAATCTGTTTCCGTAAGTGTGACACCTTTGATTAAGTACACACCATCAAACGGCACCGGTAGACTCGGGTTACATGGGGAATACGCCAGCTCTGATTGCGAGAAGACTGGGACTTCAAGCACACACGTGTTGTCTTCAAAACACATCTTGATGTTTAGATCAATCACCAACGTCTGCGTGGAAGGGACGTGCTCAAGTTTGTACCTGCAGCGACATTCCATAAGTTCTTCTGAATGTTTATGAATGGCATTTGTAAGAGTCTATGCAATCAAATATCTACATTATTTTCAGTTGAATACTCTTATCAGTGTACAGGAGAATAATTATTAAGCTCTAAAGAAGTGTAACAGATTCATGACGTAATATCCCTATTCTAAAGCTGTGTGCAATACATCGACTGAAAATTGATTTAAAGATTATAGTCCAAGGCACTATGAATAGCTTTTTGTTAAACAATAAAATGAAATCGGAGACCAACGTTAAGGTCTAATGATTTGCAATATACATTTGTGCAAAAAGGACTGACTGACTGACTGAGTTTAGTTTTACGCCGCTTTTAGCAATATTCCAGCAATATCAGGGCGGGGGACACCAGAAATGGGCTTCACACATTGTGCCCATGTGGAGAATCGAACCCGGGTCTTCGGCGTGACGAGCCAACGCTTTAACCACTAGGCTACCCCACCGCCCCGTGCAAAAAGGAAAGATATGACAGGAGAAACTACAGGCATCACGGCAGGTTCAGTCACATGGACATAATGCCATCTGATACTCACACCAGCCGTGTCATATCTCCCAGGATGAAATGTCCTTCCGTGCCTGGAACAGATCGGAAAGTACATTGAATCAGGAATGACTAAAATACGACTGGTTAGTACCTCAAAGGTGTTAAGATGCGTAAGTCTCATGTTGGACAAACCTCAACGTGACTATACCATTATGAATACCATCTAAGCTCAGGTTCTATAACAACGGTGTCCATTCATACTGAATGTGAATTTGATATTTGAAACTGAGTGGATATCGACACATTTCTGAACATTGGATTCCAGTGGACTTAACCATGGGCCAATCCTGAACCTGTGAAGAATTCTCCTTGTGACAAACTAGGATAGAGAAACAGGATGAATTGTAGAATATTGTGCAAGTGGACATTTACCCCATACATACTCCAGGAGTGAAACAGTGTAAGATAGTCGTTCAATGATCACTGTCATCTGTAAGTTACAAATATCCACATCAAACTTGGCTTGGATTGTCCTCTTGATGAGTCGAACATCGACACAACAGTCTACAGTGGAACAGTTGGAGGTCAGGTGACATCGCACAGAGTCGGGTAGGGATGGTACGGCTCGGCTGCTGCATTCTGGAAACACAGACATATAAATCGTGTACCTTCTGTTCTTCCATCTTCCATCTCACTCTAATGAATGTAAGAATTCCGAAATGTTCAAATCGTGTATTATAACACGCATTTTCTTTACTGGTGTGGTAGATTTACCAGTATATCAACTATGCTCTTATTAAACGTAACAATCTAATAAAATGTTTTGTAGGTCCATCGTATTTCACTACTTGTACATAATTTACTGCCTGTATCATGATTTGCTGTTTGGATCACTAATTACTACTTATTGCACCATATGTATAATGTATATGTATAACTTCAATGTATATGGGCCTGAGGCCTTTTGTACAATAAACATCTTTGACTTTGACAGTACCCTGCTCTTTCTCTGTACAAAAGGGGCGATGAGGCAGCTTAACAGTTAAAGCGTTTGCTCGATGACCCGGGTTTATTTCCCTAAATGGGTACAATGTGTAAAGCTCGTTTCTGGTGTTACCCGCCGTGAAATTGCTAAAAGCGGCGTACAACTAAACTCACCCACTCTGCGCAAAAAGGGCATAGGGGAAATATTCATTTAAATTCATTGCGATTTCAGTGCAAATATCTATGTATATAAGTCCACAAAAGATTTAAAAGCGGAATGACCCTATGATTCTCATGAGAAGAAACATTTCGTAATTGTTGGTTTCATCAGTAACCCTGATTTCAATTAAATATATGCTCAACTACAGGCATACTTCAGTTAAATATATACAGGTACAAAACAACATACAATAACTTCATACAGATTGTACTTTACTCCAACACCAATAACATAGTGGTATAAATGGTATATATATACCATTATTCCAGTTGTTTATCCCAGCAGGGGAATATGGACTTGCTGACTCATCACAGGCTAAACTGACGAGGTACTGAGACACCCCGAGATCATCCGTGAGCTGAGATATGAGTGTTTCCGTGAGAGTCGACACGGTGGAGGACAGACCCTTGCCTGATGCCCAGTTGGTCAATGAGAAATCTGAAACAAACAGTCATACTTGCTGTGTTGTCTTCCTTGTTATTCCGTTAAAATATTTAATAACATTCTGTTGGTTCAGATGCAAGGTTGCTATGTTGGTTATCTCTTAAAGGATGAGGCAGTCAACCATGCTGTTTCTCTAAAACCACAAAGATTTGAAAAGTAAAATTAGAGATGTATCTTAAGACTTATACATGTCATTCTGCACTTATATACATCTATGGGGACCGGATGTCTAAAATTAAATTGACATTAATTCACACACAATATACCATAATGAGGGGAAGAAGACACATATATACACGCATGGCAAACATTTACTCAGTCAAACAATTATGACATAATTGTTACAGCAGAACCAGAGACTTGTCTAAGACATCAACAGAATATGAAGTCACATCTTCAGAATACTTGATGTGCTGTCACCAAAAACTCCTGTTGAAATTGTTTTCGACTTTCAAAAAGGTATATCTTCAAACTTGCTTCTTATTGTTAAATACATGAAGGAAAGTCCATTTGTTTCGATTTATGTGTAGAAAGTACGACTGTTTAAACTTAAAAAACATCCATGAAATAACTGAAATAAGATATGCAATTTCAAATACATATGTAAGAATATAGTTTTCTTGTGACCATGTGAATGACATGCCCCTCCGACAGGACGGTTTGCATTCACACGACCGGTCAGCAAGGGCAACACGTGCTCATCATGAGTATGAGTGGCAGGCCACCCAAAATGATTGTTTAACCATCTGGTATTGACTATACTATATTCTGTCGGCCTGTCTATTGCAGTGTGTGTTTACCTGAAATGAACAAGAACACCCTCTTTGTTAATTATGCAATAGGATGAGAAATGAGAGATAGGGATTAAACAAGGACACATATCTAGTCAAGCCTTACTTCTCTGTTGCAGCCTGGCCTTCCAGTCACACAGGGGTTGTGGTATCTTGGCTTTGTCAAGGAAGGTTTTGGAGAACAGACACTCGTTTTGTTTCAGACACACACTGACAGATGCAGTCACCTCCAGTTTCTTCTCAGACATAAGTCGGTTGATGGTGTATCTGAAACATTGGTTCTATGTATGCATATTTTCAGGTAAACGTTACGCGAGTGGTGCATACATAAGTGTAGATCCACATTTTTGTGTGTTTTTGTCTTATTTTACTGAATCATTATGATAACTGATTAAATAACACGTCAATACTTACTCAACTCGAATGACACCTTTTACATGAAAATGTTCCTCTGTGCCTGTAAACAAACATAAAATACGTTACACTATGTAATTGCAATACTCACGTTTTAGCACGTGATGTGTGCGTGGTAAAACTTCCCAGTGTTTGTCAACGTTCAGATTATACTTGATGCAGAAGTTACACTGGACGAAAATATTCATTTGTAGGGACAATCAATCAACCGCTCTAACCTTTCCAAATGTGTCATGATGCTTAATTCCAACAATTCCATTTTTTTTTTTATGAATTGGGTTGCAATATTGTTTTCGAATGTTTTGGAATGGAGTCCGGTGTTAACATGTGACAGACCGACAAGGGATAATGTATAAGAATACCATAACGTAGCAATACTTACAGGTTTCATAAAACGGCAATCAGACTGCATAAATAATATGCTAACATACCCCACTGATAGTCCAACAACATCCGTTTGTAGACCAGATTTTCCACGCCCACCGTCAGCTGATAGGTGCACATGTCCACTGTTAGGATAACGTTGAAGGCACGTGACAGGAAGTCGATGTAGATGCAGCAGTCAACGGCGGTACAGATGTCGGGGACGTGACATGCCATGGAATCAGGGAGGTCAGGGAGGTACTGGTCAAGCCCATGAACTGGACACTCTGAAGTCATCGAATTGAAAACATCACCATAATTCTGTTACATTTGGTCTGGGAGGAAACGTTGCAGCTATCATCACAATGGAAAGTTGTTAAATATATAAAATCACTCCATCGTTGCTTTCAGCTGTGGACGTATATAAATAAACTTAAGTTTATTTAGAATCTTGATGACATATGAATACAGTGACTGGAATTTCATGCTGGTTCAACATATCGCATGTTAATCCGGGTCCTACCGTTGTTCCATCCATTGATTGTAGGTACATAAGGACTACTTGTATTTTGACACTGTGCTGTCTTCAGATATCCAGCTATTTCCAGCCTCTCAAACAGTTTGGCTGCGATGACTGAAGTGAGACTCGCAGACCTATTAGACTTCATCTCGGACAGGAAGCCAGACAAAGAGAAATCTGGAAAAAATGGAGATGTATTATCATGAATATTCTGAAGGGAAATTTGTTGAGGAATGCCATCACATTTCTTGTTGATACACATACAGTATATGATTCTTCTGGTTTTATTCGTTTGTTTGCCGCAATATGCAATGTTCCAGCCATGTGAATAATTCAGCCTGGATCAGACAAGCCAGTGACTGACATTATGAGCATCAACCAAGTCAGCGAGCCTGGTCACCCGGTCCTTTAGACGCCTATCATGACAAACATGGGTTTCTGAAGACCGATTCTAACCAGAATCTTCACGGGTCGATGTTTCTGGTAGGCACTGATAAAGAAGCACTTGTTATACACATGGGAAGGACTTCCTGAATGAAATGACAGGAAATGCTATATATATAATCTAGTTGACCATTTTACGACACCAACAATGTGTGGGGAAACAATCTTAATATGATACGGTATAGTCATAAGCCTGAACACGTTTAGAATTAAGAGGGTTTACTTTCACATAGAACCCTCATCCACATCACTGACCTGCAAGAGCAGCCGTACTGTCCAAGTCACAGACCAACTTGGGAATCTTTACATTCTTCAGAGCTGGGAAGGAAATCATACAAGAATCCTCCTCGAAACAGACACTGATGTTGAGGTTGATCAGGAACTTCTTTTCCCCGAACAGGTCATCGATCATGAAACTGAAAAAAAACATGTGTCCTTAAACAGTGACGAAGGGATGCCTCTGATTAGTACAGTGATGCGTACTATTACAACTCGGACAAAGCAAATGCTCAATTCTTTTACAATATAGTGAATTACCAATGTTAAAACAATACTTACTCTACACGGACCACGTTCTTTAAGCTTAAGTGTTCCACAGTTCCTGAAAAATCAACACCTATGTAAGAAAGGACATGTACGTTTCATTGTTCATCGTCATACATATATAGATGCATTAAAACGATTCATTATAGTCAATGCTCCTTCCATCAAACTCGATTAATACTTTCACATTTGTATCCAGATACTCGAATATCCTAATATATATGTTAACATTTTGACCATCCCCCAAAACAGCACCCTGCTCACCCCATTTGTAGTTGGATAAGATCCTGGTAAAGACCAGCTTCTCTATGCCCATGGTGAAGGTGTAGGTGCAAGGGTCTATTCCAACCTGGACGTTGAAGGATCTCCCGATAAAGTCCACGTCAATACAACACTGTATGGAGCCACACGGGTCCGACAGATGACAGGTGACGGAGTCTGGTAGTGTTGGCAGGGTGAGACTGGCAGGGCAATCTGAAAACATCATACAACAGCATGAATCTGTGAGTCTGTGTTCTCTTATTGTTATATATTTTAGCTTTTTTCTATTTGAAGACCCATACTCACAAGCCTTTCCCATTGCTATCAGTTTGTTGAGCGCAACAATGATCACATGCCATATTTGAAGCCTTAATGTCATACATTTGCAAAAGTTCAGCGTTTAAACAACATACCCTTTTTCCAACCCCCAACTGCACCAGGTGGTAGGCTCTTCTTACACTGGGGGTCTGTCAAGTAGTCCGCAATCCCAAGTCTGTCCAAAAGTTTCGACACATCTAAGCTGGCGAGTCTCTTACCAGACGGGAGCTTCAAATCCGAAAGCCAGTTCTTCAAAGAGAAGCCTGCAAATATGTGGTTAGAAAGACATGATATTAATCCCATGAATCACAAACACATGAACATCATTGATAAGGACACTGTCATATGTAACATTTATGCAATGTCTTTATAACTTATTACAGAAACGTGAAGTGCATCAGATGTTCATGTAGCGTATAGTTGTCGATGTATGTGACTTACCTTTGCCAGTCACCCGTTAGAATTGATCTTCAGTAACCCATGCTTGTCGTAAGAGGCGACTACCGGGATCGGGTGGTCAGGCTCGCTGATTTGGTTGACACATGTCATCGGTTCCCCGTTGCGTAGATCGATGCTCACGACGTTGATCACCGTATTGTCTGGTCCAGACTTGATTATTTACAGACCGCCGCCATATAGCTGGAACATTGCTGTGTGCGGCGTAAAACTCACTCACTCGCTCGCTCACTCACTCACCGTTGTCAATCGCGGAGAAAGGATTATCCCAGTTCCACACTAGTTTGGGGAAGCTGATATCTGTGAGGACAGGAAGGCTGAGAGCACAGGGAGAGTCTGCTTCAAAGCACAGCGAGAGTTTCAGACTCATCAGGTACTTCCAAGCATGAACAAGGTCATCAATCTTGAAACTGAGGAGGTAAGATGGACATAGTGTTAGGTCACGTACATAACTGGTATTGAACTGGTTTAATGTTTCATCTGCATGAGTAAAGTGGCTGGTAGTTGTCAAGGGTAGGAACAGATAGCCACCCCAAGAGACCATGAGTCGTAGTACTAATATCGGTCATTTGACTGTCCAAACTGACTTCAGTCAACTCACCCCAAAATGTTTATTCCGTGTCATCATTCAATATACTTATATATATATATATATATATAAATATATATATCTAAGAATATACTTAATGCAGTCGCTCTGTAAGTGTATGAGTATTCTCGTGACAGTCCATTCTAAACATATGTTACAGGAAGTGCCAGCAGTACATATAACAATTGGTCATTGAGAAGGAAATGTTAAATATTTTCGTCTTGAAAGTTTAGACACTGAGTTTCATATCATATCACACGACATACATGTTCATATTCAATTGGCCTTAGTGACGTGAAAGATAAAGGTTCTTCATTTTAAACATAATAAATGTACCGTATATACACTAATAATAATCCATCTCACCTTAACCTAACGACGCCATTAAGGTTGAAATTTTCCCATTCTCCTGAAAAAGCGTAAACACAAAGTTGACATTTCCGCAAAATAATCAATAAGTAATTTATTGGTTATTATTCGTTATACATGACATTGAAACTGTGTACATACGATATGGAAAACAATTCCCAAAACACTCTACTGCTGTTAACAAAAACGTAAAATTGATTGTCTATTTAGTAGAATACACATGATCTGCATAGCTATGGGGGTGCTGTAATGAGGCCTACCCCACTTGTAGTTGAACAATGATGTCTTGAAGGTGAGCTTCTCGATACTGAGAGTCAGGACAAGGTTCCGTGTGTCCAGAAGGATCTTGAAGTTGAAGGACATCCCCAGACTGACCACATCCACACAGCAGTCCAGTCCAGTGCAGTAGTCGGGGATATGACACGACAGGCTGCTCGGGAGGCTTGGTAGGGTCATTGGTTTTGGACACGCTGAAATGTCATATAATAACCCAAGTTCCTAACTTTACGATAACCAGAGGTTTCTACTTTTAGTTGCACCGATATTTCCCTTCATTTCAGCAACTGGATAGAAATAGTAATTTGCATGGTTCCTGCAAAATTAATGATTTTCACAACCATTTACCATTATTCCATCCCGGCTTGTATATCCCCCTCTGCCTGTCGCACATGGGATCCAGGAGGTACTCAGAGATGCCCAGAGCTAGAGATAGTTGGAACCGGAATACTGATGTCAAGGCTTGTCCGATGTTCAGATTATGATCATTCAGCCAGTTCTTCAGGGAGAAGCCTTTGCATATTGAAGTGGAATAAGATAGTGTACATGTTTCACCATCATATCATGTTAATATACAATGTAACCCCACCACGCTGAGTTAATGAAATCAAACTAGGTTTATCATGTATGGAGGCCTTGCCTCCTGTTGATATATTTTGAGTATGTTTTTATACTGGAATGGTCAAACAATTAATGTTTATACGATTATATATTCCATACATCACGCATGGAAAGTTTCCCTAGAACTGTTAATTATTAACTGTTTTATTTATTCACGGACGTACCTTTGAGGGAGAGTGTTGAGTTCCAGTCGCATCCAGGGTTGGGGAACCTGGCCTGGTTTAACACTGGTAGGGTAACCAGACACTTCCCTCCAGCCTCGAAGCAGGCACTGATGTTGAGACTTACAAGGAACTGTTTCTCTCCCTCCAGATTGTCGATGACGTAACTGACAATGAAACACTTGTATTTCGAAACGTACGAGACTCGAATAGGAGATTCCAATTCACCATATACATCAGCTATGTACTTTGAAAATACTAAAAGTAATGGCAGAGTACCATCACAACTATATTTATGTCTGTTTAAATCTGAAGTGAAACCACTGTAATAGCAACTTACTGAACAAAGCATCAACATTTGAGTAACTTACTCTGCTCGGAATATCCCCTTCAGATTGAAACTGTCTGGCGTTCCTGAGGAAGGTCAAAGCAAAATAGAAATTTTAAATGTATATACACTTGCACATTGACTGGGCCTAACAAAAAGACATTGTTGTTCTTGTGTTCAATGCGTAGAATCAGGTTCCACTTCCCCCTAAATATACAGCCATTCATTTATAACTTGCTTGATATTTCCACCCACCCCATTGGTAGTTGAAGAGCAGCCAGCTAAACTCAAGCTTCTCTATGGTATATACACTTGCACATTGACTGGGCCTAACAAAAAGACATTGTTGTTCTTGTGTTCAATGCGTAGAATCAGGTTCCACTTCCCCCTAAATATACAGCCATTCATTTATAACTTGCTTGATATTTCCACCCACCCCATTGGTAGTTGACGAGCAGTCTGCTAAACTCAAGCTTCTCTATGGCCAATGTAAGGGTCATTTTGCACTTGTCCAAGTCGACCTTGAAGTGGACATTCCGACTGATGAGAGGCACATTGAGGCAACAGTCTATTCCTGTACAGTGGTCGGGAAGACTGCAGGACAGAGAGTCGGGTAGTGCTGGCAGTGAAACCGGTCTGGGGCAATCTGAAATATGATATGTACAAAAAAAGTAGAGAACCCTTCATCATACTAATGAAATGTCAAACATCTGTTCCCTGCCGAATATTTTTCCACAAACACATTAGTACTTGGCCCCCAAGAAGATAACATTTGTTTTATGTATACAGGTTCAAAGTGACAAAAACATTATCCACGAGACTGGATGAGAACAAGAATGTCTTCTATTTTCCAGTAGTCAACCGTCTCGTTGTGTCGGACAAGCCCTACGCTTTACACAACATCCCAGGCAAAATCGAGCGTGTTCTTTCTTCGAGAGAACCGCATTAGACTCTTCCTCGAAAATTGTTTGATCACGATTATTACATTCAAGACCTTTTTAAAATATTCAAAAGAAGGAAATCAATGACCAACATTATGTTCGCTGCAGTTTCCTGTTTCAACTCTAGTATCACATGTTTCCTGGTTATCTCAGCTGAATACTGGACTTTCTTTTCTTCCACGTGTTTGTTCCTGGTGCTACCGTTGCGACAGGAACAACTTGTTAACAATAGTTGGTTAGTTGGTTTATTATTTCACGCCACACAAAGCAATATTCCAGCTATTTGGGGACCAGACAATGTAGTGATCAACATCATGCCCATCGGTCTACGCAACTGGGATACGATGACATGTTTGAAACAAGTCAGCGAGCCCGACCACCTGATCCCGTTTGTTGCCTCTTGCGACAAGCATGGAGTACTGAAGATCAATTCTAACTCGGATCTTCACGTGTCCGTGAACAATAGACATCATGTTTCATTAACACATGTTCACGATAAAGACACCTGAGATCTACCCTGAGATCATGAAAAGGATTTGTCGTTTTGTTGTATATCTGTTCACTGTTGGTCAGTGTGCTATAAATATCATTTATCTTAAACGGTTATGTCTCCTCACCTGAGCTCCAGCCATTCGTGCCCCGACCACTCATGGAACACTGTGGGTCCAGAAGATAGCCGGATACACCAAGAGTCTCCATCAGCTTGTCCACCAGTGCATCAGTCAGTCTGTCCGTCAGTGCACCACCTTGCAATGTCACAAACTCTCTAAGGGAGAAATCTGAAGCAAATTCAAATCTTTTGACATAACGTTCTGCAGGTTTTTGTCCTTATTCAAAGATGATCTGTTCCATCACGTCCGTGTTATTGAGAAGGGCTTTGCTCGGATTAACCAAGGGCTATCAAGTAGCTATTGCATATGGAATACAAAAGAAAATTAATCTCGTTCTTACCTTGTAGCTGCTTAGTGGCCTCCCAGTCACAGAGAGGTTTAGGGATGATCATGTCTGTGAACACAGGGAAGGTAAACTGACAAGCCTCTCCAGCAGTCAGACAAACCTTAAGGCTCAGGTTCACCAGGAACTTCTTCTGACCAGAGCTGATGGTATATCTGGAAAGGTACGCCGTTCTTTAAATTACTTCCATTCTGGGGAAATTTTGCGAATGGTGGGTACTATCGGTTTTCGTGAACACCTGGTGTCATCATTGAATTTCAGTGATCCATTCATGTATTTTCCCTTTACTCCATAAGGAACTTGTTTCTGAGAATAGTCAATACTGGGTATTCTTTTGCACTGATGCTATGTATATTAGGATGCGTGAATTTTTTTTTGAAAACGGAAATAGAAAGTATATTCAGATCTAAACATGAACGTCCTTGTCAGCCTGAGGTATGTATCCTAGACAATATCACCTGATAAAAACTGAAAATAATACTTTTTTAAATAATCAAAATACTTACTCAATTCGTACAAGTCCTCCAAGATCGATAACTTCTGTTTTACCTTAAAAGGGGAAAATATTTGTATATGAATACCAGCAGTTGAATACACTTTTACAACTGACACGTGTATCTGTATGCATTTTCGGAATAAAAACCCCCAAATCTTTTCCTTACCCAATGTTTTCCAGTGTACAACTTACCCCATGTAAGGTTAAACAGTGTACAATTTACCCCATGTATAGTAAAACAGTGTGCAACTTACCCCATGTATAGTTAAACAATGTACAACTTACCCCATGTGTAGTTAAACAGTGTACAACTTACCCCATGTATAGTTAAACAGTGTACAACTTACCCCATGTGTAGTCAAACAGTGTGTGACTGAACTCCAGCTTCTCAATGCCGACTCTCATATTGTAGTTACAGTGTACAACTTACCCCATGTGTAGTTAAACAGTGTGTGACTGAACTCCAGCTTCTCAATGCCGACTCTTATATTGTAGTTACAGTGTACAACTTACCCCATGTGTAGTCAAACAGTGTGTGACTGAACTCCAGCTTCTCAATGCCGACTCTCATATTGTAGTTACAGGAGTCAAGGAAGAGGTAGGCATTGAAGTTCCGTTTGACCTGTGGCACTTTGACACAACACGTGACCCCGGTGCAGTAGTCAGTCAAGTGACAGAAGACGTTCTGAGGCAGTACTGGCATCATAATGTTTTCAGGACAAGCTGAAATGTTCAACATTTCTATATTAACTCAGTATACCATAACACTCGACTAGTTCAGTCACCTGATTTAATTATACTGATACCCCCACAAGAAGCTTCTAATGCGGTATGACACCAGGCATTATCTGGTATCAGCATTTGTACGAAGTCTGGAACAAAGGGGTTACAATGAATGTGTACAACTCAATAGTTATCCAAACCCTTTAGTAAACAATATTAACAACACAAATAAACACTTACAGCCTGGTAGAATGCCATTTCACCCATGTCTATTAACAGATCTATAGGTGACAATGTCGACAGTATAATCACTTTTTACTCAATCTTCCCCCAACTTGCAACGGTCCATGCAAAGTACAATACAACTTTTACGAAAGGTTTTAACCCAGTTAAACGTACCATTATTAATTCTATTTACAATAGACAACCGTGATATAGTTGTACTACGTTTTGCGATCGATTTGATGTCTTGCTTTAGTGACAACAGACAAATAGGGACATAGATATTATCTGTCATATGAAGCCACCAACAAAACCTACCGTTGTTCCATCCACTCATAGCGCCTCTGTAAGGTTCCAGGTAGTCCTGACACTGTGTGTCAAGCAGGAACTGTTTAATACCGAGCTCTTCCATCAGGACTGCTGACAGCTGAGCTGTGATCTCACCGCCCTTTTCTTTCAGCCAGTTCCCCAGTGAGAAATCTGTAGGGAAATAAACATGTACATGCATGCATGCATGCATGCATGCATACATACATACGCATGCATGCATGCATACATACACACATACATACATACGCATGCATGCATACATACACATATACGCATGCATACATACATACACACGCATACATACATTCATACATACACATGCATACATATATACATACATACACATGCATACATACATACGCATGCATACATACATACATACACACATGCATGCATACATACATACACACATACATACATTCATACATACACATACATACATACATACATACATACATACATACATACATACATACATACATACATACATACATACATACATACATACATACATACATACATACATACACATGCATAAATACCTAAATGTGTAATACTATAATCATGATATTTGAGTCATAGTGCACTGCTAACAAACAATAGCCACTTCAAGATATAATTTAGCTAATAATACACACATACATACATACATACGCATGCATGCATACATACACATATACGCATGCATACATACATACACACGCATACATACATTCATACATACACATGCATACATATATACATACATACACATGCATACATACACACGCATGCATACACACGCATGCATACATACATACATACATACACACATGCATACATACATACATACATACATACATACATTCATACATACACATGCATACATACATACATACATACATACATACATACATACATACATACATACATACATACATACATATACATACATACATACATACATACATACATACATACATACATACATACATACATACATACATACATACATACATACATACATACACATGCATAAATACCTAAATGTGTAATACTATAATCATGATATTTGAGTCATAGTGCACTGCTAACAAACAATAGCCAAGTTCAAGATATACTTTAGCTACCATAAGTTAATTTACTTGAAGTAATTGAGTTTACATAATGTTTCAGTGCTGAAAGTTTACACCAACAGTTATCCTTACTTTGAAGTTTGAATCCCTGGAACTTGGCACATCCTGGCATGGGAAGTCGTGTCTGATTCAGGACCTTCAGATCCAGCTCACAGTCATCTCCCTCCAGACACAGACTCGCAGACAGGTCAACAATAAACACTTGCTGGGACAGAAGCTGCTCAATCGTAAACCTGGGAAATATTAGACAAATATTGACGAGAAAATCGACAATTCTTTAAACTTTAAGTGATGTCAAATTTATCGCACTAGTAGCAATAATTAGCATTTATTTACTATTTACTAAATGTTTACCGTTTATGGTAAAAGCAGAAATAGATTCAATTATCCCGAGAAAATGTTATATTATAAAGTATCCGACGACAATAACTTTGTCCAACTTACTTCAGTTTGAGAACAGGAACACCATCAAACGTAATTACTTCTTCTTTTCCTGAAACAAGACTTGTGACTTGTACGTTATGTTCATTTTGTAAAAATGCACCAGAAAGCGGAATTCATCTCTTTTACGACTATCTAAAATCGAAAAACACACACATGTAGTCAATGTTTCACTTGGATATCAGATATCACATTGAATATCGCTGAGAAAAAAATCATATGTGGGTTTTCTGAAAAAAAGGAGCGATATCCTTAATCTCCTGATAACAGTTGTCAGCTTTACTCTGTTTAAAATATTAATACAGACATGTACGCCAGCTTTCGATGTGATCAGAAAGGAAATAAGACACATGCCATCTCTTCTTGTAATTTTACCAAATTTGTTGGATTCTGGTCCGATTGCCAACCTGACTGACATTTACTGACAGCTTGCATATTTTCTAACAGTGACATCTGTTATAATATACTTGTCAATACTTGAGATATGCCAAGATCTATATACAAACGCATGGTTTTATAATTTGCTCGCTGTTATTTGAAGTCATAATTTTGTACCTAAAACTAGATGAATAAACAAATTAAAGACTTGTAACTGCAGAGTGCAACCCGAATAAACATTGAGGTCAACAAAACAAATTGACAGATACAGCCTATTACCTTTGTATCCTATTATCATCGTTTTGGTGAAGCTAAAGCTTTCTCCTTCTGCTTTATGTGAGGAATTTTGTAAACCATGTCATAAACACATACCCCAGTTATAGTTGAGTATGTTAAGCTTAAAGCTGAACTTCTCAATGGAGCCTTCAATGAAGTAGTTACAGAGGTCAATGTTGAAGGCCATGTGAAGAGACAGGTCAAGGACGTTGCTGTGGAGACAACAGTCTATACCCAAACATTTGTCATTGATGTGACAGTTGGCCGGAAGAGTTATTGGGGGGAGGGAGATAGCGCTGCCGCTCAAGTCACAATCTGGAATAAGAATAAGGATTATTGTTAAATCTAGGTTAAGACGTCTTTGGTGATCTGTGATACAGTCTATGTGTAGAAAGGGTAATGATTAACTGTTTGACTGGTATTCACCACATTACTAAATTTGTACTGTACAAATATTCTTATGAATCCCATCTGCCTCCACCTACTTACTGTCCCAATTACAATTCAGAACCACTGATCATTTTAAAAAAACAACAACATTCGTCCTATGGGAAAAACATTCAATGTGAAAAAGAGTCATGACAAAAGTACTTATTACGCGTACCTGTTCACCTAAATGAAATGATAAACATCATCAGGTCTATCTGACTATCTGACTATCTGACTGACCATTCTTCCAGTTGCCTGCATCAGCTGGCTGGTACTTGAGACTGCTCCGGTTACATGGCGGATCCAGCATCTTGTCTTTGATACCCAGTTGCTCCAACAGAAGGTTCACAGCTGTCCGTGCGAGACCCTTGGTGAAATCCTGTCCCCTTGCCTTGGCCCAATCCGATATACTGAAATCTAGAGGGTTAGAACATTACAGATAGAGTTTGGATTGGTTGGGGTGGGGGTGGGGGGGTGGTTGGTTGGTTGGTTGGTTGGGTAGGGGTGGTCGGTCATGAGGTAGGCAGATTTTGAAGGACCACTGCTGCATCAATTACACCCCTACCCCTTCCACCCCTATATTCAATCAATCCAAAACCCTGCACACTGGACCCCATCTTCAAATAGTTCAGCCTTTGAAAATTGGTAGTATCTTGTTGACATATCATAATAAATATGTTCACTAAATTTTGAACCTAAATGAGGGGACTGGGTAGTTACTGAGTCAATACCAAACCTAACATACGTTACCTGTATGACTAAGGTGCAAGCATTCTGAACTTCAGTATATGATGTTGTATGTCGATGTTCAGTATATGATGTTGTATGTCGATGTTCAGTATATGATGTTGTATGTCAATGTTCAGTATATAATGTTGTATGTCAATGTTCAGTAGATGATGTGTATGTCGATGTTCAGTTTATGATGTTGTATGTCAATGTTCAGTATATGATGTTGTATGTTGATGTTCAGTATATGATGTTGTATGTCAATGTTCAGTATATGATGTTGTATGTCGATGTTCAGTATATGATGTTGTATGTTGATGTTGAGTTTATGATGTTGTATGTCGATGTTCAGTATATGATGTTGTATGTCAATGATCAGTATATGATGTTGTATGTTGATGTTCAGTATATGATGTTGTATGTCGACGTTCAGTATATGATGTAGCTGTGTGAAATCTATACTCCTCACATCAATATGGATAGCGATTCAAAGAATATATAACCCTTAGTGAATGTCAAATTGATTTATCTGATAACATTGACAACGTCACCCGAACACAACCACCCTCAGAAACAACATGCAAAATGTGTGGCATGGATGTGCTTTACTCTTCACACATGCACCCTGGTCGGTGTTAACCTACCTGTAATCATTCCTCTGGCACAACAAGCGGGTCCTTACTTCATGTTTATGGATGATAATGCCCGAGAAGAGTTTTTAACGATGTTTGTTTAGATCAACATCATGACATTTATGCCTGGCCTGCAAGGTCACCTGATCTTAATCCCATTGAACATGCTTGAAGCATTATTGGAAGTCCTGTTTACGGTCTCCATGTTCACCTCCAACTCCGGATGACCTTGAGCAGGCGTTGCAGACAGAATGGCAGATCATTCCACAACAGCAACTTTAAAGGCTCATTTAGTCAATGCCAAGAAGCTGCTTCACTGTCCAAAACTGACTTGAACCTTAATGTTAACATTTTGCTCCATCAATGAACGACTGTTTCACGGGTACATGCTTTTGATGATCTGTGAGTCTAGTATTGCTCAATACCATCTCATATCATTTTGTTAATCGTGTGCACATAAGTTTCACCTTTCTATTGCATCATTCCATGATTTGAAATATCAATAAATGAAAATGTAATGAGACTAAAAATGTATGTTGCTTAACTTTTTGTGAGGAGCATACATTTCGTACAGGGACATTATTTCTATTAGCTAGGTCTCATGGCTTACTTTTCAGGGTCCAGCTGGCATCAAGGTCGCACACAAGTTGTGGAACTTCAGTTCCCTTCATAATGGGCGATGAAACAAGGCAGGAATCCTTCTCCAAACAAACCTCAATGTCAAGGTCAAGCAGTAGAACCGTGTCTTTCTTTTTCAAACCAAATCTGGAATAGAGATAATATTTAGAATCGATGGTAAATGGTGACACTTCACACCCAAACCACTTTTATAATTTATTTTTATGATGCCTATTTTATCGATGTATTTATTACGAACACAGCTGACAATTAGTGACTTACTTCATCTGGAAAACATCCGCGATATCCAGCGTCAGTGATGTACCTGGAGATGAATCATAAGGCGAGACTCAGATCAGAGGTGAGTTGAATTTAACAGTATTCGAACCGAAACACGACGTAACAATTGAATAAAGGAGAAGAGCCCGAGGTCTTACAGGTTTGTCACTTTCATGAAAGCCATGCTGTACGTTGGCGACAAGATTCGAACCCACGATCGTTGATTTCTGTCGTGCGCAAGGTAAGAACATGTATTCAGTGACTTGCAGCTGCCTGGATGACAGACACCTCTGCCCAGATTCAGATCGTAACTCATACAATAACTGTTAGACTTAAAATAACCTTATTATGGCACACCTGATTTGTAATGTAAGTACATTAAATAAATAACACGTTGAAAACCAACATTATCTGCATTAGTCTGACATTCCAAGCAAGGCCATGCTGTGTTCATGTCAATATACTGAGTTGAATAGGAGCAACAACACAAATTTCTTAATATCAAGAAATCTCTGCTGAAAGCAAAGTCTATTGTATGATTCCAACAAGGTCGGGAGCATACGTTCCCAGGGTACATAAACTATATGGCCTTTATTGACGTAGAAAAGTAGAATTGAACGCCCGTTTGAAATACATGTCTGCGAGACAGTCACTGCTTGTCACATGGCAGTTGTAGACTCAATCATTAAAATTGTCAAAATCAGTGTTTCCTGTCAGGCATGGTAATATTGACGCCATTGTGACGTGGGGCATCGGACAATAGTTCATACACCGCATCGACGTGGGGTCTGAGGCCGGGTCTTTTGAGTCACGAAGCAGAGCTATAATCTCACAGACAGCAATCTACTCTTATTAAGTTTTGGAGAGGTTTAGTCTCTGTACTGTTTCATCCCTATCAATCACAGAACAGCATATTTTCAGCTGACAACTGGTCACGTACCAGCATCGAGGTCAATACCATTCCCTAAGATTCCCAGAGTCCTGGTTTTGTTCTCGATGGCGGCATAAATGACGTAGTCGCACATATCGACGTTGAGGACGGCGTTGAAGGACATCTCCAGGAAGGGGACATGGAAACAACAGTTTATCTTGGTGCACGTGTCCGCTAGGTGGCAGTACAGACCGCTAGGAAGATTGGGCAGCTTGCCAATACTCTTCGGGCATTCTGAAAAATACATGACCCTGAAATTCTTTTCCTATTCTTTTTGACAGATTTGACTTTTCATTATAAGTATCAGTATGGATACAAAAAGAGAGCTGTCCACAGAATCATCTTTGACTTTTTCATTATAAGTATCAGTATGGATACAAAAACAGAGCTGTCCACAGAATCATCTTTGACTGGAATGTTCTTGTCCTAACTGAGTACATGGGTGATTTATTTAAACATCAAACGAATTTATTCATTGTACACTCTTGGATTAATAGAACGGAACCAAAACTAACACTCATATATCATTTTATACGCATGCAATGCAAAAAGGTGAAATTGTTTTCGAGCGATGCAGGTGTTTCGTGTTCGGAAAATTATACTTTCGTACCATTCCTCCACCCGTAAACACTTGGCTTGTATGGTGTTCTAGAAACATCACATCTGTCATCCAGCAGGAATTCAGAGATGCCAAAACGATCTAATAATAACCTGGCAGCCGCTTGAGAGAGGGACTTCAAGTTGACGTCAAGATCAAGGTCGCGTAGCCAATCAGAAACTGAGAAATCTGAAAGTATACGCAAAATGAAGTACATTTGAACGAAATCAATGTCAAGTATTACTTTGCAACACGTGGGTAACCAAACATTTCCGAAGAAAACCAACATGGACAAGGAAAATAATTTACCATATGGAAGATTCAGAAACTCTTCCTACTCTTCTTTCAAAGTTTAAAACACATTGGGTTTACACGATGACAAAAAGAATGTAATAGGAGCAGTTCTTTGCTAAGGTGGACATACTTTGTTTTGTGAACTCCACCAGTGCATTAGCATCACAGGCGGGTATCTTCTCCTGATTCATCAGCGTCATTCCTCCTTCTGGGTAACAGAAACTGTCACCATCGATAGGGATACATGTGTGGACACTCAGGTCAACAAGGAAGCCTTTGGGATACTTGGAGATCTTGAACCTGGAATACAAAAAATTTACAGAAACTGTCACCATGCATACACACGTGTGGACACTCAGGTCAGTGAGGTAGCTTTAGTATACTTGGATCTGGTGTATACTAGTATACTTGGATCATAGATCTGGTGTATACTAGTATACTTTGATCATGGATCTGGTGTAGGCAAATGTACGGAAACTGTAACCGTACACAAACTTGTCAGAGGACACATCGAGTGTTCTCGCAGATCCATAATTAGGAATTGAAAATCACACACATGTGTAAGAAAGAAATCACTCTTACATGATGAAAGATAGTATAGTATTTCAAGAACAGGTTAATCATTATTTGCTTTTCTCATAACAATCGACAGAATCAGATGTTGTTATTACTGTCATATTACAAGAGTGTGTCATTTGATATATATTTCTGCAGATAATCTGAATGTGAGATATTATTACTTACTTGATGACTACTGGTGATGGGTTGCCATTGCCAATGTGCAGTTGATTTTCAGTCCCTTGTATGAAATAAACACCGGGAAAAATATTAGACATGTACTGAGAAACATACAGAAATATTATTTGAAACACACACACAGAAACGGACACACACACGCATATTCACATGCAAGTGTGATCATCAATGTATTAAACTGCTAAGAAACATTATCGTAACGGAATGAATCAGTTCATGTTTAACATTGTGGTCGTATTCACTCTACACCATCACGGCCTGTAAGTGGACAATCAGTCAATCCGGACAACGTTCATCGGGAAAGAATGACACACAATAACTCCTCTTAGACATTGTATTCAGCAGAGAGTCTCATATAAAGAATGAAATAGCCTACCCCAGCCGTATGCCATCAATCAGATGACTCACTCCAGTTGTATGTCAACCCTTATTGACTCACCCCAGTTGTATGTCAACCCTTATTGACATCCCCCAGTTGTATGTTAATCCTTATTGACTCACCTCAACAATCAAATGACTCACCCTAGTGTAGGTCAACAATCAAATGACTCACCCAAGTGTAATTCAACAACAAAGTGACTCACCCTAGGAGTATTTCAACAATCAAATGACTTATCCCAGATGCTTCGATGTATGCCAACAATCGAATGACTTAACTCAGTTGTATGTCAACAATCAAATGACCTACTCCAGTTGTAGGCAAACAATCAAATGACTCACCCAGTTGTATGTCAACGAGTAAATGACTCACCCCAGCTGTATGTAAACATTCAAATGACTCACCCCAGTTGTATGTCAACAGCCTTTCCTTGTAGTAGTAGCTCCCAAAGCCGACCTCCAAAGTGAAGTTACACGGTTCAAACTTCAAGAAGAAGGGGACGTGTTTGACGAGGGGGTTCTCAAACAGCGGGATGTCAAACGAGAAGTCCACGCAACATTCTATACCGAAACAGTTGTCAGGCAGTTTACAGTTGACGTTGTGCTGGAAACTGGCGGGTAGAAGATGCTTGTAGTTTGGAAGTGCCAAAGGGCAATCTGGGGGGTAAAAAAGTTTGAAAGTCTAAGTGTTTTGAAGACAAACAGAAAGGTTTCCAGCGTCACATATCCAATCATCATATTGTAGATTAGCTTTTAAGTCAAGTAGTATCTCGGGTGTGCCATGCAAGCAACGTTTGATGTAAGAATCATGACGTTTTTGTCAAAAATAATGGGATTGGAGATTATGGCACTTTTTAGCTATGGCATTACACCAACCATGTGTTACCGTTTAGCTATGTTGAACTTAAGAGTGTATGTTTCAGTATACATTGCACCAAATGCAAACATAGATGAAGTGACATATCCAGCTGTTATACTACCTGGCTTGGGCGTTAATGCTGTACAGCCTCCGTCTATCAGAATCTTCTAAAATTAGAAAAACAAGTATAAATAAACAGCATTTTGGGACTATAACATAATTTCCTGGATCCACAGTACACATGTACTTGTATTTCTACTATAATGATATTGCAATCATGGAGGATGTAGAGATTCCGCCAGTTTCGTTCATTGTCGCATTGTGTGCTTATTTGTCGATGAAGACAAGAAACCTAATTGTTAAGAAGTTTGCTTCGTAAAACTCACATCAAGTCCGAGTTTTCGAAACACCACATCTACCACCTCTCTGATTAGCTTTCCTCCCATTTGTTCTGCAAGGCTATTCAGAGATCCGTTTCCTTAAATCAGAACATTTTTGGAATGGATATATATTCGAAGCTGACACTGAGAAACTAAACACATTATATCTGTATAGTATGGAAGCGTGTTCGTGCCACAGCCTAAACATTTTTTATCGTGTACGTAGAACATGCTTGTACTTTCGTCTGCGTACAATACGCAGAAGATACTGATATCTACATGTTCACTTTACTTCTACGTAGGTATTACCCTAGTAGATTATGAAACATTTTTATACAGACTCAATTATGCTTCCATAGTATACCAACTAAAATTCGTGTATACACCAAAATCCAACTATGAAATGAGCTTTTTCAACATATGTCCCTATATTTCCCAACGGTTTACGATCGGGAGGCAGGACTGCCCAGATCCCAACTAAGGTTTGAAGTCTTTAATGGGTTACTTCAATATTGTGAAATGTTATGAATAACTTAAAGTCGTCATTGTATTCGACACTTACCCGGAAGAGAGAAGTTTTCATTACAAACAGGTATTGGTACATCTACGTTTTCGATCAACAAGTCATTCAGAATCGGTTCCGACGCTCCAAGACTGATTTGTAAACCAATGTCAACCACGAACACCTTCCTTGCCTCACTCCTGTCAATGGTGTACCTGGAACACGGTGCACATAATGCATTGGTGGCGAGGACTGCTATTGACTGAATGACATCGTAACTGCACTATCGTTCAATAAAGTCATCATAAAGGATCATATAGTTGATGTAAATGGCGATCGGGTGTTGCCGTGTTGGCTGGCTGACTTTATGTACATTACATGCTGTCAAACACTGACTTAGATACACCAAAGAAGTGTATTTACAGATTGATGTGATAAAACGGCTGCAACACATTCGTTTACTACTTTTAATCTTTAAAATGAACAGACATAATCAACATATTTGTAAAAGGAGCACAGATCGATAAAATGCGACGACAAACACACAACTACTATTTACAATATAAAGTTAAACATCTTGCAGATTTGTGATAAGTTATATATATTGATTACGACTCACGAGGTATTTTTGTAAATCAAAAGGTAATGTTTTGAGTGATTGTGCATCAGGATCGACAATTTGCCATTATGCTCAATATGTTAAACCTTACACATTATAGGAAGTATCGATTTTCTCTAAAACCAGAAGATAGTGCCCTTGTAAAGACAATCCTCTGAATCTCTGTAGAGCATCCGAAAGGAGATATCTCATTTGTGAAAGGTACTGTTTTAAAGGTGCTACCTTATGGAGACCCAATCATTCAATCTTGCGGTCTTCTCTTTCCCTGTAAACGCAATGACAGAAATATCAGTTGGACACGGTGGTTGGATTTGATAAACGGTGCTGCTGTGTGGCTGTCAAGGTGTTACACGGGATAGGAATCTTTATGAAGCTAATATGACGTGCCGCTTGTGTCTAGAATGTATGGAGTATCATCATTATGGAGCAGCAATTTCATAAAGGTAAGTACTGTATTTTTACGACACTTGAAGGGACATTTAATTGTTATCAATGTGTCTTTATAGCAATTAAGGATAATATTGCACTCAGCTATCTAGCACTAGACTTTGATCTTTGATCCACTACCTACCCCAGTCGTATCCCAGGAGGATAACTGTCTCAGTGCAGTCCTCAAAGTTGACGGTCATTGTGAATTTACACGGGTCTAGCTGTATGTAAGCGTTGACAGCCTTGTTGAAATTCAGCTTCTTAATCCTAATATCAACACATGCATCAAACCGCAGACAGTCCGGGGCTATCTCCATGTACACGATCTTGTTTATCTTGTCGTTCTTAATTGTTGGGAGGGTAACTGTCCTGTTCATCAGTCTGCAAGCTGGGAGAAGGTAATAACATAATGTTATCTCTAGAATTACAACTCGATCCTTAGAAATGTTATTTATGTTCCGGATTGATGTCATGTGAATGCAACACGTCACAATTTAATTCTGGACTCAGAAAAGTCCAGAAACTCTCCGCACTGTGGGCACTTTCTGACAAGGGATTCGACCAAATCAAACATGCAGTTGTTATGAATATATGCCAAGGATGAAAACATGAAAAAAAATAATTCAAAAACTTAATTTCGATCAGAATTCATGTTTTGGAGGCTGTAAATGAATGAGTATATGTTTATACGCATCATGACACAAATTTCAACTCATTTTGACTTAATTCGACTAACTTAGAGCGATATTAAAAAATCTCGCCCATGGGCGAAAACTTTTTGGTCCATGGGCGAGAACATTTACTTTTACTGAAAATACATGTTTTGGAGGTTGCCTTGCCCCCTTCAATGTTCCCATACCACCCCCCTCACCCCGCACCAGTTTAAACCCTTTTTCTTTCTTTACCCCATATTTAATTATAAACAGCTTAACTGTTTCCAAAACAAGCTCCCCCTATTCTATATAAGCCCAACTTTATATGTATCAGTTTAGTTCTATTTCTCATCTCTTCTCATCTAATTACATCAAACTACATTATTTTTTCTTTTCCCTTCCTAATCACGGCTTTTTTTATTTATTATCATGTTTGTAGCCGTTTTCATTCAAAATTCACTTAGGTTAACACCCCATCATTTACATTTTTGGGGTATGGTGGTTTATCCCTTATTATAAACATATTAATTATTACTTTAGCTCCCACCTACCCTGTCGGCGTTATTGGCTACAGCCGACGTTAAACTCATAATCATCATCATATATAGTCACTAGGCACTTAAAACATTAGAAGTTATGCCATGGAACAAGTTATCTAACTACAGTATGACGTGATATTGTATAGTAGATGATTTGAGAATCGCAGGTTCGCACGTTTCGTTTTAATTTTTTGTGATCAATTATTTTGTAATTCCCGTTTGCCCGTCACGGCTATTCTTCGCCCGAGGTTTTAGGGAGTAAAACAAACGAGCACGCACGCACGCACGCACGCACGCACACACACACACACACCAAAAAATAAAATAAAAATAAAAATAAAAAAAACACAAAAAAAACAACAACAAAAACAAAAAACTAAAACAAACCCCATTTAAATGGAAACATGAAGCAATTCCACATAAATAAACATGCAAAGTACACACAATATGCCACTGCTAACACTGAGACCATTCTGATTTATTGAGCAGAGTAAGATTGGCACTATTTTGGCGGTTCTGACACTTTTGCACTCTACCTTTTTACCTGAGGCGTGCAGATTCTTGGTGCTTTTTAGTATTTCATTTATTTGTTTAGATTGGTTATTTTGGTGTTTTGACGGCTTGGGCCCGCTGAGTGAGTCTATTATAATACTTGTATTTTTACTATGTTGTTTAACGAGCTAGACATGGAGTGCTGTTATCATGAATGTTATCATATATTAGCGGGATGCATTGATAGTAATGAAAACTTATAAGAAGATATTGTACCTCAACATACAAACCTATCCCGATAGCTCTCATCGTCACTCTCGTGTCAATCCATTGTGACTGTTGCAGTCCTCCTGTACATCCTGTATATATAAGCAAGTTGGGTTTTTTTGTTTCGGATTTATTATTGCTAAACACACATTTAACCGAGATGAAGAAGGGGGTCTCCAATTCCATGTATGCTTTTAGACATCCCATTTGTCAGACACGCCAATTATCAGACAACTTTGGAGCAATCAGGGGTGACTGTGATTACAAACCTAGTTTTACCCACTGACGTAATAGACCTATCCCATAGACTAACGAGATATTTTCATATTAGTGGTTAGTGGTATATTTTAACACTAATTATGAGTTTGTTACTTTTTGTGCAGAAATACTTTGATCAGAATACTAATGTTTATTGACTTCGGCTCCTCACAGTTCGTGTTCATAATGTTCACATTGATCAAAACACGATTATGGATTTCACATGTAACTAACTGAGTACAGGGGTGGATACGACGGGCTTTGGGCTTCCTCTGCTCTCCTATGAATAACTGACAAGAAACTTGAAACCAAGATCGAGTAAACAGTTAAAAACATAAACTCAATGAAGCTGCAAGCTTGCACCTAAACAATGAAAAAAATCAAAACAACACAAATATTTAATAAGAATAAATGACCATCACTAAACTATCGATAGTCGCACATACTATCGATGCATTGATAGTTTTTCATTTCTACCATCATTTCTACCATAATTGCTTTTGGAATAATTGCAGTTCATCGATAGTTCGATGCATCATTACAGCACTATTAATTATATCGCTTAATATATTCTTATGCACATTACTTTGGATCAATCCATTACCCAATAAAGATAAAAGTGCAGTGTACCTGAGTGCAACCAACCATAACTTTTGTTGATTTAACGTGTCTGGGACGTCCAACTGATCGGAGGACACCAGAGAGTAAGTTGCATGCAATATTTTTTATCTTATGGGAAGATACCGTTTTTTTCCATGGGGCGGGATATAAATGATTTATTCTGCCTGATGCAAGCAGTGCACAATCGTGCACCCGGCATACATTGTAATTTGTTCGGTTGTAGATAAAAAGTCATAGGAAAAAGTCACTTGTTTGAGTGGCATTTTAGAAGTTGAGACGTACAACATGGAACAAGTTTTTATGGATATCAACTTCTTTATTTCGTGAGTGCGACGTTTCGATACAGATTCTTGTACCGTTGTTAAGCAAGAGTGATACATGAAGTGGAGGAGCTGCATATTTATGCTGTGTATAACAATGAAACTACATACATTGCAATTGACAAAGGAAACAACATAATTGCCATAATTGGTAAAGCAGTAAGCTGATGAAGCCAGTGAGTACACAAAGGATAGTGAATGGAAGCCAGAGATGTATAAATACAGGAGTGGTACAATGAAGGAGATGTTTATACAATAGATTGGGCTTGGTGGAGGAGTGGATCATAAGCTGATGGAATGAAGTATCCTTGGTCACGGTTGATGGTGGGCTTATGGCGTTTGATGTGAATGGCTTCGGTGAGCTTGCGCTTAGTGAAGTCCGTTTGGTTGTTTGCGAGAATGGTGAAGTCGGACCACTCTATTTGATGATTGGGGTTTGCTTTGATGTGATCACCATTGAAACAGAGCAACCAGTTACCTTTCCTTGATGTCCTTGTATCCCGCATATTAAAAAAAGGTCAGGACTGATAATGTATTTATTTAACAAGTCATAACAATATTATCATCAACAACACTACCACATTTGAACCTAACTTATAAAATTAATGTAATCATTCAAGTAAAATACATGACATCAGAAAATGCACTATCATCATAACACTTTGCACTACATCAGTCAGTGGTCCTAGCACATTATATTTAACCGAATGTTCCAGCCAATGCCGTGAAGAGTTTGGATCACAGTCTTACGGCCAGCGTGTCTTATATTAGCTGCTAGAAGGAAGCCATTTGAGTAAAAGCATTAACTGATAATCCCATGAGTTCGTTAATCGGTGTGATATCGTCAAGCTCAAAGCTAGTTAAACAAACAATCATGTGACTTGTGACTTTTAATCCCACAATCCGTTAAGAACTAAACAAATAAGAATCTGTTCATTTCTCCTGTTTTGATAAGAACCAATCGCTTACAGCGTCACACTACAGGAATAATTAACTTGAAAGTGAAATAGCATAAACAAAGTAAATAACCGGAGAAGATGATGTTTTATAATAGTTTTCCAATAATAGTTTTCCACCGTTTGTTCAAGGTCACGTGAATCAATCAGGGATAAACGTTATCACATGAGGTAGGGTAAATGTGCATTGTACGTGCTTAGGAACCTTGAACTTGCAGTTACATTTCATTATTTGTGTACAGATATTGGTCTAGAATAATTAATCAGTTCGTTTAGTCTTGAAGATGTATTGATGCAGGGACTCCATTATGTTCTTGTTGACATTGTTGGTAGCTAGAGGTGTTCCTAATTTTCACAGTTTGGAGTGAGTGAGCGAGTGAGTTTAGTTTTAGGCTGCACTCAGCAATATTCCAGCTATATGGAGGCTGTCTGTAAGGAAATCGAGTCTGGACCAGACTATCCAGCGATCAACAGCATGAGCATCGATCAGCGCAATTCGGAACCGATGACATGTGTCAACCAAGCAAGAGAGCCTGACCACCCGATCCCGTTAGTCGCCTCTTACGACAAGCATGGGTTACTGAAGATCAATTCTAACCCGGATCTTCACGGGTTCGACGCAATTGGGAACCGATGACATGTGTCAACCAAGTCAGCGAGCCTGACCACCCTATCCCGTTAGTCGCCTCTTAAGATAAGCACGGGACCTTCACGGGTTTCACAGTTTTGCCTTCTTGAGAGGGTACGTATGTCTCAAAACATTTGAAGTAAATTTAGATATACTAGGTTTATAATAGTAGGGTACTTGTGTTTTTAAGTGACGGTTAAATTTGTGCACAATCGCCAACGTATGAAGGGACCATGTAAGTCCTCCTAGGGTGGATTGGGTGAAGGGGTGGTGTGGGAGCATTGAGGGGGGCAAGGCAGGCCTCAGCGAGCGTAGTATTTGAGGGGCTATGGGCGGCTTTGACCGTGGAGTTGGATATGGTTGGTGCTTGAGAGGCGGCGGGGATCGGTGGTGGTTCGAGGCGCGTGGACCTCGGAGGAAACAGTAGTTGGTGGGAGGTAGAGTTGGTGTGAAATAATGAAGGAATGGAGAGGCGCGCGGACCTCGGAGAAGACAGGTGGTAGGAGAGAGAGGTGAAGTTATAGATGGCTTGATAGTGAGCAGAAAGTCGATCGAGATTGCTAGGTTGAGAGGTGGGCGCGGACGTCGGAGAGGACAGTCACGCACATATGGTGAATTTGGAGTGACTACATACCTATCCGTGAAACAATTAAGTAATGAAACAATAGGCGAGAGCTTTCGATAGAACTGATAACTCATGACAGGTAATTAATGACAGATGGTCGGATTAGGGTGTGATGATAGTCATAGCCCGGGAAAGCCACTTTTAAGAAAACAAGTGTTGAAAATGGTTTGGCTCAACCGGCAATGGATATGGTTGAGTGATCGTGTGAATGTGGGTCTCCCGGAAGTGCGCAATTAGCTAATCCATGTTACCGTAAACAATGCAGATTTTTTAATATCGCCCTAAATTAGCCGAATTAAGTCAAAATGAATTGAAATTTTTGTCATGATGTTTATAAACATACACTCATTCATTTACAACCTTCAAAACATGGAAAAACATTTATTTTGAGTAAAAGTAAATATTCTCGCCCAAGGGACAACATATTTTTCGCCCATGGGCGAAATTTCTTATTTCGCTCTAAGTTAGTCGAATTAAGTCAAAATGAGTTGAAATTTGTGTCATGATGCTTACAAACATACACTCATTCATTTACAACCTCCAAAACATGAATTCTGATCGAAATTAAACATTCTCGCCCATGGGCCAACATATTTTTCGCCAATAGGCGAGATTTTTTAACATCGCCCTATGTTAGTTGAATTAAGTCAAAATGAGTCGAATTTGTTTCATGATACCCGTAAGTATACACTCATTCATTTACAACCTCCAAAACATGGAATGAACATGTATTTTGAGTAAAAGTAAGTATTGTCGCCCATGGGCCAACATATTTTTCGCCGATGGGTGAGATTTTTTAATATCGCCCATGGGCCAACATATTTTTCGCCGATGGGTGAGATTTTGTAACATCGCCCTATGTTAGTCGAATTAAGTCAAAATGAGTCGAATTTGTTTCATGATACCCGTAAGTATACACTCATTCATTTACAACCTCCAAAACATGGAAAGAACAATAATTTTTATGTATTTTGAGTAAAAGTAAGTATTGTCGCCCATGGGCCAACATCTTTTTCGCCCATGGGCAAGATTTTTTAATATCGCTCTAAGTTAGTCGAATTAAGTCAATATGAGTGGAATTTTGTGTCATAATGTTTATAAACATACATTCATTCGTTTATAACCTCCAAAACGTGGAATTTTTTATATTTTGAGTAGAAGTAAATATTCTCGCCAATGGGCGAGATTTTTTAATATCGCTCTAAGTTAGTCGAATTAAGTAAAAATGAGTTGAAATTTTTGTCATGATGCCCATAAGTATACACTCATTCATTTACACCCTACAAAATATGGAAAAAACATGTTTTTTGAGTAAAAGTAAATATTCTCGCCCATAGGCCAACATATTTTTCGCCCATTGGCGAGATATTTTAATATCGCTCTAAGTTAGTCGAATTAAGTCAATATGAGTGGAATTTTGTGTCATAATGATTATAAACATACACTCATTCATTTATAACCTCCAAAACATGAATTCTGATCGAAATTAAACATTCTTTTTCATTTTGTCATCCTTGGCATATATTCATAACAACTGCATGTTTAATTTGATCAAATCCCTTGTCAGAAAGTGCCCACAGTGCGGAGAGTTCCTGGACTTTTCTGAGTCCAGAATTAAATTGTGACGTGTTATACTATTTTATTATCGTTTTGTTCAATATGGTTTCATTATGAACAGGTAACGGTTAAATAGTGTGAATATTCATATTTCATATCCCTCAGATTGGACGAAATTGAAGTCTAGTTGTCATAATTACATCGTATTTATAACTTCATAATCGTGGATAAAGAGAATGAGTAATAATGTATAGTTTTTGTCAAATCAAACCCCTCAGAGACTTACAATAAAAAAATACCATTCCAAAAGGTAAATATTGGACGTCAGGGCAAAGGAATAAACAGCATTAACTATTCTCAGAAACAAATACACTTTGTTTAAACTAGATGTGAAATATATATGAATGGATCATTGAAAATCAGTTATGACACAAGGTGATCGCGAAAACGGTAAGCTTGTCCTGCCTACCGGTAGCACCCACCATTCACAAAATTGGACTACAAATGGAAGCATTTAGGCATGCGGCCTGTACACATATGGCAGCAAAATATACCGTAATTATTGAACGCAAAACATTTCGCATCAGATTAGTTTTGACTACTGTATCCACAGTATGCAATTTTGTGTGTATGATATTCCACGAAGGGAGTTCATTGGGTACAAAGAGGAAGACCATTTGCACTGAATAACAAAAACGCCATATTCCAGTGAACCACTTACTTCTGTGTCCAACCGTAAGCCTCTGTTCCAGTTCGTCTCTCGTGCCTGTCATCTGCAGTCCTCGCTGTTGTAGCTTCTGTTTGAGGATATCCTGAGTCAGGGCCTCGGGTCTGGGACAGGGATCCGTCTTGCCTGGAGCCTGGAAATGCATCCATTGTTATTTACTCATTTGTCTGCCCTATGGAGCAACTCTTTTGGGCATTTATGCCGGGGTACCACAGTTAGAAAGAAGTAGAGTACCAATATAAACCAGCCAGAGTTTCCATCCTGCCCAAATCGTACATGAAGTTGCTATATAATAAGAACACAGAGAATATATTTAACGTGACAAATACACTGTGACGTGGATAGAACTGAGCCATACTTACATCGGGTGATATACACGGGATTACACCAAGTAGTTCTTCTATGCCTTTCTTTATGGTATCCTTTGCAAACTTTTTCGCACTTTCCCGAATTCGTCTCCTGATTGATTCCTTATCTAACAAACTCCTGTAGTCAACTGGTAATAGAAGAAGGTACTATTAGTTATACTGCCATGTGAACAGATCAGCAAACGATACAATTTTCACTTAATACAGTCTACATAGCCTCACATTGTTACAGACCGCGACTCGTTCCGGGCTGGAGAACGTAGATCATGAACAGTAGTGTATGTTTGTATCTGCTGCATTAGTTCCTTGCACTGAAACTAAACGTCTATTAAACTTACAGATGTTAACGTCAATGTTACCCTAAATCAACGGACTGGTGATAACATTGGTAAGGCTGTCGGTGACCTTGCATCCAATAGCAAATGAGTGAGTGAGTTAATATTTAACGTCACATCGGCAATATTTCAGCCATATCGTGACGAGAACATTTGATATTGGAATGAGATATATGTATATTATAAAAAAACCTGCCGACGAAGGACAGTAAAACAACTAGAATATCACAATTAGAATTAAAACTAGCGTGGAAAGTTTAAAACTAATAGCACTTTTGGGACAAACAATATAAAAACAGGCTAGAGATCGCCAACAACAGAAGGTAGATCACCATACTAGGGACCATGGGGACTTACAGTACCTTTGCTACCTTCATGGACCCCAGCTGGATTTAAACCTTCCCTTCAGCTGCTGGCGATTATCAGAAAGGTTAGCCAAAATTAAAATAACAAGAATACTACGGTTAAAAATCCTAGTAAGTTTAAATTGACTTTCAAAGTTTTGGGACTTACGTACCCTCTCAAGGGGACAATAATTTTACGGTACTTCAACCCCCTTTGAGGGTACAGCCACTAACAATCTCAGTTTCTAATTCAAACTACCAATAAAAAATATATATCTATTTACAATTCACTTAACAAATCTAATTCTTTTAAAAATTCAACTATTAAATGAGAACTAACAGTATAGAAAAGATCCTTCAAGGTTTTAACATTGAAATACTAATCCCTTGTGATGGAATATTCAACACAGTCAAGCAGGACATGCTTGACCGTGATTCTTTCATCACAAGGGATACCAAATAGCAAATGGAATACATCGCTTGTATGTCATAACACCGGATAATACATTTCATAACTTTGATTACCGAACCTATCTTAAATATGTGCCCCATAACTGGAGTAGTTCATACATGAGTTGGTTAATTGAGATATTTGACACAGTTTCTCCGAGGTGATATATTTTTATAATGTTTACCGTCTGGCCAGGTTATTAAGCCATCTGGGTGACATATAGGTAGAGGTGTTGGAAACTCGTCCAGGATGTTTAAGAATGCGATGCAGTTCTCGTGGTCGTCCTGGGAACAGAAGCCGGCGGCCACTGTGATGAGAGCAGCGGTGTCATCTTTCTCCAACTTCACTCTGAAGAAACAACGCTGAAGGATGTGAGATCTGGACATCATGTCTACAGCTACACTGACATGTTCATACATCCTCTCTCCAGTAACAAGAGTAATCAGATGGCAAATTGCCCGGAAAGCTTAAACTGAAAGCTAAAACAGATGTTCGTTTGTTCATTTAGAAGGATGTGATGCTGACACAGATCTTGGATTCAAAGCAAATGTCAACGAATCCAAGCTGTTAAGGGATGTATTTTCTTCCAGTGGGCGCTCATATAAATTCCGTCATCTAAACATTTTAAAATAACGGTTGATAACATTTATGTGTTGAGTTTCTATAGTTAATAATCTACTTCGTGATAGTGTTATATCCAGTTCTCAGACGGTCTTAGTTACTCACAAGATGTGAATTGTGTTTATACCTGATGAGTAGCTCTATTCCTCCCAGTATGTCCAGTTTCACATTAGTCGGAACAGTCTTTTCCAAACCTGTAAAATAAAACCGTCTTTCAATGAAGAATAAAAACTATCATTTCCAAACTGGAATTATGTTTATATCCTTCAAAACTTCATGTGCATGTACAACAATGTATATGTATATAATGCTTGGTATCTTTCTGTAAGGATAAGCAGGGCCATCTTTCATATCAACCTTACTTGCATAATTCAGAGAAATCATAATGCACTCAATTATTTCAAAGCACAGAAATATGTTAATATTCTTCTATATATTTTTTTCAGAAACACTTGTAATTTTATGTAAAACAATGTAAATGATTTCCAACATAAATTCCATTTTTCAGGTTTCATTGAGACTGTGAATACTCGATTTAAGGAATGGCACCTACCTGCATATATATCCTTCAGGTCACCTTTAATTCCAATAGACGTGTTGAACTTCCCAGCACCGACAGAAAATTTCAAGTCACATGGGTCAAACCTCGCAATCATCTTATATGTCTTTTTGAACATGAAGAGGTTGAAATGTACACAGCATTCCAGTCCAAGACATTTGTCGTCAAATGTGCAGTAGATGTTGTTGGGCATCGAGATCTTCATGAGCGGACAGGCTGCAAAATATTAATTACATTCATTTACAAAAGTTACATTTCCCTATATTGTAAACTTACGCTCAGTGAATAAATGTTGTTTTAAGCCGTGTTCCATTATTTCAACTCCATCACGAAGCCTGTACTGAAGCAACTCCAGAACAAGCAATTAAGTGTTTGACAGCATCAACAACGATCCACGCAGCCGGTGAAGGATTACACTTAATCAGCCAGTTCACACATATATTCTACTTTTTGTCTCATTGTACATAAATAAGTACAAAGACCTAGTCTGTCCGGAGGTGCCAGAGAGCCCGAACACTTATATCAATATACGGACACAAGTAGACTGGGGCAACCAAATGTTAATAGATAAAGAAGGAATGCTCCAGCAAAGTGTTGCTCCTTAATCACGAGGCATAGTGTGACACATGAAGTTTATTAATATCGTGTAAACGAATTTTAGTAGACAGAGAAACGTAGTAAAGCCTGTTGTGTCGCTAAAATAGCTCTATTAAGACGGCCTTTGAACGACTATAGAGTGTCCAATACTCAAACTATATTAGTTGTACAGACTGCATAAACTTGGCAAATAACCTAAAAGCGACAAAACAAACCATGATCAAGAGAAATATCTGTCAACAACACAGTCCATTGTAAACATTATATTGTACCACCAAACAGTAGGAATGACTTTAAGGAGACGGACCATGGACAGTCTTATCGCTTCGCTTCTTATCGCACACATCTACGGAGATTAAGACTGTTTGATACTGTGTGAACTGACTGTTTGATGGCGTGGTGAGGGAGTTGATCATTTGTTCCCGAGTCCCCTCTGCCCTCATCCCCCTCTCGGTCAGCTCCGTCCTCAGCTGGTCATCCGTCATCTGGTAAGGGTTGAAGCACGGCTTGTTGTCAATCATCTCCTGCAGCACAGAGAAACGGGAACATACATGATTCATGGTATTATAGTGGACTATAACAGAATATTAAGAAATCGTTCATAACTGTTTCATGAAATTGATATACGTCATGGTTAAGATCAAACAGTCATAGTTCAGCAGTTCGACGCTGTGATATGACACAATACTTCGTGCAACCAAAACAAATGACAGCAACGAAAGTATACAACTGCAAGATATGTACACAGTAATGTACAAAGCAAATTTGTCAAACATATTTGTTTATAACTATGTTATTTATAATCGTTTAAAACACAAGCTATGTACCACTAGCGCTAGGATTGACCATTTTGCTTGTGAGAACGACTGTGAAGAATATTCATTTTACAATGTTTCCCATAAGCCCAACAATACAAAATCGTACCTTGATTGTTCTTATGACATCTGCCACCTTCTCTTGACTCTCGTCAAGGCCGAGAATCTCAAGAATATCCATGATAGTCCCCATTTTCAGGTTACGGATGGAGAATTTCTTCAAAAAGGCACCAGCCTTCTCCAAAAGGGTTGCCAGAGCTAAAAATTAAATTTGGTAGGGTAAAGTTAGAATGTAGGTTGTATATAGCAGTGAGTCAATGCATCTTCTTGCTGGCTGGCTTAAAAATATTTATCATGAAGTTCATCAGCCAATTCCTATCATTGCCATTACAGTTTACATGCATTTCATTGCACTTAAGCCATTTTACAGCATACACAAAGGCAAATACATAATATGTGTATCTGTGGGATACATGTAAGGTGTCAGTAGCATCTGTCGATACGTTACTGTACACTGTGTGTAGACATTTTCAAGTCAGGTTGCAGGTTTTTTGTCTGCATTGTGAGAAACTATAATATTTTCCACATCGATTGTCATAATCTGCTCACCACCATCTTTTGTTTTCTTCGCCTTTTCTTTTATCTGTGGTTTTCGGGGACTGCATCCTTTGAAACATAGAATCGGGCTTTTCTGAAACGATATATGTACAGGTAAAACGCTGCTGGACTAGTATGTTGCAAGGAAACACAACCGAGAGTCTTTTCCTATACAAGTTACGTAGCCGTGGTGGTCTGTCCTTAAATAAGTGTGACTGAAAAATGAATCCTGTGGAAATCATGTTTTATCAATGATTTTGTCTGCGTGTAAACAAAGCCATTGCTGCGATATCGCCATGGAGAGAGAGACTCATCTTACACAACCAATATATCGATATTGTTTGTGATGACATTATTTATCTTGCATTTGTATAATGCATCTCAGACTATGATTAAACTGGAATGTTTCATCGATAAGTACTGGGTGCATTATAATAGTTTTACACCTTTTTCCCCCAAAATCGGAGAATCAATCATCGATATTCCCCCAAACAATACACAGGTAACTATTTATCCCATATAATCGAAAAAACGGGTGGTAATTAAAAGCTCAGAACAGAAACAACCTACTATTTTCTGCGTCGGCAACAGAGGAAGGATCTTTTGAGGAATCAAGGTCCTCTGGCTTGTCAACATCCTCTTCTTTTCTCTCTGGACTGGTGTCATCCTTGTCTTTACCGTCCGGACAGATGATGCAGTCTTCGTATATGTTGTCATACTGAGCCAGAAAGTAGAAATCAAGTGTCGTGTCTTAGTGTCTTTGGTAAACGTGTGCGTCGCAACATGACACATAATTTGTCAAAACAAATATGTTGACCAGATTCGTCACAGTATGTGTCCATACAAGTACGCGTGTGATTCAAATCGCACTGATTCTACTTCATACGTCTTGTATATGGAACTTCATGATCACATTGTACATTTCAGATAAATAACTAAATATATTCTCGGCAGATACACATGCATGCTTATCTGTCTATCCCTATGCCAAAACAGAAGGCAAACGTTATCTACCTTAAACACCACCCTGTAGTCGTCACATTCTTGCACCCACTCCGGGATCTTCGGGACCCTAGCTTCCAGATAGTGTGTAGGATCCACATAGCCGCCCTTCCGTCTCAGGGAGAAATGAATGTGTTCGTTACCCCCACACGGGGAGTTGGCCGCCACGCCTATCTTCTGTCCAGCACTCACCTGGAACAATGGAACAAAAATACCTATCTAATCATAGCTTTCGAAAAGGAAGGATAGCAACAGATGGATGAACAACTTCTTTATTACAACGAGAGCGTCGTTTCGGTGTAGATTCTAAGGCAATTATCGAACAAGAGATGAACAGAATAAGGATTGGGTGGCACATTGGCACAAGTTTAAAGTGTTTGTAAAGCATATTGTCATCCTTCCTTACTGCTCCAACTTCTAAATGACTCTCAAAGAAGTTCACACAACAAAGTGTTCTTGACGCCCCTCAATATGTGAAAGATGATGTAACATTACAACAACAAATGTTGCGGATTATTCATCTGAATCATATACTGATGCATAAACACTCAACATCCATCATAGAGTATATGACACTTTCGATTTCTTCAATAAGAGAATGCATAATCTTGAGAAGACGATTTGAGCATTACTTTTATCAAGAAACTTCACATAAGATAGGGTGGGAATTTACTAAAAGTGATTGATGGCAGAAAGGTCGTACTTCTTAAGGACGCTTCACAGTATGGCACGCAGAAAATAATTCATGGAGTCTTAAAATCCCCTAATTAATTTCGTTGTCTCTTACGATAGACAGAACGTGTTGTGAAAATGCCCATTGGCTTGGTGTCTATGAATTAACCTGCATGCTACAACATGCCAACGTTCACTGTAATTCCACATGGTGTTCATGGATATGTCTTTCATCTTAGGAGCATAATAATGTCTACACGATCAGTATACAACTTACTGGATTGTCCACATATGTATAGTCACTTGGATGCTGGATGTTTAAGGAGCTGTCGGGGTTGATGTTCGTGATGATGACGTCCGTGTCCTTAAGAGATCCTGCATTCGGGATGATGATGACCTCATGAGATTTGTCGGACAGCTTGATGTTTCCAGCAAACGGAGACACAATCTGCAGAATTAAGGTCTGTTGCTTTGTACACGGATATACCACGAGTGAGGGGGGCACGCCATTATAAAAAATATTTTAATTAAAAATAATAACGCCCTGTCTACCGTGTTTTGTGTTAAAACATTACACATGCCTGAATAGATTGTCATATACCGCTTGGACTCATTATAGTTTCAAGCCACGATCAGCGTTTTCTGGTACGACGAAGGACGGCGACGCTTAGGCCCCTGGGCAACTTTTGACCCCGGGGACGGAGAGGAAGATCTCCACTTACTTAGGAAAACACTGAGATATTGTATTCATGTCGGAATGATATTTTCAGCCCCTGTCAGATCAGAACTTGAACATGCGATGTCCGTGTCTGTGTCAGACTAAAGGCCTATAAAATGTTTAGCAACTCTGGGGCGTAATAGCCATAGATCTTCTCCAAACAAGGGAATATACATCTTGTGAGAATGACTTTTTCGACAGGGAAATTTACAGCAATGCGACATCACAATTACTTACGTGATATTTACTCGCAATCTGAGTTATGGATCGTCAGTTTAAACAGGACAATATAGACGAATTTCACAAAAGGCACGGAGATCCAACATGTCTATGATATACTCAGAGAACGCACCCGCCTGTGCTATCCGGTCATAATTGCTACTCGATAAAAACAATTTTTCATTTCATGTCTCACAGAATATATAATTTGATATGGCATTGTTTCTTATTGTATACTTTTGCGTTAGTGAAACAAACTTTTTATGTATGGCGTTATTACAGCAAAGGCTGAGCGAATGGAAAATATGGTTCAGGCACTGTGAGACTATTAAGAAGGTCACATGCAGTGCAATAATATTCCAATTATGTACTGCCACAAAATATTTTACAGTAGATGCGCGAGCTGAACAGACTTAAGAAATTACGAGTTGGTTCGTGTAGCATATTTGACTGTGCTCCAAGAGAGACAAAGTGCTATTCTTTTGGGGCAGCTAGGGACACTTGCGAGGACAAAGGGGCAACGCATCGCCCTTTGTTCACCACTGAACCTTTCAATCCCTCGAAACATGCACCTCACAAGATTTGCCAACACCACAGACAAGGCGTAACTGATACTGGTAGCAAGAGCGAGTGCAGCTTAATAAGGCGTGTAAGCTTGCGTAATACCGCTTTCTTTGTCAGGCTCTTTGGTGATAAGAATATTGAGGTCACGTGAACGTTAATTTCAAACGTACTAAAATGTGTGAAAGTGAAATTACATGAGCCAAGTATTTCACATGATGGAAACATGATCATCTTGCTTGAGTACAGGTAACATGATGATGTATGAACCGTTCATATACATACCCCTGAAATCCGGTATGATACATAAATATCTAAGGTGTGTAAACATTTGCAAATTTGAAAAGTTACATGTGTTTTCCCACCTAAGTAAATTCACATGTTTCCAACCCGTGTAAACTTAAAACGAAATCGGAAATTTCAGCACCCATTGAAATTCAAAGGAATGCACTGGAAATACTGTATGATCATGTATTTACCGGGGTATCTGTTTTGCAATTCATATTTGGAAATCCCTGACAATCCGGTCAGGGCATACATGAACGAGGTGCTTGTGCATGCGAAAATGTACGATGAGCATATGTTTCAAAGGTATAGATTCATATGAAATATATGCCCGAAGTTAGGAAATATCTGAAAACATACGTAAACCCGGTCATGTCATGTATTTCCTACTGTATTTACGGTTATTTCAATGGTTTACTATCCGGTTTTTTATGCTGTGGTACATGTACACATTACGAACATGCAAGTAAGTGAGAGGAGCTGGTTAGACACCGCTTTGAACGGTATTCCAGCTATATGGCTGCGTGGAAGCTCAATTTAGGAGGAAAGTTCGAAATGATTCTGGCCTCAGCCATTTAGTACTCTAACGAGAACAGTGAGAATTACTAAAAAGATTTTACATGTGTACATGTGTAATGACAGACGAAACTCTGGACCACAGTATGAACAGGTTTTCAAGGGGAGCACGCATTACACTGGGACTGTATTACACAGTGACGTATGTGTACCGAACACTGCACACGTTATATCTTAACACGACTACACATGTGGACGTTAGGTCACCTCTTTGCCAGGAGATATTGTCACATCTATTCCTTCATGCTCGTATTCATCTCCATTCTTCAGTTCAGAAGGGTAGCTGCCCTGTCCATTGCATCCACCCCCAGCGAGTCGGAGGGTTCGGGGAAACTCCTTGTGACATTTGGGTCCGAAAATACGGTCGATAAGAGAGCGGGCCGTTCGGTATCTGAAGCCAATATGAACACCATACATTCTTCAGGTTGTATGAGGAGATGTACAAAATACTCCCAATGTCTGTGTTCTCTCAAATCACTTTCCCCATATGTGAAGTTACTTTGAATGAGGATTCCAGATGGAAAAAAACGAGATATAAAAACTTGTAATCAAGAACACGAACTCTAAACATACAAGTGCTACCCGCCATTTTGGTTCAACCCCATGTTGGTTTATTTCAATGTATACCACGACCCTCTGTTAAATAAAAAAACTAAAACATAACACTAGATGATTTGGAAAATAGTAGAACGATGTTAAGATTAACGATATTACATATTATCAATAGTTAATAGTTGGCATATTGTTCAGTGCAGCGTTAACCAACAAACAAACTTTACCCTTCCTTCAGAGTGTTGTAAGCTTCCTTCACGGTTTTGACGAGATCAAACACCTTCTGGAAAGTGTCCACGAACTTCATTCCCAGGTTTTTTAGAGGTCCAAGAGGAGTCAGAACATCATCGACAATGTCCTTCAGCATTGTCACCACTTCCTGTCTCATCGCAGTCTATAAAATTTGATCAGTATGTTACAATTTGTATAAACAGAGAACAAACTGTGTAATCGTAAAATTTAACTTCTCCTATTCAAGGCATTCGGATATAAAGCCCATGTTCTACTCCTGGATGCAAAGGCTACTGAAATATTCGCCTTCGCCGGATTAAACAGGAACATTCCACAGATATCCAACAATAGCACACAAAGCTGAGTGATCAAAAAACATTTTTTTCAGTTTCCTTCATACAGCCGTGCTTTAATTCTAACATTTGAATTATTTTATTCAGATATGGGCAGTTTTCCGCAAAACCCAGATATTTGGTGTTTAGCCATCCTGGTCTATTAGCAATTGGTGAGTGACGTTTTATTCCAGCTATTGTTCAATGGGGAAGACGTACCCGTACCAAACACATGAGAAACGACCAGGGCCATCGTGGCACTATGATATTCAATTAGCATGTCCTAGAGTTTGAAAACAGCGTCTTCTTTATTCAGATCTGGCCACCAGTATGTTATAATGGGGACCTATCTTTCACTGGAGTCTCAAGATACAGATGCGTAATTGCTTGAATGTGTGAAAAGATGGGTCCAGTCCACAGTACAATAAATCCGATGTGGTCATTCATGAGGTAAATTCCAGCTCAAGTGCCTTCAAGACATACTCCGTATTGTATCACTCACCATGTTACTCTTCCCCTTGGAAAACTCCGCTACAGGGTCCTTCCTCCCCTTTACAACCTCCTTGATCCATTTCTCCCCACCTTCCAGCAGTGCCTTCTTTGCTTTAGCCCCTGCCGCCACTATCTCAAGCACCTTCGAACCTAGGTCCATCCAGTCAGGAGGATTGTCTATTGACACATGAGACAAAAATAGTGAGCATGTAATCTATAACACCAATAGTTATCCGTATGCCAGTGGAAGGCCCAACGAGAGGAAGTAAATGTTTCCAGATATTGTGAAACCTCGAAGCCAGCATAGTCATCACAGTAATACTGCTACACACAATTAAAAAGGAATATCATGAAGACCCGGGTTTGATTTCCTACATGGGTACAATGTGTTTAGCCCATTCCTGGTGTCCCTCGCCGTGATATTGCTGGACTATTGCTTAGGGCGGCGAAAAACAACTCAACAACAACAACAACAAAAAGGAATATCACATGTCAAATGTTACTGAGTAGTTAAAAAAATGACTCTTTCCAGTTAATAGACATCTGGAAAAAGGTTAAGCTTCCCTTCCATCGGCATATTACTGTGGTAAGTGTAAGTCAAGCGTAGTTGACGTTTATAATAGAAAGACTTACCGAGGGTTGTATATATTGCAGTTTTGGTCTTGTAAATGACGTGAACCAGATTCTTTACTTCTAGGCCTATGCTGAAAAACAACAAACATTATTCCAAATTAATAGACTTAAAGACAGAAATTATTTGAATCATGAAACGATATTTACAGCTACTCTTTGACGAAGATAATCAGTGGTACCAGGTGTTGCGTGAGAGGTACTCACGTGATAACGTTGCCAGCGACAGTAGAAATTGCCTGTTTGGGGTCTTTGTTGAACGTCCTGAAGCTATCAATGATAGCCTTAATAGCCTTATAGATCATCTTCCCTGCCCTGGGTATTATAATCGTCACTGTCTCCATCAGTTGCTGAAATGGACAGCACAATGATATTCATTTCTCTTTAGTAAACATTCTTCTTGTTTATAAATAAATGATAGCATTGAATGGAAGATTACCATTTCACTTACTAAAACACCAGGGAATTCAAAAACCAAATCGTACCTTTTTACATTGAAACACCTTCCGGTTACTTACCTCAACAGACCAGGTAGTTTGAGGTGCAATTTGAAAATAGATTTTATCCATGTAAAGATGCTCCAATAGTAGCTGCCGACTTATAGCCAGCCTACCCAACTAACAGAAAAGATTGAAACGGTGGTCTCAGTTACATTATGACACTACATCAATATTGACAGAAAGGAACTCAAAAATAATTATTACGAGAAGCACAAGATATTGAAGAAGACAAAATTATTATGGCAATACCTACATTGTAAAAGCTGAGGACCGATGACTTGACTTCGTTGTAAAGATTTGTGATTTTCAACACCAGGTCCCTGGCAGGTTTAGCAAAGGGAGGCAACTGTTTCTCGTCCAGCTGACCAAGGACTGCCATAGCATCTGATGCCTTCTTTCCAACACTCACAACCTGTATCATACGATGATGTGCTTATTGTCCTAAAGGAGGGTAGTGTGGTAGCCTAGTGGGTAAAGCGTTCGCTCGTCACGCTCGTCGTTCTATTCCCCACATGAGTTCGATTTAATTAAATATCCGCGTGTTATTGGTTCGTGTGTGGACTTCCTTGTCGTTGGTCTTTACGAAATGTTACACAAGTAAGGAAATAAAAAGATATAATTAAACTGGTCATAACCCTTCGACATAACGCCAGTAATGGGCTTCACACAGTGTACCCATGTTGACAACCAAACAAGGCTACACCACCGCCCATTTACATACATCAGAACATGAACGAGACCTATTTCATGTTAAAGTTTTTTGGACATGTGGACATTGTATAGGGCTGGTAAAAAAATATTTCATAATAGGTGATCTGCTCATGATGCCGAGTTTATCTGACCTCTACATAACAATGGAAAACTCTTGATTGTATGATAAATTGCTCAATGAACACACCTTATCTGGAAGCTCCTCCAGCGCCTTCCTGAAATCTTCTATCATGTCAGCAAGCGAGAACTCCCCATCGATGATGCTCTTGAAGAGATCCAGACCTCTCCCTATAGCACCAGCAGCATCACCCTTGACAGCGTCGTAGAGTTCCACCAGTTTCTGGAGGTTGTCCACGCCATACTCCTGGAACAGGAACAAACGGTGCCAGCCGTACGTTATTAAATGTGCATTGTATGTAATTAAATGTAAAATGTTACTTTATAATATTCTTATGATGGCTGCTTGACACATTCTCATTTGGAAATGCTGATAAATCTGATGTGGTATTATTCATCTTGTTGGCATTTGAATATGAATTGTCTTCCTGTTACACTGGAAGGCATCAGGCTTCCTAACGTTAACACAGCCGAGTGTAGACATATATTCCCTGTCCGACAGAACGTAAGACATTGGAAACATTACAGGAAGGTCTTAGCGCAAAGTTGTGTCACACATTCACAAAGGGTAGACACACAACTATCACAGACAAGAGTCATTTGCTACAACGGTTTAGCTGAGCAGACTGGACACAACAGAAGTGGTTCAACGGGCTGCTTTGTTAGGTCACCTGCAGCATGTTCAGGTTGTAAGAAGCTCCTCCCTTGAAGCAGATCCTCGCCAGAAAGAATTCCAGATTCTTGCCCATGAAACCAAGGTGGATGCGGGCGTAGGCTTCATCGTGGACGTTCACTCTCATGTGTCCACTCAAAGGTGCTGTAACATGCAGTGACAATATATACTATTGGAATACCAGGAAAACTGATTTGTATGGGTCAGGGTGGAGGTCTTGGAGTCTTTTCCGAATGATGGTAAGGGCTTCCTCTCTGGGTACATTGGTGAACAGGTCTACTACGTCATAGCTAATTAGTTTGCCAGGCTGGGTGATTGAACTGATCTTGGTGCAGAATTCGGCGGAGTCGGAGACAAAGGATGTGGCTGATGTGTCTACAGGAAACCCACCCATACCGACAAATATCTTCACTTTACCTCCAACCACCCGCTACAGGTTACGAAAGGCATCATATCCACTCTCACCCGGAGAGCTAAGAACATCTGCTCGACAACGGAAGCCCTAGAAACAGAACTTAACCACATCCGCCATGTCTTCGTCCATTATAACCAGTACCCCCAAACCAGTCAACAATATCATCACAACCACCCTCAACCCAAGAGATAAACCACCCCGCCGGCATTCAGCACCCTTTGTAATAAGTATCCCATACGTCCCAGCAGTCAGCCACCAGATAAGACGACTCCTTCAGCGGCAAGCAAGCATAGACGTCCTGTTCCAAAAAGGCAAATCCATCCAGAACCTCCTCCAAGCCACAGGCAAACCACCGTCAACAACAAAAGATGACCCCTCGGGAGTAGTCTACCAGATTCGTTGTCAATGCGGAGACTTCTATATTGGTGAAACATCCCGCCCGCTCCCACTACGAATCAAGGAACATAAAGCGTCAGTCCAGAAAAACGACTCCAAATCCGCTATAGCTGACCACACCCAAGCCAACCCTGACCATGCCATCCTATGGAACAACATCGATATCCTAGAAATCAACCGACAAGACTACAAAATTAGGAAACTCCTTGAAGCCATAAACATCCAACGCCACAACCCCACCATGAATCGAGATCAAGGTTATTTCATCTCGTCAGCCTATCACCACCTAATCAAACACCACCACCAGTATCCTTCCCTACCTCCTTTGTCCATCTGGCTTCCCTGCTCCCTCATTTGTACGTCAACTCATCAATTGTATAAACTCAACTCTAATCACAACCAATCACTCTGTATATCAACCTCCTCTGCTGTAATCACTTATCAAATACCCAATGTACATCAACCTTGTTAATTGTATATACTCACTATACAGCTATGTATATATTCTCCTTGCCTCAGTTGTTGTATCACTTGCTTGATAACGGTGTTAGTACCTACACCGAAACGTCGCACTCATTGCAATAAAGAAGTTGACTATCCATACAAATCAGTTTTCCGTCATCTTCACAACTTCTAAAATGCCTCTCAAAGAAATTATTGGAATACAGTAATTGTGCATTAGGTGATGTTATGCCATTTTTAGTGAAAACATGATGTGTGGTGTTTTCCTTAATCACTGTAACTGTTGCCAGGATAATATCGAAATCTGTATGATTTTAAACTAGGCATCGTGACATGCCCTTGATGAGATGTGATATTCCAAAGGCTCGTCAGCGAGGAAGCCCAGACGACACTAAGCGACTGAAGAAAGCCTGGGGAATGTTGTTCCATGACTAAACCAACGCTTGTTCCTGTTCACCTAACGTCAATGGGCAATCTGTTCTTGACGTAAACGTCGCTCCATTTCATCGTAAGCGTGCTCGATAGGGGACAGGTCCGGAGCTGGCCATGGATGTTCTGCTGCCTCAGGAAATCTGTCACAACATGTGGACGGGCATTACCTTGCTGAAGCGTGAATGTCTGTACAGCCTTGCCCTGCCATCTGCGCTGTCCAGGTGAAATCTCGTCTCGTCAGTGAACAAGACACTATCACAATGTTGTCTTCTAGATGCTGTCTGCACCAGGCAAGACGTACCTGTCGGTGACGCTGGAGTAAAATTGGACGTATTGCAGGCCTCTTGCCTAAGCATAGATTGTTGAAGGCCAATTTCATCCAAGATTTTCACGGATCGAGGGGTTGAGAGGAACATGAAATATCAAAATCGTCCTTGTGTCGACGGACAGATAACATCAAAGTTGCATGTCAAATAACTCCAAGAATTCTGTTAAACGCAGAAATTATTATTGAGTGTGTTAGGTTGTTTTGTTAATGGCTTGGATTGCTGCATCATTATTTTCAAGTTAGGGTATTCGTCAAATGTTTTTGAATGCTAGTCTGACATTACAATTAAATAAACAATGATGTTGTATGACATTTACAATGGAATCTGAAATGTGAGTATATTATGATAATCTGTGACATCTTAAACACTGTGGATATGGAAGGTCGGTATACATAAAACACCGTTGTGTCGAAGTTTGATGTGTCGAACTTATAGTTATCTCGATGTTAAATCTTCTTTTTCTTTTATTTATTCGGATAACTGTAAGTATTTACAGAGGTCGCTTCACCTTCGACAAAATGGTGCGCGACTGTATGTCACTGACACGAGCATACCTATCTTGAAGTCTAAAGCGTTGTTCATGAGGAGTCCAAAGGAAGCTCCAACTGTTGTGGTTCCAATCATCTTCTTCCAGTCTACGTACGGTGAGGCCAGTCTGAACTCGATCTTACCGATGTCCCTTTTACGTCGATGGTGTACTTCAATGTCCCGTTTGCCAACATAGCGAGGATCCACGTGAAAAATGGATCCATTCATGGGACTGTAATATATCATATGATTAGGTTTAGCATCGATTTAACAGTTTGTCTGAAGGGTACAATTAGGTCATCTCAGCTCAATCGGAAACAAAATGCAATGTCGAAGGCCTAACCGCCGGACACAGATATGGTGCTGGTAACAGACCAAGCCCAAGAATTCATGATAATTGCATTCTAATGCTGCTTGGGGGTGCTTCTCTTTACAGTAAGATGCCTCTTCTAGGTGACACCTTTGACAACTACCGGCTTAATGGGGAAACCAGGGGTATACAGAAATCAGTGACTGAATAATAACAAAACACTTCGGACGTTATTCATCCAGCCACCCTATTGTGATTCATCGTCAATTCGTACTGGACTGGTGAGGAGGTGGGACACCGTTTTAACCTTACAGCAACCCAAGAGTCCCACTGAAGTAATGGGCTACGGACAATTCATCTATGATGTACAAAAGTAAAAAAAGATCTGAATTGTCTTACCTTTCGGTAGTAAATTGGGGGGTTGGAAGAAGTAATATTTTTGGAAGCCACAAAATATGCCATTAAAATAGCGTATGTATGAATAGTTGAAAGTATTCAATATTCACCCTTCTTCTCTGTACATGGGGGCTATTTTTGCTGCTTTTGGGTGAGCCTGGTATTGTAGGAGGGCTTCATATCGCACCTTCTCGTCGTCATCGTACAGGGCTGTCTTCAACATCAGATGTGCTGCCTGGATCAGGGGATGTGTCATTATTACATCGTACCCTCGTACCTCTACTCGAATATTTTCTACTGATGTGAAGCACTCCTTGGTGCCTCTACCAAATACCAGTTGGTTACAATTACAGTTTGACAATGTTTTTGTTAACATTTAAGAGTGTATTACTTCATATTTGTTCAGCTGTTGCCTATCTGAATGAACGAAGCTGTACTGAATTTCCTTTTTGGTTAGTTATAAAGTTAATTGTGTGCATACCCCTTCATGTTGGTACTTCCTCAAGGCGTGTATCCCAGCCCGCTTCACCCACTGAGAGTTGGTTGTGTTGACATGTGACACAATCATCTCAAATGATTGGTCGAGACCGGCATTACCCAGAGATCCCAGTAGAATAACTCTCCAGCGGTCGTCATTAATTACTTCTATTTCTGTCATTGTAGATCGTTTCGTGCGGTAAAGCCAGGGATCTGGAAAAGATGAGCAGATAATTAATCCACAACAGGCTCAAGATCGGGATGAAAGTAAGTTAGGGAATGTGAATGTCATTCGATCTGTAACAATATAGCAGTCACAGACAAACCTGTGAACGCCAGATGTGTGAAGTGAAAATTCAGTGAGCATTAACCGAATTAACAAAGTTTGGCGAAAATACTAAATTATGTTTGTGGTTGTTGATGTGTTCTAAGTCAAATAGTCATTCTCACCATGTAATCCAAGCCATCCCTCAAACTTCATGACAATATCAACCGCCTCCTCCTTCCTCCCAGCGTCCAGTAGTCGCCTAGCAACCGCTCCCAACGCCAGCACCATCCTGTGATATGTTTTGTGTTCTTGTAAAGCCACAGGGGCCTTCTCGCGCTCAAAACACAGGCTCTTTAGTTTTGTGATGATACCCTGTGCAAAAAGCAAAACATACAAATAATCCGGGATCTACATTCAATCCGAACAATTGCAATACTCCCTGGGCTTCCTCCCGTCGCTTACACCTCGGGAATTACCACTGCTGCTAGTCGTGGTAGAATCAGTATTCTTTCAGCAAATAACCAGTGTTGTGGAGCTTGTACCTGTTATACCACACATATCTACATTTACATCTATCGATGGTCCATCAAGAGAGACGATGTGCAACATAAGCTTATAACTGTTATACCACACATATCTACACTTACATCTATCGGTGGTCCATCAATGGAGACGATGTGGAACATGAGCTTGTAATTGTTATACCACACATATCTACACATATGTCTGTCGGTGGTCCATCAAGAGAGACGATGTACAACATAAGCTTGTAACTGTTATACCACACATGTCTATATTTACATCTATCGGCGGTCAATCAAGGGCGACGATGTACAACAGCATGCGCGTGTAAGGCGATTTATGCAGCTCCCAAGGGAGCCGTGCTGAAATAGGTGATACGTACAATCTTGGAGGCTTGTAACTGCTATTTCACATATTTACACTTACGTCTACCAGTGGTCCATCAAGAGAGACGATGTACAACATAACCTTGTAACTGTTATACCACACATATCTATATTTACATCTATCGGTGGCCCATCAATGGAGACGATGTGGAACATGAGCTTGTACCTGTTATACCACACATATCTACATTTACATCTATCGGTGGTCAATCAAGAGAGACGATGTACAACATAAGCTTGTACTTGTTATACCACACATGTCTACACTTACGTCTACCAGGGGTCCATCAAGACTGACTGACTGACTGACTGAGTTTGGTTTTACGCCGCTTTTAGCAATATTCCAGCAACATCACGGCGGGGTTCTATAGTTCATCATAGGCATGCGAATGTCGTAGCGTTACGAACGTTTTCTATTGGAACACAAGGTTCCAGCCGTTTGCATAATTTATATTTCAAAGACATATGATCCCAGCTCTGTGTGGGACTTACTTCAATTCCAGCAACAGAAAAGACATTTTAATGACTGACGGAGTTTGGTTTTACGCCGCTTTTAGCAATATTCCAGCAACATCACGGTGGGGGGACACCACAAATGGGCTTCACACATTGTGCCCATGTGGGGATTCGAACCCGGGTCTTCGGCGTGACGAGCCAACGCTTTAACCATTAGGCTACCCCACCGCCCCTGGGGTCCATCAAGAGAGACGATGTACAACATAAGCTTGTAGCTGTTATACCAAACATATCTATACTTACATCTATCGGTGGCCCATCAATGGAGACAATGTGGAACGTGAGCTTGTAACTGTTATACCACACATATCTACATTTACATTTGTCAGTGGCCTATCATTGGAGACGATGTGGAACATAAGCTTGCAGCGGTTATACCACTCATATCTACATTTACATCTATCGGCGGTCTGTCAATGGAGACGATGTGGAACATGAGCTTGTAGCTGTTATACCACTCATATCTCGATGCACAACAGCTTGCGCGTGTAAGGCGATTTATACAGCTCCCAAGGGAGCCGTGCTGAAGAGGTGATACGTATACAATCTGGGAGGCTTGTAACTGCTATCTCACATATTTACACTTACGCCTACCAGGGGTCCATCAAGAGAGACGATGTACAACATAAGCTTGTAACTGTTATACCACACATATCTATATTTACATCTATTGGTGGTCCATCAAGAGAGACGATGTACAACATAAGCTTGTAACTGTTATACCACACATATCTATATTTACATCTATCGGTGGTCAATCAAGAGAGACGATGTACAACATAAGCTTGTAACTGTTATACCACACATATCTATATTTACATCTATCGGTGGTCCATCAAGAGAGACGATGTACAACATAAGCTTGTAGCTGTTATACCACACATGTCTACACTTACGTCTATCGGTGGTTCATCAAAGGAGACGATGTGGAACATGAGTCTCGTCACCAGGGAGGAGTCGGGTCTGGATCTGTTGAGGACAAGGTCCAGCAGGAGCTGATGAGACAGGTCTGTGGTCAGACCAGCGATGGCATCAAACATGTGGTTCTGGTCCTTGAAGGTCTTAGTCAGTCTGTAAATAGATGTAATGGAGGATTGCAGGTGTCGTTGGAACCATGATGATTTAAAATGCATCTACCAGTGGACATGTTTAAGCATCACGTTAAGTACAAACAGGTAAACTAGATAAAACTAGGTAAACTAGGATAACGATAATCTGAGCCAAGGTGAGCAACTGGTATGCTATAAGATATTCATTATACACACGAGGAAGAATCAGATACCTGGCAGTTAATACCATTCAGCTTAAGATGATCTTTGGTAGGCATTTAGAAGTGATACACATGAGGAAGAGAGTCTTTCATGGATGTCAACTTCTTTATTATAAGGAACACAACGTTTCGGGGCATATCCTTTACTCCTTCATCATATATATACAACTGTATATACTTTATTTCCTCCATTGTCATTAAGTCATGAAATACATAGTTTACTACTTCTGTATAATTTACAGATGTATAAATACATATTCTTATGCAAAAACATTTATTGCATAAAATATTGATTTATATAAGACAAGTGCCATGAACTGTTTCAATGTGTGTCTAGTAACTACTTCAAGGGTTTATTCACCTCGGCCTGTCGGTCAGGTACTGTCTGGCAAGGAGAGTCAACTGTTTGTCAGGTAAGTCCCGGAGAACGGCAACAAGTTCAGTGAAGCATTTGTCCAACTTCTTCGAACCTGAAAAAAGACAGAAAACATTTTAATATTCCAAATTCTCCCCTTACTCTGTGCTTAAGAAGCTTGTATTCACACTCCGATCAACTATTTTCAAAGGTGGCTGTTACGACGTAAATTGTAATAAAAACGCAAATTGTAATACTTGCAGCAAATTGTAATAAACTTGACGTAAATTGTAATAAAAACGCAAATTGTAATACTTGCAGGAAATTGTAATAAAGATTGACGTAAATTCTAACACGCAAATTGTAATAAAAATTGACGTAAATTGTAATAATTTTCGTTGCGGTAAAATGTAATAAATATTTACGTAAATTGTAATAACAGTTTTAATCACTCGTAAATACGCAGGTGTTTGTTTTTCGTTGCATTTCATACGTCAAATAATTTGTTTGGGCGATAACTCAAGAAAGAAATGATGGATATGGTACCAAGGTATATTGGCGAGTGACCTTGAGATAATTTTCAAGGTCACAGCAAAAATCTGAGGGTTTTGCCAATATAAAGATTGTTAGCGCGATAACCCAAGAAAGAATTGACAAATCTTAGTTAAATGACGAAAATTATATTCGTCCTGATATATAATCGATATAAGATCTCTTACTGTCCTCTGTATCATGTCTTTTCGCAAATATCTTTTGAGGTTTTGATATGTATAAATATGAAGTGGGGTGGGGTGGGGTGGGTTTCTAACGGGTATATCAAATCAAATCAAATCAAATTAGACATTTGTATAGCGCTACATATCCAGAGTCCTGCTCATGTGCGCTTAGTCGAATGCTCGTTTGAAGAGGATGGTTTTGCGACAAGATCGGAAACTGTTGATATTTTCCGATTTTCTGACATTTTCAGGTTATCAATTCCAGAGTACAGCACCCGGTCTGCTAAATGATTTGTCTCCGTATGTTGTGGTTCGGACAAATGGCATAGCCTAGCTGACGAGCAATGAAATGCATCACAAATTAAACTTCAGGAAACAAAATAAGCAAGAAACATTTTGGTATGTTTGAGATTGGTAGAGGTCGGCTAGAATCAAACTTAGATATTAAACTGAACAAAAGGCAATTTGAAACTACAATCGCTTGTTCAAATGACTCCCCCTTCGGTTTACTGAAAGAACTCGAGTAAGAAATGATGGATTTTGTTCAAATTTGGTACCAAGGTTTATTGACGAGATTTACCGACACCACTTGAATTTAGTGACCTTGAGGTCATTTAAAGGCCACAGCGAAGGTGTAACAGTTTTGCACATGCCAAGCTTGGTAACCGCGAAATTAGGAAAGTATTAATAGATTTTGATCCAATTTTATATCAAGGTGTATTGGCAGGAATCCCCCTCCACCAATTGAAACAAAATATGCAAAAAACATGTTGTATGTTGGTAAATGTCAAACTTAGATATTAAACTGCACAAAAAAGCAATTTTAAACTATAATCGCTTGTTCAAGTGACTCCCCCTTCATGTTTACTGAAAGGGCTTGTTTTGGAGACACTACCCACCCCCTTTCAGTTGACGTCATTATAAGGATATAACTCATCCTAAAGTTTTCACTTATTCATACATGGTGTCAAGGGTTCAAACTAAACACTGAATGGTTACACAAGTGTCAGCTCTCAATATGTTGTATATCTGAACACAATGTTTTTGAAAATTTAAAATGAGGGTGTCCTAAAAAAAACAGTCCCCGCCTAAATGTAAATCAAGCAATCCAAATCTTTGAATGTTGATGATGACGGGAAGTCATCCAATACTATGCTTAACATATTTTATATGATACTATCTGAGGGTATACCATTATCCAAGAGATAGCGCAATAGTGCAGTTGTACGGCGTCTGCCTATCACGCTGAAGACCCTGTTTCGAGGAGGCACCGAGGTTCTGTTCCCGAGATGGGCACATTTGCGTAGTATCCTTGGACAAGATACTTAGATCTACACTGTCTCAGTTCACCCAGCTGTAAAATGGGTACCCGTGAGTATGTGCTGGCAATGTGAGTGTTTAGTTCATTGCGCCTAACAGGCAGCATGGCTGTACAGTCCCCAGGGAGTTGAAAAAGTATCGGAAACAACGATAGTGTCCTGTGATCGGGGATAGTAATGTACGTAGCGCCGTGAGCAGGCAATGTGCCTGGATGTGAGCGCCATATAAGCGGACTATTACTATTACTAGATACCAAATGGGAGATCGTTTTCCATTTTCTGCAAATTTGCAAGAAACATAATACCCCAATGTTGTGATGACTAATATCTCGTTAACCACATTACCCACGTGAAATTTTGGATATGACTTTGCTAATGATTCCTTCATAATAAAATGGAAGCTTTGTTTCAAACATTGGACATCGAGAATATAGTTAGTTTGACTACTTTTTCAACGCCCCTCGTAACATACTTAAAAGAAATGAGAACGTCTAAGGAAAAAAGCATTTCGATCTCTGAATACTTCTGAGTTTTTTAAATACAAAAAGCAAAAGAATAAAGTAAATAATCTGAAAAGAATAGCCAAGGGAAACTTTTAATCTATTTTTGATAACTATTTATCACCTCAGTCTACTCAGTCAGGTGGTTACGACTTCATCGGGACCCATTCCCCTTCTAGTCACTGATGATTCTGGGATACCTTCAGTTTTTACAGATTTGGATAAAGCTGAAACATTACATGAATATTTTGTATCTGTTTCAAATGTTACTGATGGCGGCAAGACTTTGCCACCTGTTAGCCATCGCTGTGTTAACAGTATAAGAAATGTCATTGTAACCGAAAAGGAGGTATCTGATAAGACCATACCAGCAAACAAATCTAGTGGACCTGATGGCATTAACATGAGAGTGTTAAAACGAATTTGTACATCTATAGCTGAACCTCTTTGTTTGCTGTATAATATATCACTGAGTGACTGTATTTCCTACATTATGGAAAACAGGTAATGTTACTCCTATTTTGAAAGAAAGAAATGCATCCCTTCCAACTTATTACAGACCTATTAGTTTAATACCTATCCTTTGGAAAATCCTTGAAAGAATAAGGGTAAAGCATGTGCACGACCATTTCCATGAACATAACATTTTAAGTAAATTCCAGTCAGGTTTTACTGCTAGTCATTCTACTACATCTCAACATAGACATTTATCATAATATATGCTCAAACCACGTTTTGTGATATTTCAAAAGCTTTTGACAGGGCATGGCATAAAGGTTTATTGCACAAATTAGAAAATGGTTAACTAACTATCTATCTGGGCCCGGTTGTTCAATACTCGGTTATCTTAACCGCCGGTTAACTCCTGACGGCCGGTTAAATCCTTAACCGGCCTTTAGGTAACCGAACGTTAAATATGCGTTGTTCAAACCATGGTTAGTCATGCCGTTAGCTAACGTCGCCGTCAAAGTTTAACAGTGTGGTTAACGTCACTGGTTAGCTTCCATATATCCCATAGTTCCGTTTTCTGTTTACTTACGGTTTACCACAAATGGAAACGCAAAATGTCGCCTGCACCCCAAGGAAAAAGAGAAGTCGAAATTTCTCTGCTGACGAAGAGAATGTAATCCAGTCAATGGTTGAGGCCAACTCTATAGTTCATCATAGGCATGCGAATGTCGTAGCGTTACGAACGTTTTCTATTGGAACACAAGGTTCCAGCCGTTTGCATAATTTATATTTCAAAGACATATGATCCCAGCTCTGTGTGGGACTTACTTCAATTCCAGCAACAGAAAAGACATTTTAATGACTGACGGAGTTTGGTTTTACGCCGCTTTTAGCATTATTCCAGCAATATCACGGCGGGGGGACACCACAAATGGGCTTCAAACATTATGCCCATTTGGGGATTCGAACCCTGGTCTTCGGCGTGACGAGCCAACGCTTTAACCATTAGGCTACCCCACCGCCCCACATTTTAATGAAAATCTATAGCACAGCTATAGATAAAATATGATGAATCCATGAAAATAATATTAATATTAGAAGCATGTTGTCCGTGGATAGAAAATGTATAAATATTACACACAGAGTTACGCTTAGACGGCTACAGTCTTAATGAAACTTTGAATTCCCACAATACCTATCGCTCACTTTTCACTCCTTAAATTGTCCTGACTGTATGGCCAAGTCGTGAAGATGCTATCAATATCATTTATTCATTATTTGCCAAGTCTGTCAAAAATTGTAATGAACACACATTGCCAAATCTTTTAACATCAAACAATATAGATGTTGTGTAATTAATACCATAGCTTTTATCTGAAATATGCATTCAATACCAATAGAAACTTAATATGTTACTAGCACCACGTCCAAGTAATCAAACTTTAATAGTACTATAGGCCCCAGGGCCAACACTGCTGATCTATTATCCGACCTTACTTTTGACAAGAATCTCATGAATAATACTGTGCAATATCGTCATTATCTGAACGCCTTCACAGACGCATATTCCGGAAAGATGTCTTGAAAAACATGAAGCTGCGTCTAATTTATAGATGAACATAATTTCCTCGATACTCATTAATCAGATGAACCTTCATTTAGTTCAATTCACAAGTGACTGCAGAAAATGCATAATTCTTGTTAATGACTTCACGGTCTGAAAACATATATTATATTTCATAAGTGTATTATAGAACGCTGTAGTAGATAAACATAATTTCCCCGATACTCATTAATCAGGTGAACCTCCATTTAATGCATAGATAGTTCTTTTCAATGTCCTCAAGGACGGAAAACATGTATTATACTTCATAAGTGTATTATAGAACGCTGCAACGATTCGGCAGAGAAATACTATTGTGCCATAGTATTCCTTATATGAACCTATCAGTGTTTAACATTAGCATTCAGATATTGTTATAAAATAAGTTAAAAATTCCAAATATTATCGTGTAATATGACAAGAGATAGTGTTGTGTTCGCTGTGACAAAAGGGTTTCGATATTCAAATATAATATTTAATCAAAGTGACTACGAAGTAGGCCTGCATATCACTCACAACAGAAATAG